TCAATCTACGATACAGGTTGGTAGAAAGTGATGAGGCACTTTATACACAAAATGATGTGCCTGATGTTGGCAAGTGCATAAAGTAAGTACTTGGTCATCCTACTAAACAATTTTATCAATCAAGTAATTCAAGTATGTCAATTGTCAGATCGCGTTATGACCAAATGACAAATTGAAGAATCGGAAGGAATTAAATTGAATTCCAAGAACCAAAAATACGTCTCTTCTGAGGACTCGATGAGGTCAGGTGCATTTACTGTAAGGGGTGGGGGGGGGGGGGGGGGGGGGGGGGGGGGGTTGTAATACAAAGTAGTCATTTTTTTAGGAAATCAATAGTGAAAAACAAAATATCTTAAATATTAAAATAATGTTGGAAAGACTGAATTAGTAACGAGTTGCAAAGAAAAACTAGACACCAAGTCCTGAGAATAGTCCAAATCCTTCCCCATACACCCCAAAACTGAACTACCGCTTTAAGATATGTTAATGGGGAACGAAACATGATTTTATAAGAATGAAAATGTAGAAAGCGAGTAATACAAATTAGTTATTTCTTAAGAAAGTCAATAATGAAAAACAACAAAAGATTTTAAAATAAAGTCGGAAAGACTAGATAGTAAAGAGTTTCAAAGAAAACAAGTCATAGTGAAACATAAGTGATGTTCAACATATTACTCTAATGCAGGGCAAGAAGAAAAAAAACGATGTCAAAATAAAACGTTGAATGTTTGAAAACTGTTAAATTAGTATTATAAACGACGTTGTTAGTACCAAAAATAGCAACCAATAACAAAATAATGAACATAAATCAACAACATTCATATTTCTGTAAAAATAAATTCATGCAACCGTTCCTGAAGGCATGTTTTCTGTGCCATGTCCTGGATGCAAAAGATAAAAAAAGACACACTACAAATTAAATATTTAAAGGCATGGAGAAAATAGAGGTGTTTCTCGTCATTGGCAGCAGGGGGCTACTAATTATTATGTACTGCAAAATGGAACAAAAGAGCTAGGCCACTGTTCATGATTGACATGCGATGGTAGCAGTAGAGACGCTGCTCAGATACATGCATTGCATTGTTCTCCTATATGGGATTATAAATGTGTGGCAGGTTAATCAAAAGCAGGGGGAACAAATTTATAAAGCAGTAGCTATCCGGATAAATTGGATCCCTATCTTTTATACTATTCATCGCGTTTTTCTTCCTCTTTGTCCTGCTATGAAATTGGCAGAAAATGAGATTTTGCTTCTGATGTTCACCTTGCGAGACCGTAGCCCTGTAAAAACTCAACAATTTTGAGCTAACAATGGGCATAATTGGCATCGAATAAAATGGCTTTGATTTAGGGCGAGCAACCGTTCAATGATAAATCGGGATGACTACAATGCTTTTTCACGTGTCTTACGTTTGCAAAATCTCGCGCTCATGATGACATAATTGCTTCATTATTTTGACCTTATTGATGGAATAGTACCTGGATTTGAAGTCAGTTATCGTCCGTCTGCATAAGTTATCATATCAGCTTAATTTAAGATAAGTTTGACATTATTTTGTCGATTTTTTTTTTAAAATTCCATGCTCGTATTTTGAGTTGATAAGTATTTCAGATACTATAGGCATCATTTTCTTGAAGCGCATATCCAGACTTCGGTAAATTTTAGAAGATAATTACAATGTTTCAGAAATTCAGATTGATATGGCATTGTTCTATCGTAAATCACTTTGAATATAATTTTATGCGTGCTTGTTTTTTTAGATGATAATTACGATGCATGACTCAAACATCCCCTTAAAAAGTAGGGACATCACATTTACAGGGTTGTTCGTAATCCCTTATAAGGGATTACCTGCTAATCGCCTTAATCCTATCATAGCCCCTATTCAGGATCTGACAGTTATATTCATGAGTCAAGGGCCAGGGAGTGATCTTCACAGTGTAGTGCACGTGTAGTTCTGTGATATTGGTATTCATTTTTTTCAATCATTTTTGTCACTGCGTAGGCTTACTCTTTGCCATAAAAGCCTGTATACATCGGCGATATATAATTGATTCGCTTCTCTCCCCTTCGATCTATCTCTCTTTTATTTTCTCAAGCGCCTGGTGATAACCGTGATATTGGTATTCATTTTCTTCAATCAATTTTTTTATTTTCCGTCGACTTACTTTTTGTCGTAAAAGCCTGTAACATCAGTGATATATAATTGATTTCGCTTCTCTCTTCTCTGCGATCTATTTTGTCAAGCGCCTGGTGATATTGGCATTCATTTTCTTCAATCATTGGTTTCGTTCCGTCGACTTACGCCTGGTGATATTGGAATTCATTTTCTTCATTCATTTCTTTCATTCCGTAGGCTTACTCTTTGTCATGCAAGCCTGTAAGATCAGCGATATTTATTTGTTTTCGCTTATTTCTCTCCCGCGATCTATATCTTTTTTTTTTTTCCTTCTCAAGCGCCGATGATATTGGCATTCATTTTCTTCATACATTTCTTTCGTTCCGTCGACTTACTCTTTGCCATAAAAGCCTGTAACATCGGCGATATATAATTGATTCGCTTCTCTCCCCTTCGATCTACATGTATCTCTCTTTTATTTTCTCAAGCGCCTGGTGATAACCGTGATATTGGTATTCATTTTCTTCAATCATTTTTTTTTCGTTCCGTCGACTTACTTTTTGTCGTAAAAGCCTGTAACATCAGTGATATATAATTGATTTCGCTTCTCTCTTCTCTGCGATCTATTTTGTCAAGCGCCTGGTGATATTGGCATTCATTTTCTTCAATCATTTTGGTCGTTCCGTCGAAAGCCTGTAACATCAGCGATGTATAATTGATTTAGCTTCTCCCTCCCCTGCGATCTATCTCTCTTTTACTTTGTCAAGCGCCGGGGTGATATTGGCATTCATTTGCTTCAATAATTTGTTTCGTTCCGTTTACTAACTTGTCATAAAAGCCTATAACATCAGCGATATTTAATTGAATTCGCTTCTGTCTCTCTCCCGCAACTCATTAATTGTTTTATTTTCTCAAGCGCCGATGATATTGGCATTCATTTTCTTCAATCATTTCTGTCGTTGCGTAGGCTTACTTTTTGCCATGAAAGCCTGTAACATCATCAATATTTGATTGTTTTCGCTTCTTTCTCTCCCGCGATTTAATGTCTCTTTCATTTTTTCAAGTGCCAGTGATATTGGTTTTCATTTTCTTCATTCATTTCTTTCGGTCTGTCGGCTTACTTTTTGTTATAAAAGCCTGTAACATCAGCGATATTCTATTGTTTCCGCTTCTCTCTCTCCCGCGATCTATATCCTTTTCAATTTATAGTACAAGTTCTAGTACACACACACACTGAGACAAACGCAGTTAATCTGGCACACTCGTGATTAAAGGTATTGTAGTCAAGGTGATTACGTAATAGATAATTGTCCCTCGCTAGTTAAGAGGATTAGAGATAATTAGATTTACTTGGAGGAGAGGTAAAGGAATGACCTGTGAAAGTGATGTCCTGAAGCCCGAGTAAGCAGGGACTTAATAGGATAAAGGGTAGACTCGACGTTTGGGGCATGGTTTCAGACATTTTAGGCATCAATTTCTCGAAGCGCATATCGTTACTTCGTTCGCTACTAAATTTTGAGAAGATTATTAGGATGTTCAGATTAGTTTGGCTTTGTTTTATCGTAAATACTTTGGAATATACTCGTATCTTCAGATGATAATTACGATGTTTCAGATATTTTAGGCATCATTTTCTTGAAGTGCATATTGTTCCTTCGTTCAGTCAATTTTAGAAGATAATTACGATGTTACAGATATTTTAGGCATCATTTTCTCGAAGCACATATCGTAACTTCGTTCGCTAATTTTGAGAAGATAATTAGGATGTTTCAGATTAGTTTGGCATTGTTTTATCGTAAATAATTTTGAATATACTCGTGCTCGTATTTTGAGATGATAAGTACGATGTTTCAGATATTTTAGGCATCGTTTTATTGAAGCGCATATATCGTTCCTCCTTTCGGTCAATTTTAGAAGATAATTACGATGTTTCAGATATTTTAGGCATCATTATCTCGAAGCACATATCGTAACTTCATTCCCTAATTTTGAGACGATAATAAGGATGTTTCAAATTAGTTTGGCATTGTTTCATCGTATTTAATTTTGAACATACTCGTGCTCGTATTTTGAGATGATAATTACGATGTTTCAGATATTTTAGGCATCATTTTCTTGAAGCGCATATATCGTTCCTTCGTTCGGTCAATTTTAGAACATCATCTAACAAAACTAACAAAACTAACAAAACTAACAAAACTAACGGGTAACGCTAACGTCTAACGGGTAACGCCTACAAACGTTAAATATATAATTAACGTATTGCAAACGTTACACGCGTTAGGGGGGTTAGTTTATTTTGACTCATACTGTAGCAATAATATTAATAATAACCATCATGAATACATCATGTCCTTTTGTCCAACACAAGTCTTACTCTTACATTATTAGTCTTACTCTTGCTACTTTAAATGCTAGTCTTATAGACTAAGTCTCACTGTTACTGGTAGAGATATTTATAGAACATTTAATTTGTTAATGTTATGATTATGAATATCGCTAATCTTCTTCAAAAACAAATTGCTGTTGTTATTGACAATCATGCATCAACACACAAGTTTGGGTCAACTGCCTGCATGACTCTCATTGATTTAGTTTTCAAATTAGACATATTGTCAATTTGTCATATAGTCTATAGTCATAGGTCTAGATCTAGACCTACGTGTAGAATTAGAAGTAGAAATAGAAGTCTATTGATATTAACTGCTTTATCAGGTCATCATTATCAATGACAATGCTAGCAATGCTTGATTTGCAAGCAGCTAGCTCAGCTGAGCTGACGGGCATGTCCGCCGAACTCCCCCCTTCTCTTCTGTCCGCGATGCGCTCGAGCACAGCGCTGCAGAACTTTACAATTAATCTTTCAACTCCACAACTTACCCGAGGTGTTTTCTTCTCCGTATTTCTGCTGACAAGAACTGGGTTGTCATATTTGACCAGGGATGCGTTTGGTGGGATCATTATGTCGAGTTGTAAGGATCAAAATGCAAGATAAATGCGATTAAACCGTAGGTTTTAAGAGAATTTTAATAAAAGTCGCGGATGAGGATAAGGATTGTTGTCAGGGGAACCCATGGAAACATTTCCCAGGGTGCAGAGCGAGCTCTTCCCATCATGCATCATTTCTCAAGATGGCGACTTCCATGGACTGGCAAGGTATGACTAAATATTTTTTTTAAATAGTAGTTTTCTATTCGACAATGTAATTTGATGAGACTTTATCAGTAAATTTAAGTGAGGAATGGTGTGAATTTTATTTTGGGCTAGTGTTTTCATACATATTGGTTGTTTTTCATATCAGAAAAGCGTCTGAATCGATGGTTAGTGAAGCGATGTGCGACGAGAAATTGGCTCAGTCATTGTTGGGCACGTAGGGGCGTGAGAACGGAACCCCTTTGTCGCCCGTGCCCGGCCCCGCCGATAGAGACCCACGGATTACCTCTGCCTCGCCGCTGCGGATGATTTTCGGTCGCTTGTCCAGAAATGTATCCAAAATTTGACTCATAACTCGGGCGTGGAGATACCCTACTAAAACATACCCAAAATGAAGTAAATATTCATTAAATGTCGAAATAAAGATCATGAGTTAAATTTGTTATGTTTATTACCTGTTTCGTGTCAATTTTCTTGTTATTTTTGGAGTATTTTTCAGACAAACGATGATATAAGTAGAGTAAAGGAGGGGGTTTTCGGCCACTCAAGACAAAATCCTATTTTTGGATCCTTTACTTCCTATTTATTATCATTTCTTGTTCAAATCATGAAGCAAATATTATTAATATTTAAACAAAAAAAGAATCCCAGAAAAAAATCACGAATTGCCATGACAATATTCATTTCAATTTTCACCCTTTCGGAGGCAGTCATTGGCCTAGCGAACTATTTTTCGGCCGCGTGTACAAAGTCAATAGGAAGCGCGCGTGCCGTGCGTTTCCGCGCTGATCTATAGCTCTAGCGGGAGGAGCAGGTATCCCATGCTGGATCTCGCCAGGCCGAAAACTAGTACCGCGGTGATCCGAAATTGGAATCTGAATTAGACAGAGATATTGTGTGTGCGTTGCGGTGTCCAGCAGCATTGATTTAATACATGCGATGAGATACTTTTGAGCTTGCGACTAGCACAAAATTGGGCTCTAAATCTGAAAAATACTTGAAATAAAGCGCATTTTATGGTACCCATATTTCTTACAGACACGGGTAAGATACTCTATTTTTCAGATTTGGGTAGCGGGACCGCAGATTACATCGCTAAAATGTGATATTTTAGGATATATTTTTCATTGCAAATGTGGTTCTTTAGTGACACTAGCATGGTATGGTATGTGTGGGATATATGTTATGCTATTATGCGATGTATTTAAAAGGGATTTTGCCATGCATCCAACCAATCAGCCGAAAACTGGAGCTGGTCAATTACCCCCTCCTTTACTCTATACACTTTTTCACAGGTTTAACAGCAAACCGCTGCACAATACAAGTGTATACCGATAGTGGGTTGCGGCCGGGCGCGTGCCTGTGTGAAGTTATCTAATCTACCGTAATGAAGATCTGAAAAATATATTAATCTTTAGATAAATTTGACATTGTTTATAATTTTACAGAGGCAAGAGATAAACTAAAGAAGTGGCGAGAGGAAAACACAAGGAACAGCATTGAGACTGTTGAACTGGGACAGTATTTGCTGGAAAACTATCGGAGGAGACTTGGGGATGAAGGTAAGATTCATTCCTTGTTTAGTTTGATCCTTCTTTGTGATGTGTTGCTCATTATCTGTGTGGCAAAACAGGCCCTTTTTATCAGACTGTATAAGCCAAAGTGTGCAATTGGGGTAAGATTATTATCAGTTAATGCACTAACTCTCAAGATGTTTTTCTTTTTTCATAGCATCTCCACCTCCCCAAGCTAATATCCCTTTGATTTTTATGTGATTCACCAATGTTAGAAATATGGTTATTTGAGATGGAGGTAGGTGTGGAATGGGGAATCTGATATATATATAAATATATATTTATTGTATTCCAAAACTAGTAATATATATTCCTCTGCATAAAGTGTTAAGTCTCATATAATTTACTATTGTGTCTGCAGTATGGACTATATATGAACAAGTCTGCATAGCAGCACTGGATTGTGGGGACCAGGACCTAGCAACAGATATTATTGATACAGTGGAGCATAACTTTCCCAGCAGTATCAGGGGCAAGAGGTTAGAAGGTCTACAGCTTGAGAGCCTTGGAGAGTGAGTACAGTATTGCTAGAATTGTAAACTGAACCCCGCCCTACAAAAAAGAATATGATAAAATGAATAAGTTAATTTTAAAAATGTTAATAATAACCCCCCAAAAAAATTGTAGTGAAATAAAATAAGATAGATGAATGAATAATTAATAAAAATGAAAATAAAAAAATATTGATGAATTAATATGAATATAAATAAAAAAATTAAATTAAACGCAAATGAATAAAAAAAATTAAAAAAATCATCATAGTGTGCCTCATATATCTGTCTCTTATATCACACAGATAGGTAAAAGAAAAAGTATGTTTTGTCTCAAAATCTTTATGGAGTGAATACAAAATACAATCATCCGATCCATTTTTATGACTCAAAGCCGACTGATCATGTTTTTGGAAACAGCAGGTCTTCTGTGGATTGTACTAGTACAGCGTGAATTGATGTACCTTTTTGATGTAAAACAGTCAGCTGTTGTCAATATATATTCTCTGTCTAAATGTTCTTGTCTTATGCAGGTATGAAGCAGCAGAAGAGCACTATGAAATACTATTAAAGGAGGATCCAGCAAATGCTGTGAGTAAAACCATAAAACTATACTGTACTAGAATCACTGCCACAAAATCCCCTCTAGCCCCATTGCAGATCAGCTGTAGCATTTTGGTCTTAAATCTTGCTGCTTCTCTAGCTGTGCTGTTGGTTCTCGAATTAGGTTTTGTTAGTAAGTTAACCATGAGATGACGTTGTGCAATAAACGGTACGCTAGGGCAGAAAGTTGTTCAGTTTTGTTTTGCGTTAAAGGGCAATTAAACCTTTTGTACCGGTAATAAGTTTATTTGCATGAACTCAGAAAAATAAATGACGATAGTTTGAAATATATCGGACCAATGATAAGAGAGTTATGAATGCTTGAAATATGAGATCACTATAGGTTCTCTAAAAAGAAAAGAGGCCCATGAGTCATACATTTTGAAGAAAAAAAATGTAATTTAAGTCATTTAGTGTGATGCAACAAAAGGGAAAGTTGTCTTTCAAAATTTCTGCAATACATCTTAATGCTGTGCATTAGTTTATTTGCTTACTTGGAGCTGGAAAGATGTTTAATAAAAACAGTTGGTGGTACCTTAAGTTTGTAACTTGTGTGCACATTTTCTCTCTGATGTCAACAGATGGTGAGGAAAAGACTGATTGCACTTTTGAAAGGGCAGAATCGATTGGGTGAAGCTATCAAGGAATTAAATGCATACCTACAAAAGTAAGTCATTCTAAACGGAACAGTCTAATGTTATATTTTTGTAATCAAACCATTTAGAAGAGTTGATCCAAAATTAGACTTGATTTGATTTCATTATCATATATTACTTTCACCCCCAATTCAAGAATCACACATCTTGATGAATGCAACTTATTGATCTTTTAAACTTTCATTTTCTCTGTAATGTGATATACCATAGTGTAGCATGGCAATGTGCATTATTTAACCTAGGTCTACTATTTCATTTAGTTTGTGCTTCAACTAAAATTTATCCTAAAATGTTATTGATGACAAAGAAAATGGATTTACCTTGGATCCAAATTACCCACACACTTGAATATGTTAAGTCTTACTATATTTTTCTTCTCATTTTGCAGGTTTATGAGTGATCATGAAGCTTGGATGGAGTTAGCAGATTTGTATATTTCAGAACAAAAGTAAGCATATATGTTACCATTTTCATTCCTGTTAGATAAAAGTAAATGTATATGTTATTTAATTCTGTAAACCCAGATATACTTTCAAGTGCATAAATGTCCATGAATTTTGCTAGTCATTCAGATTTTTTGTAAGTTTCTTGCCGCAAACAAATTGAATCACAATTGACACAACACTAATTTTTTTAAATTTTCAAAGATTTTTTGCTGTGAAAATGACTATCCATAAAAATGTGTGTAAGTTTGAATGTTACAGTAATAATTCTACATCTTAATATTTAGTTAAATATGTTATATTTATGCTATATTTATGCAGTTATGAGCTATTTGAAGAGACTGTTTCATGTTTAAATTTTGATTTGGATAAGCCTTATTCTTAAACTTGTTATGTGATTTCAATATTTATATTCTACTTTGCCTTATTAATCATCTCATCATTTCTCCCCTTGTTTCTCTCTTTCCCTGTATCCATTTGCACCCCACTCCTTCTCATGTGTATTGTACAGTTACAATAAAGCCATATTTTGCTTTGAAGAGCTCATCATGTCCAATCCACACAACCATTTGTACCATCAGAAATATGCAGAGGTAAGCACCTGAATTTTCCACTTATTGATTTGTTGTGAAGTAGTACAGTCATTATCATGCTGTAAACTTATTCCACTTGCAAACTTGCCTGTATAAACTGGAATGGGATTTGTGATGCAAATGGAAATTACTGGTATGGGTAAAGAGTATTCTGCAGCACAACTTCCTTGTTACATAATAATTTATTTGATGTGTTCAGTGAAGTGTAAAAATCAATGAAAAGTGCTAACCCACTGACTAGTGAACCCTCTCATTATAATGATAACAATAATAGTGGGTTCTGGTAAAGCGCTCATGCCTGTCAGACTTGACACTCTTGGCGCTTCACAATGATTACCCCGGCTTTAGCACCGCTGCCATTGTGGCGCTCTAGCATTTGAAGGAATAAGTTCCTGCCAGCTATCCATTTACATCACCTGGGTGAAGTGTGGCAAATGTAGATGATTGTCTTGCCAAAGGACATTAGTGCCACAGGGGGACTTGGACCGTGAACCAAGTGATCCACTGTCCTATAAGGTATCCACTAGACCACGACACCTTCACATGAAGGGACTACTGGGTTCGGGAGGCAGTGGATTAAAGTTTGATGCGATAGATAATTCACCAAAACAATATTCCCATTGTCTATAAGAATATTTTTCATGTGGTTACTGTCTTTGATATTATTGTCCCTTTATTAACTCTTCTCTTCTAACCGTTTTAGATTCAGTACACACAAGGAGGAACAGAATGTATGGAGATTGCTAGAAAGTACTTTGCTCATGCTGTCAAATTGAATGGCAACAACATGAGGGCTCTCTATGGCATGTTTATGGTAAGAATGGCTATTTCTCTTTTTGTTGTTGCTTGAAATTATAGTTAATATCCCCCCCCCCCCCTCCCCTTCTCCTTTCTTTATAATTCTCCTCTAACCATTTCATATTCAGTACACACATGGCATGTTTATGGTAAGAATTTCTATTTCTCTTTCTCTTCATTTTGTTGCTTGAAATCATAGTTGCTATCACTTCCTTCCTTGCTACCATGGTGTCCCTGCTAGTAGTGACCAGTTATATAGAAAGATCCATCTGTCTACAAAAGCTTCATTTTGGTTCCTCTTCCTCGAATGAAAAAAAATAAGCATCATGGACAGACAGACATGGCTAGTGGCTGGTGTCTTTAATGGGGCTGTAATAGCTGCAGCCCCTGTTTAGAAGAAGAAGAATAAAAGGAAAGAAATATTGCTCCTTCTTTCCCTCTGAGTAGAAATTATTAAAAGAGATGGTAGGGTTCTCTTAATCCTGTTCTTAAAAAAACACTTTCATGTGTAGGAAACACTTTCATGTCATGTGTTTTGCCACTGTATCTAATACACATTTAGGCTATTTTTTCAGTCAATGTAATGCATTTTGTGTCTATTAATGGATTAGTCTGATATCCAAATGTTTAGTAGACAGTTAAACTTTGCTAAGTATACCAAAAATAAATATGGTAAATGATAATAGACGTGTTGGATACTAGAAGAATTGAGTTTTGATCAAGTGATGTTTGACCAGTTTGATATTAGATAAACTGAATCGATAACTTGGTATTGGACATATGTGATGACTGAGTGTTGATCAAATGTCAATAAAACACCATTGTTGCTGTACATTCAATTATAATTCATTATTTTTCCATATAAATAAAATAAAATGAATTTTCACATTTTCTCATGTACTTACCTTTAGTGATACATTAATATTTCGTCCAAACACGCATAACAATCAGCATAACTCTATATATCCATTAATTATTTATTTATTTCCTTCCTATATTACTAATCATTGATATTTTCATTGATTCATTCAGGCTGCTACAAATATTGCCTCTTCACCTAAGGCCTCAGGGAAGATAAAGAAAGACAACATGAAATACGCCTCATGGGCAGCTCAGCAGATTGCTTATAAATACAAGGTATGATGTATGGATGTGAATACTGAACAATCAGATACTTACATGTATTTGATCATGTATTTGGATATCAGAGGGAAGGAACACACAATGTATTAATCTGGAGGGTTCCTATTTTCAAGTGTATACTTTTTGTTGTCCTCCTTTTCTTGTTGAAATGTAATTATTTAGGAATTTACATTCTGTTATTTTTATTTTATGTACAAAATTAAAATGATTTTGAATTGAATTGAATTGCAAAAATTCAGTATTGTTGGTCGATCCATGGGAGCGTGGGCTCAACAATAACAGGAGTCCAATGATCATGGGCTCCTTGATTTCAACTTGGCACACCAAGTTTTGGAATTTAAAATGGGCTTAGTGCACACAATTTACACAAACACTATTTAAAAGATAAAAATGTCAGTCGGTAGTCTCTGTGAAATATTTTAGTGAGGAGTCTTTTATGAAACTTTCAGCAAGTGTGGACTGTTTGAAAAACATGATATTTCCATGTATTCACAAGTTTCTGAATTCACGGTAGAATTTTAAAGTTATATTACTATACTGATACAAATTGGAAGTAATTTTGTGTCTGAACTGTAGGGCAGACTTCTGTTTATCTTTGTTGTTTTGAGTATGAAACAGTAATAAGCAGGTCCTAATCTTTTTTTGAGAAAGCATAAGTTTAGATGATGTGAACATTTTATTTAAAAAAATCATTCTATAACTTTTGTATGTCTTCATAAATGTCATTGAAATCTTGACCATAGCGAGTTAATGCAATGGTAAAGCAAGAATGTAAAAATAAGATGATATTTTGATAGAATATATTGCAGCTAGGTAGCTTTTAACAATTATAATCACTTTTAGTTTTCAGATAAACTTAGACATTTTTTATTATTTCTCAAAAGCTCTGCTGGCAACTTCCATGAATTGCAATAGAGGCCTACTCAATAAGATGGATACGACTAAAGTGAAACTTCCATCTATCCAACTTTTGTCTTTAAAAATATGGGCAACTTTTTCATAAGGATTTCTGTGACCAAAGCCATTTGATATGTTTTATAAAATCCTTTTCTCTCTCGTTTTTTCTTCATTACCACATTCTCACTTTTTTTTCCCCTTTTCTGTTCCTTTCTATACACATCCTTTGCTTCTTCACTGCATATATTCATTCCCTCTTCTATCCCATTATCTCTCCTTCTCTCTCTCTCTCTCTCTCTCTCTCTCTCTCTCTCTCTTTCTCTCTCTCACACACTGTCTGACAGGTTGCACAAGGAAAGGACACTGGGAGCAAAATGAAACATTTGGAAACGATGCTGGACTGTTTACAGATCGCCCCCGCACCATAGGAACATTTTTTGAAACATTTTGGTACTCCACAGCAAGTTTGACATGTCATCTCGGAGACATTCGACCAAGGTGCTATACGAGGGAGGAGCCCTTTCTGAGGAGGGTCAATATATCGTGAACTTGTACATGCAAAAGACACTGTAAGCACATTCACACTGTGCTCTGCTTGTTTGTTCATATGTGAAAGGTACCATGACCAAGAGGATGAACAATGTGGCTGTGCTGATCGTCTGAATAGATCTGATTAGTAATAAAGGGATACGGTAGAATACCAGAAAGATGAAAGCATGTGCAGGCAGATCAGATCAGATCAGGGCAAACCGCAGATTCCTGGTCCCATATGTTAAAGGACCTCACTAGAGTTTTCAGAAGATTCCTTCAACTCAAGAGCTTGGATCAGACCGAATAACGAAGAATTTCATGTTTGTTTATTTTCCTATATATTCTTGGTAAAATATGGGACAATGAATGACCAAAATACCTTTGACTTGCCAAGATGCATGAATCCAAGTGCAAGGATATTTACGAACAGGGTCTGTTGCATAAACTTACCACTGATGGTAACTTTGCCATCAATATTACTACCATGGCAACATCAACTACCATGGCAACATCAATCAACAACCAGTCAAATCACAGTTTCCATGGAAGTTGCCTTTCATGGCAAAGTTACCATCAATGCTAAGTTTTATGCAACGGGCCCGATGTTATGTCAGAGAAGCTCATATTCTGGAATATCAAAGAGTTCAAAAGCTATTTTCAATTTATATAAAATGCATTGAACAAGGCTGCACTGCCAGTTTGATGCTACAAAATAAGAGCTCAATATGTATACTCCAATATGTAGACTCCCTTTGTCTCACTTTCCCTTATTGATTTCTACAGTGCATAAATTTAATTGTTCATATTATTATAAAGTTGTAGATGTGTTGAAAATATTTAAGATATAATTATATTGAGTACCGGTACCCTTTGTTAAAATCAAAGTCAGTCCCTTCCTTGGAAATGTTCTTTAATTGAATTAAGTTGATCTTGGGTGCAATATGAAACCTTGTGTACACATGGAAGTAAAATATCCCTGAATAATTAACAAATGTACTACAGTATAGCACAGTTAGCACTATTTCACTTCTTTTGAACTATTGCACAACGTCATTGCCAAATGATATATATGTAATTTATAAGATAGTTAGAAAAATAAAATTAATACTTACTGAAGTATTAGAGAAAAATATGATCACATCCTCTTTTGTCTATTTTACTTGAATGAGAGAGAGAGGGAGAGACAGCGAGAGAGGTGAACATTCTCTTTCAGACTTTCCAAAGCATACAATTGACCTTTTGGGCCACGTATGGTAAAACTACTAAATGTAGTTTAGCTTTGTGAACAAAAATTCTCTGCAATTTCTTTCCAAAGCATTTGATGTATTTGAATATCTTTTATGCTTCATATAATTTTGTATTTAATTGCTTGTATTCACATGCATGTATACAGGAATTAAGACCAGTACGAGGGTAGCGTTTTGCCCAAGCCCAACATCATTTCCAATGTGCTCATGTAGATACAATGTCAAGGATCAAATGTCATTTCATAATTAATTTTATTGGACAAGTACTTTTGGACAATAGTATATACACATATGATTCGTCATGCTATCATTAGGGACTTTTAGATTTACACGACGAGAGCATGGACTGCCGCGTGTGACAATGTGTTAAGGCACTGGGCCGTGCCCAGCAGTGCCTTAAAAGGACGTCACATTGCCTTAAAAGGATGTCACACGTGGCGGTCCACGTTCTCGTTTAAATCTAAAAGTCCCTATTATCTTACTGGACAAGTGCATCGAAAAGGAAGAATGCGTAATATGTTCATGTGTGTTGTACGTGTGCAGCCATAATGCCATGATTTTTTAGTCTGCTAAAAAGACCAGAAACTTTTATAAATTTTGCAAGTGATGTATATTCGGGAATGCTTCATGCTGCTAATTACTTCACAAATTCTAGGCCGAGATGCATACTGAATTATGCAAATGGCACTCATCTCATTGTGATATGTAAATCAGTTAAAATTGTCCTATATGTATTGGACTGCTGTCAGTGCCAAAGGTGTTTCACAAAGATCCTAAGTTGGACTTAACAATCATGGAAAGCCATTAGCATCTATGAAAATTGTTTGTATAAGTTAAGTTATTTTAAAAGGCATAACATGTTGATTCAAATCATTCATATTTTCTATTATCAAGGAGATTTCATGTTCCTGATGTGGAATTTATGGAAAGTCTAAAATACTAAAATATATTTTATTTCAAGGCTACAAATGGCTCTCCATAATTTTTTAAGTCCAACTTAGAGTTAAGTTTGACTTAGGCTCTTTGTGAAACACCCCCCTGGTTGGGTATAGCCTATAGGTCAATTTTATTTCTGCTGATATGCTCAGATGAACCACAACATTGCATTATTGCAGTTCAGGAAAGTTCATTGCTGCAATCGTTCACTAAAGTTTCTGGTTGTTTAGTAAACCTGTATGGTATTCACTCATTTCTGAACACAGGGTCATTGATTTAGTTCAGAAAATCCTCATGAAGTGTTGTAGGAAAAGTTGATGTGAGTAATGTATATAGTGTATTGTTCCCATGTATGCCTTGTCTCAGTAATATGACATAAAATATTTCCATATTATATGAGAAATTGTAGTTTCAATTATAGTCATTAAAATGTATTTCAAATCATCACTGTTTAAAGTTTTGTATTGATTTTTTTCTTTATTTCCTCATAATTTACAAATGAAATACAGTGTAGATATTTTCTTTTACAATTTGCATGTGGTATTATTTATACACTAAGTCCCTCATGAGTTAATCCAGATCATAAATAAATTCAAAATGAATGCAGAACAAAACCAAATAAAACAACAGAAAAATGGGTCAGTCGAATTTGAGAAAAGCTTGATCTAGGATAAGAATGATTTTCATGTATTTTTAAAAAAGTTATGACCTTCACTACACAAGTTGATCAATTCCCTTTACAGCTACCCACTTTTGCATTGAACATAAAATTGACAAAGGTATTCCAATTTATGAATTTGATAAGAAAGTAGATATATATTCATTTCATGACATTTTTAGAACATATTTCCAACGGATCAATGAGTACATGTAGTTCAGGAGCCCAAGATGGGTTTTCTGAAAAAAATGGAATTAATGAGAATTGTTTAGAAGGTGTCAAAGAGTTATCAATTTGAGAAACGATCTTTACAAACTTTGAAAAATTCACAAATTTTGTACTCTTAACTTTAACAAATGATTTAGATCATTCACTGATTCATTTATGTTTTCTTTTACTTCCCCCCCTTCAAAATGTACCCTATTTTGGGCAGACTGTCATTAAATAACCTACTAAAATGAACATTTAAATGACAGCACATGATTCAAAATCAATTCAAAGTATATGTACAACAGGCAATATCAAACAAAATGCATGTTTTAGCACATAACAATGACTTTTAAACTACTGTCTAGTCTTGTAGCCTTCGATGAATGCTTAAGAAAATATTACTTGAAATAAAGTTTCTCCTGACTCAATGGTGTATTTCCCATTCATCTAAGCAGCATCCTTTTAGGAGTTAGAACCAGACACAGTAAATCATTGTGGATCATTGATTCAATGATGCTTGTAGAATTGCACAAGCAGGAATTCTAAACTGAGAGAGGGACAGTGTACAATGATGTGAAGCACATCTACATGTATGCTTAGAGATCAACTCTTCATCTCCAATTACTCCACGGACAAATTCCTAACTTTAGCCCTGAACCACAATCCCTAACCTTAATTGTAACTGATGTAACTGAAGTAAAACCTACATCTTTAATGAGATGAGGCCGAGAGAAAATGCCACTGAAGCAAATGTCGGGTCACCATTGGAACCCCATATTTTCTATACAATACAATGCTTGACAAAGCCTTGAGGCTGAGGTGTTACGGGGCCTGAACGTGGACATACAAAAGCTTGAAAACTTTCATCCCTGTCACTGTCAGTAGTCCTTTTAATAGCAGAAGTCCATGGTAGATTTTATACACAAGCCAGTTGATATCATTTAAAGAGCTTAAATTTCTTGAAAAACTTCTGGACCTCCTCCTTTGGATACGGTTTCACTGCAAGGCAGGTGGCATAATCCTCGGGTTGTTCAATCCACAGTTTGTGATCAATGTTATTTTCTTTCAACTTCTCTGATAAAGTCCTAACATCCGCTTCATTCTTTGCCTAAAACAAAGAAATAAAGAAAGAAAATACAATTAAGGAATTACTTGTATAGTACAATCACAATGTACTTTACATTGTTTTTTTGTTTGTTGTAGTATAGTAGTAATGGTATTGATAATATTGGACTTGTATTTTGTACCATACATTGTTGACTAATTATCATCTTGAAATGATGAATTTAATTAATTCTTTGTCTCTGCAGGTTTCTGAGCTTTAGGTGAATATTTAGTGACAGAACTCCCACTAGCAGACTTACCAGTGATATAGTTTGTCCCAAGTTATTTCTCATAATTAACTATTCAAAGACAATGTACATTGTTACTGTTAATCCTCTTCTTCATTCTATTAGAGTGAAATAAGTTATGTTGTTAAAATATGGGTATTTCACATCGTCAATCTCTGCTTCCTTTAGTGATGCAATCAAACAAGTAAAGATCTTGTGAATACTCTGTTTACCTCAAGAACAACTTTGTGCATGTTGTCCAGATCTGATGTATATTTTACAACATTTTCATCCTCCTTGAAAAGATGTATCACAGCAGTACAAGCATGGCATGCCTAAATTCAAATGAGAAAAATAACCAACTTAACCATTTATTAATGAAATTTCTACCATTCGCAGTATCGGTGTATGTTATGGCCATCTAATAAGGAAAAGTCAAATACATAGTTATATATTATTCAATTAGTTGAATTACTTTTAACACTTTTCCTTATTTGGAGTTATATTCTCCTCCGATTTTTATCTTTTCAATCTTTGTATACAAATCTGTTAAAATACATTTAATGCAAGGATTACAATAGAGAATGTAGACCCTTTTCTTCATTTCCAGTATAGCTGTCAAAATAATGGGATTTATCATTCAGATTTGACTTTTTTCTTGTTTATTACATTCAAAGAGCCTACCAAAATCTGGAGAAATAATGGAATTTATTTCACGTTTTAGGATTTATTTTCAATTGCTTCTCCACATGTCTAGGAGAGGGATTTGCTGAAGCTAGAAGTAGTCTCATTAGAACATATCTCCAAACAAAATAACTTTTTGGTTTAAAATAAGAATGATAGACAAATGACGAATATGATTATAATATCAGAAATGAAAGATCATTTAAAAATTTTAATTATTAATTTAAATTTAAAAAAAAGAAGATTCAACCTCAAAGAAAAGGTTAAACAAAGAAAGAAAGAAATAACATTATGAAAACAACAATCAATATTAACAAAAAAAATAAACATTAAACAATCAAACAAACAAAAACACGCAATACATGTACGATCAGTCGACTCGCTCTCTTCTCGGCTCTTCTCTTCCCTTTTTGCAGTGTAGCGCCTAAGCACTCACACGAGTTGCTGTATGTGGGACAACATTAAAGTTACTCTTGTCACAAATTATTTATTTCATGAATGAATCATCAATGAAAATATATCGAATCGTCATTTGGATACTAGAAGTACTATATAACAATCACCTGCGCGATAACAGCACCTGTCGGCCATTTCAAAGCATGTAAAAGGTCGCCTCTTACAACGACATATTGGACCATGGAGGCTGCCATTTTTTTATTTTAATGAAGCTTGGTCAAGTAAATTTTTCTTAATTAGGTTTGGTAATACAACTTAAACTTTACAACTTAATATAGAATACTAAAATAAAATATTACTCAATATTTTGTTTTATTATCTTACTTTTTATTATCTTAAAGTATTCTATAGATTAAAAAATATAGTCATCTTTGATATTATTATCATATATCAGCGGCGGTCACTACGAATGAATTCTGCGACAAAACTGTCAACTGTTACATTCTAAACTGACCTAGATCTATATATTTGCTATTATTATCAGCTATGGAAGTTCTAACAGAAAGGTTATCGAGAGGTGAGTAGGCCTTTACAGTATATTTTGTTTTTGCATCGGTGAAAAATTAGAATTAGAATCACTGTCGTCTGTGCTGTGTGTGTGGTGTGGACTGTGGTTTTGTGGATGTAGCTTCTTTTATCTTTGGATGAATCCTGGACAACTCGCCACAAAGACAACCCGCCCCAAGACAACCCGCCACAATACCCTGGACATCCCGCCACAATACCCTGGACAACCCGCCACAATACCCTGGACAACTCGCCACAGCCTTTTCGGACAACTCGCCACACTTTTTTCCCCTCATGATTTCTAGATCTAAAATCCCTCATCTTAGATGAAATTGTCATTTTTCATGATTTTCGTGCTTTTATAAACACAGTTATGACAGGAAACATGGAAATTGTGAGTATTTTGAGAGCTGTTCTAAAGAATAAAGATGATTTTCCTTGCGCTTGCAACAAGAATCTATTTTGGACGAACCCAAGCCAGTACGACTACGAGTTACGGCATTCTTGGTTGGGGGGGGGGGGGGGGGGGACACTGGCCCCCACTTTTCCAGGTTCCCCTAAAGTGCACCCTTATCCTTTGTACATGTCCTTTTCCCTTCTGATAATTTTTAATGGTAGGAATTCATGGAAGGATAGGCCTACTGGAAGCACTGGCGTACTGATGGGGGAGGGGGCAGTTGACCCGCGAAATAAAATTGAAATGTGGTTTATTTCTAGATTTTCTGGGTTAGTTTCGCACTTTTGCCCACAGTCAGAGGCGGCATTCTTGGTTGGGGAGGGGGCACTGTGCCTCCACTTTTTCAGGTTCCCCTAAAGTGCCCCCTTATCATTTTGTACATGTCCTTTTCCCTTCTGATAAGTGCCTACTTTTCTTTCTCAGATGTTTTAATTATAATGTTATTCATAATTACATAAAAGAACTTTTCAGTCATTCTTCAGACATTAGATTGTCTTTAATATTCATCATGTGTTTTCAAACGGGACCTTATACTTTTAGCTCGCTTGCTCGAAAATCGATATTCAGTCCATCAAACCAAATTGCGAAGTACGTTGCTTAAACAATATGTTGTTCCACGTAAAGAAATAAACAAATATTGATGTCGTTCGTGGTAATGTATTCACAATCTTGACGAAGGCGTAGGCCTTTATACAAATATCTAAAAATGTTTGTTATTATTGTTGATGTGTCCCTTTGTAGGTGCCCCTTTTTCAGAAATCCAGCCATTCTTGCGATCATAGGCGCCAGAAGTGGGGGCAGGGGAATCGCCCTCCTCCCAACGAAAAAGTTTGTGTGTGTGTGGGGGGGGGGGGGGGGGGTGGGGGTCAAAACGAATTTCCACTCCCCCCCCAAAAAAAAAAATCAAAAAATCAAAAAATCAGCAATAAAGCAGTATAATTGATTACTTTTTAGTAACCAAAAAGAACATACAAAAATAATAAAACCTAAATTGAATCAAATTAAAATGATATTCCATTCAAAGAAAATTAGGAAAGTGAACTGGATTTAAAATTTCCTAAACATTCTGCATGCCCCTATATTCATCAATGGAGGATTTTATAATAGCGATACGCGCATAATTATGTATCCTTGACATTTATTGTGAGAGGATGGGAAAGCGTGCGTGTATTTTTTATTATAGGGGTGAGAAGACATGAGCCCCTCCTGAACACTGATGGGGGGGGGGGGGCAGTTGCTCCCCAAATAAAAATACAAAGTGGTTTATTTCTAATTCGATACCAGTGATTTACAATTGTTGCTGAAATGACATGATTTTCAGGGATTTATTCTCATTTTTTTATAATTATACCTTTTTATGCGTTTGTTGGAAAAATTACAATCAGGCAACCAACAAATATGCTTATTTTGAAGCCTTTATGTCAGGGCCTGCACTTTTTGAAAAAGTATGTTAAAGAGAAAGAGGAAGAAAGAACGAGTGGCCTGCTAGTTTCACAAATGATGTTTCAAAATATGCTCATCTTGGCGTAATTAAATGCCTAAATCCCCTGAGCTTACAGGGGCTCCGTCCTCTGGACCCCACTAAGGGCCCTAACGTGGGCCCATGGATGCTCATCGGACCGTAAGTATACATACATAGAACCCATGAGCTTCTGGGGGCTCCACCCCTTGACCCCTGGACCCCACTCCACGTCAATTTGCGCTCAACTCACTTTGCTCGCTATACGCTCTATCAGATTGTTGATACTCCACTTCAAAAAACGTTCCGCCAGGGGCCTGCATGTTACGTGTAAGAGTGGTGGCGATGCAGATTTTTCTTCTGCCCCAAAAACGTTTTTGCGCATTACGCCACTGCCCCTGGAGGGTGAGCCCCCTGGAATATTCCCCACCCCCCACCCAAGTGACCCAACCCAATCCCAAAGTGCTTCCGGCGCGCCAAACTGGTTGCGATGTCAGGAATGCTCGTCCCGGCCTCTTTGGTAATCCTGGCAGTGACAACAAATATATTCCCCACTGAAATATATATATTTCATATATATATATAGAGTAGTAGTAGTACTACTCTACTATACTGCTACTATACTAATACTACTACTACTTCACTACTACTACTACTACTACTACTACTACTACTACTAATAATAATAATAATAATAATAATAATAATGATGATGATGATTACAATTTAACGACGACGGTGATGATGATGACGACAACAATAATAAAAAGTACTAATAATAACTGCAAGAATCCAGACATTGTCTTCAGGGACAACAACAAAGTAAATATCATCGAGGTCATCGTTCCCCATGACATCAACATCGCCGTCAAAGAAAGAGACGTCTCAAGTATGAAGACCTCAGGATAGAAGTCGAGAGGATATGGAACGTTCCATTCAATTCAATTCATTTGATATCATTCTTCATTAAAAAAATATTAAAACATACAAACATGGTATATCTAGCGTTAAGCAATTAAGAAAACTCGTAAAATTCATAACAGTTATAATACAATTCTTTTTGTTGGATCATAATGCTAAAAGGCGTGGTCCTATTTTTGTTACTAAAAGTGTAATAGGCCTACTCGTAGTGGTAGACAAACCAATCCACGTGATATTTTAGACTTATAACTTTAAATTGTATGTAGGGTATACTTAGTCTTTAGCTCATGTTTATTGTGTTTTAGAAATATAAAAATGTATATATCATGTCTATGTATTTTATTATCATATCTTACCTTGTTTTATATATTTTTCTGTATTGTGTTGTAAATATGTGGTGCTATCATACCCCTGAAGGGGGTCCATAGAGTCAAATGAAATTTTATCTTATCAGATAAAAGATTGATTACAAGAAAAATGTGGGATTAACAAAAAGGGCAATTAGCCTTATTAGCGTCAATCCCTTAGCAAGTATATACTGTATTGTTGAGAAAAGAAAAAAAGGAAAGAGAAAGCAGAGGGAGCCTGAACACCAAGAAGAAGAAAAAAAGGAAGGAGAAGTGCATTAACTTAAACGTAATGTCATTTATTTTGACTGGAATACAATGATAGAATATGGGATTTATACAATCGTTTAAAAATACTAATTTATTTAGAGTTTTTCATATTAAACGGGATATTTTTCCATAAAACTGGCCCTTTAAAACATTAATTTGTACAGAATTTTAGGAAAATGAAAATTACCAGCATTACGAGTTTCATGAGAATGTATTTCATAATTAAATTTAAATTTACATGACATGGACCTTTGCAATAAACCCTTGCCACATAGACAGAAATATAGCAATATTAAATTATTTATATCACGAAAGTAACCCAGAAAATCTAGAAATAAACCACATTCCAATTTTATTTCGCGGGTCAACTGCCCCCCCCCCCTATCAGTACGCCAGTGCTTCCAGTATCCTACCATTAAAAAAATTCTGGGACAGAAAAATGCAGCTGTTATAGACCTCTAGATCAAAAGTATATTATTGTTACAAGGGAAATCAACTTTATTCTTTGTAATGACTGTGTTTATAAAAGCACGAAAATCATGAAAAATGACAATTCATTTCAATATATATTATTGTTACAATTAGGGAAATCAACTTTATTCTTTATTCTTTGTAATGACTGTGTTTATAAAAGCACGAAAATCATGAAAAATGACCATTTCATTTCATTTTAGATCTAGAAATCATGATGGGAAAAAGTGTGGCGAGTATGACTGTGTTTATAAAAGCACGAAAATCATGAAAAACGACAATTTCATTTCAATATATATTATTGTTACAATTAGGGAAATCAACTTTATTCTTTATTCTTTGTCATGACTGTGTTTATAAAAGCACGAAAATCATGAAAAATGACCATTTCATTTCATTTTAGATCTAGAAATCATGATGGGAAAAAGTGTGGCGAGTATGACTGTGTTTATAAAAGCACGAAAATCATGAAAAATGACAATTTCATTTCAATATATATTATTGTTACAATTAGGGAAATCAACTTTATTCTTTATTCTTTGTAATGACTGTGTTTATAAAAGCACGAAAATCATGAAAAATGACAATTTCATTTCATTTTAGATCTAGAAATCATGATGGGAAAAAGTGTGGCGAGTTGTCCGAAAAGGCTGTGGCGAGTTGTCCAGGGTATTGTGGCGGGTTGTCCAGGGTATTGTGGCGGGATGTCCAGGGTATTGTGGCGGGTTGTCTTGGGGCGGGTTGTCTTTGTGGCGAGTTGTCTGGACCCCCTTTGGATGCATGCTGGACAGCTCCACACCCTGGCGAAGCGCGAAGGCCGCAGCAGCCCCCGGCGGACAGAGCTATGATGATGTTGGGCTCGAGTTGTTGAGTCTCTTGAGCTAGCTTGTTAGTGTTACCTTGGCCTTGTCTAATCCAGAAAAAGGCGTGGATAATGATGTGCTTTATATCTGGCTTATAATTTATTCGAACTCTTCTTGAAGTTGAAGTCAAAGACGTTTAACTTATAGGCCTAGATCTAGACCTAAAGCAATTTGCCTGAATAGATCTAGCTTGTGACTTGATTTGAATATAAATTTGAAACTTTATTTAAAGGTCCATTCTAACCAAACTGGGCTAAAAAAATGAAGAAAAAAAACATGAACAATAATTTTTGACGGAGATTCCGAACATGACAATGATTTTTCTTAGAAATCATCAATAATTCTGGAATCTAGCATTAAAAATGATGTCATTGACTCAGAACGTGCATAAAAAACCCAGTTTCGGTGATGACGCATTTGACGTCACTGCAGGCGCCTCTTCGGTGAAAAGAAGGGTGATTTAGGCATTAAAATGTCTTTTAAAAGGCAAACTAATATTAATTGAAGAAAAAAAAGAGATTTATCTGAAAAATAACGTGCACTTGATAATCCCAGTACGTTTCTGCCTTTCTGGCAATTTCATCATTCCTAATTATGAAATTATCAAATCGGACATCCCCGCAATGATGTCAAAAGCGTCATCAAGCCACGTGACCATATTACCTTTTTTCGAGGGGCGTAACCCAGCAAGCGCGAGAACTGTGAAAAATGGATGGCTATTATCATTTTGGAGGTCAATTTAGAGATTTTCTGAAAAATCAGAGGCTACAATATTAATAAGTAGAGGTTTATTCATGTTTTAAAAGGCTATGTTAGTTGGGTTAGAGTGGCCCTTTAAAAAAAATATTAAAAAAAATCTCAAACTGTTTGAACTTTGAAAGTTTGAAGTATTTCTTTGGTTTAAATATATTTCTGGACCCAAGGATCAAGGAAGGACTTAGTAGTCTTGACATTTTCTAGAGTTATTTGCCTAATTATTTGTGTCTGTGAAAAATGTCACTGGTATCAAATACTAAATTAAATTTTGCTTTCACTATGACTATCATAGACAGTAAGGGGGTAAATAATTAAAGAAAAACAGAAGAGAGACAACAAAAATCTTTCTAATTCTTCAAACCTTTATTTGAAAATTAATGTAAACCTTCACACCTCCTCTTGGTGATTCCAGGAACTTTGCATCATCTCCAGAAGTTGGAGCAGCAAGCCCAGGACCTGAGACATGGCTCCAAGACCAGGGCCAAGCAGGAGAGGATGCTGAGGGACCTTCAGAAAGCGGTGCACCAGCTCCAAGAGAGGAGGGATCTCCTCAAGGTCCAGATTGCAAACTCACCAAACAAGGTACATGAATGCCCACGTTAAACACAGGCCTGATAATTACCTGATTTATTTATTTTTCCCCGAATTTTTTCTCGTGATTTTTACCCCAATTTTACCCCTATTCTCTGGATTTTCCGAGATTTTTCCATTTTTTCCTCATTATTACCCCCATTTTCATACTAAAAAGGGGGAAATGTTGTTAGATGCCATTGTTCCCCCAAATGCTTTTTTTTTTTAGTCAAGGGGGGGGGGGGGGGGGGGGGGTTGAGAAAAAAATAACAACCTATTTTTTTTTTTCAGTGCTCACTATCACCCCGGGTAATATGGCTTGAATTTTACTTGAATTTTCCTTCCGAAGCTAATTTGTTAATTGGAGAAGGCTTAGTTTCTTACAACTTGGATACATTCTGATCTGTGGTGATGTAGAGGTTGACTTTCAGCACTTCTTAGATTGGCAACCTAAATCGTATTCTTGAGATATCATAGGGTCTAAATTAAACTTGGCTTAAAGTTTGGCATCTTAAGAACCTGGGCCATTAATGATTAAGAATTAGATTAATCTGTTTGAAGCGTGAGTACCACCAGGAAACATGAACCAGCACTAGATTGTTTTTGTGTACCGGTAGTCAATATTTCATCACCACATGTTTGGAAATAAAAGTGCTATGATAATCCATTTCAACAAGGGATAGAGCAACGTTGCTCAGTGGCTGCCAGACTCACGATCAATTGGGCTAAAATAATTTTATTTTCGGTTTAACTTAATAAAATTTGGAGTGGACTTTAAAGGATTATTATTATTTTTATTATTTTTCTTTTTTCCTCTGTTTGTGCAGGTTCTGGGCCCGATCTTGCAGAACACAGATTCTGAAGACAAGAAAGCCTTGGTGATGGCCGTCAAAGAAACCATGAAGAGAATGGACAAAAAGACTCTCAAAGGTGCTGTGACCGAAGCCACCAAGCTTAAACAGAGGGAACTGTCTGTGTCCTATAGACTCACAGGTGAGAAAAGAGCTTATACCGGTAATCAGAATGTGCCGTACAAATATTTACAAGGAGTATTGCAACTGAAATGTTGAAATTGTAACACGTAGTCTACACTGCTTTTATAAACAAAGGGAGATGGGGAAACATAATATTCTCCTGAGAAATATATTATTTATCATGACAAATTCAAATTATGACAAGGCATTTGTCAATGACTTTGCATGGGTGGCTGTGTAAGTTGATAGTTTGTAAAGCCATTTGGGCAAACACAAGTTAAGGTGTGCTACTCAAATTTGTCTCAATAGTAAGATTTTATCACTAAAATAAGAGATAAAACAGTTTTCAGAATACCACCTCTGTGCTGTAAAAGAGTGCATAAGAGAAAAGGGATTTGATTCAGAGTTGGAACTCTTGAAGCTTACTGGATTATTTGTATGCAACAGTGGATGATGAAATAAAGGCAGATAATATTGAATTGCTCAGAATTGTTATTTGTTTTCATGCTTTGCAAAGATAATAGTATACAGCAAGAGAAAGAGGGCGTTATTTTGTACACCACATTAAATTTGCAATTTTAAAACTGCTCATATTATATGTATCATGAAACATAAAATCAAACTCTCTGTGAATTAGGAACTGTGTAACCACTTCATCTAATTATCTCTTGGTGCATACAAAATTGACACATCCAGCTTTCGTTTAACAATGTTAAATCTAAGATGCATGGCCTACATGCTATCAGTGTCTGTGATATGGTGTAATATTGAAGCCCTAAAAAAAAAATTGTTTCAAAATGACCATGAAGTGCCTCAAAAAATACTCATTTTCCCCAATAGACTGTAGTGTTATAAAAATTGTTAAAATATATTTTTTTTAAATTTGGATTCCCAATCATAAATATCTTGATAATCAGACAGGCGATGTGCTTGTAAAAGTCACAGGATTCCTGACTGACCTAAGGGTTTATAATTATGATTGCAGCGTGAGCTAAATCCAGGATTTGTTTCAGAATCTGGGGCAATGTTCCTGAGTCACTTTAATGCAAAATTGTTGATGTTCATGTAACCATGTCCCATCCAGGCTGCACAATTCACAAGACAGACGGCAACAGCGTGCGGGTGAGATGGGACACCTTCGACCGGGGGCAGTACTTCCAGCCGTATTACGCAGTCATATCCCTCAACTCTGCCAAGAGTCTACACCTCGTCAAGCATAACCTGCCCTATTTCCTACCGATCAAGGACTTTGAGACGAAGCACCTCAACACAGACATGCAGGCCTTCGTGCAGGTGGTCGGCGACAGTCTCAATGCATTCGTTTCAAGAAGGCATCAAGTGGAGGAAGCAACAGTGAGTGAATTGATATGTTTTTAAGGTCACTTTTGGAAGCCGCATTTATGACAGATTTATATGCTGTTCATGTATGTGTTATAATGCTTCCATGGTTAATTTCTAAACCTAACAAAACTTCTAAATGCCTAATTTCAAACTCTGGACCCAACACTTGCCAAAACCTCCCCTAAAACCCAATGATAAGCATACCCTAACCTTATATCTTGACAAAGTAAAGCCTGGAGTAAAAGTGAGATCATGATGATGATAAGTTCAAGATCAGTTATTGTTTTGATGGCTTCATTTTTTCTTCCATTTGGAAAACTTTCCTGCAGAAAATTCCTTTTGTGGTTGCCATTGACAATCATAATTTTTTTTTAAATGTTCAGTATTGTAGTTGTGAAATTTCATGTATGCACATTACAGCTCCAGGGTTATAGTTTCATGGAATTGTTGGCCGGGGTAACGGTTATTTACCCGCAGTCTTTTTTTAACAGATGTTCATAAAAAGAGCAGACACGAATCAGACTTAATAGCAAGGGATTTACAGAAAATATTTAGATTATTAACAGACTGTGTTTCGTCCAATATTGTGCCTCTCTATTTCATTGTTTGTACGTGCAGTATTCCAGGTAGCTTAAAATGCTCGACCCCAACAAATATTATATCTTTTATAAAAGTAAATGCTTCCTGTGAGAAATTTCAATTGTTAAAATTGTTTGTGGCTTACACCCAGTCCAGCTGGCTCCAAGATTTTTTCTGACTTGTTTTGCAATCACAGATCGATCAATCGTTCTTATTTACTGGGTGTAAGCCACAAATATGTTTAAGCAAAATATTTACCGTTTTATTTTTAGGAGGAGTGCCAGAAATTTATCCGAGGGGAGATCACATCTAGCAATGCTTTCAACAACATTGATCTGACCTTATCGAGTTCCGGACAGACTTGTTTTGATGTTCAGCTTTTCTATGATGACCTCAAAGGAAATAGACCCACTGGTGTTACCGTCCATACACACGGTGAGTTTCAGGTCAAACAACTTAAAGCCCCCATCTGCACTAGTTTTGCCAGGAGGGATTAGACCACCCAGCATGGTCAAAATGATATGAAATTTGGCCCAGTCTTGGTAAAGTTACAAGCACTGTACACAGAAAGATGTATACGGGACTATGCGATATCTATCCAGGCCGGATAGATATGAGCATTTACCTAATATATCAATTAGTAGGCGGTTTCCCAGCAAAATTTGTATCATCACGTATTAGTCAAAACATATTCTTTCACATGATTGGTAATAAGAGCTTCCATTTCATTTTTTGAGATGGGGCGTGTCCAAAACTGGTCTATACTTTTAATACTTCCATTCGTCCTTAAACAAGAATGCAGGGTTCTTGGAGTTAACAAGGCTGAGAAGAGATAACCTGGATAAGGCGTCATGTTTTTTTTACCACCTCAACATTCAGGTTCGATTACAGCGGAAATTTTTTTTTGGTGGTGGGGGGGAGGTTCCAATGTGAGTGAATTATAGTCTTGTGGCATCCTACGGGTGATAAGGGAGGATAAAAGCCATGTTTTTCATGTGTGTATGTGTATAACATTAGTTGAATGTATTGATTCACCATGTTTTTTCATTTGCTTGATTCTCTCATTATGCAGGAGGCTTGTCCAAAGCGCAGATCAGGAACATCAAAGAAATCTTCTCTCAACATCGGATATCAGAAGCCATACAACAGATACCACATTCATAAAAGTGATATAACCTTACTATGCTTGTTGCCACCGAGGCCCTTGTAGCAAACTGAAATCCCTAGCTTCCATGGTTGAACATCATTAGTTCATTATTCTGAATACAGTAGTTTATTTACATAATTGTTTGTGCAGCACTGGCAGTCTTTTATGTCGAGTTGCCATCTAACTAAGTTCCCAACTAAATTGGTACTTAAATAGGAACTTAAATTTATTTTTGTGATGTGCGTTATATAAGAATAGTTTATTATTATTACTATTATTGTTATTCATAAAACCTTACTAAGAATCTTACCAGCTGGTACTGCACTAGGGAGGATGTAGTTGCCATCTTGAGAATGGAATTACATGCACTTGGGTATAGCAGACTTTAGTTGAAATGGGGGAATGTGAAGATGACACCTTTTCAGGCTAATTTCCATAGCTCTTTGTTCAAAGCTTTTCTCTTTTTGCAAATTTAAATCTTTTATTCAACCTTCATGAAACAAATAACAGTGACAATATACAAGATAATGGATAGGACCCCTAGGTCTAGGCAGCAGAATTCTGCTAGTACTTGGGGCCATGTAATGGACAAGAAGAAGATAGGGAACATACCAGTAAATCATCTTAAAAACTTGCGTGATACAAGCACGCACTTACACAACACACACACACACACAAGAATAGAAATGAGAGAAAAAAATTGAATAAAAAGAAATAAAAGTAGAAGAAAGAAAGGAAAGAAAAGTACCTACTCAGCAATTTATATCATTCTTTGAAAGTACTTTTTTGTACATTGATGACCAGGGCAGAACGTATTAGCACGAAGTTGAAATCGCGACCACAAAGAAACTAATCACGCTCAAACATTCTAGCCATCATACTGCCTTATAGCCTCAGTAATTTGACTCCATATCAATGATACCGGTCGCAATACCCGCACTTGAAGGTGCGCAGATGAATTGTAACATTCTTTTAATTCAAGTTTGGATTCTTAGTTTCTTTCTCATGGTAGCCATGATGTTCAATAAAACTTTACAAAGTCGTCGCTCATATTGGCCCAGCTATCACCGAATTGATATCCATGTTAAAGTCCCAATCCCACTGTTCTGCCACCAGTGTAACAAATTTATTAAAACTAACGAACACTGCTCTAGATCTCGCTGCTCTTGTCTCTTCTCACTCAGTCTCTCTCTCACCCTGTAACCATCCATGCATGTACAAAAAGTATAGGTGACAGAAGAGATGGAGTAGATGAAGTACATCGATCTTACCCTCATTCTTTTTCGTTTTTCCGCTGCTGGCCGATGCTGCTTTCTTTGACTTTTACTCTTGGATTCGTCATTATCACATCTAATGTTCCTTGGAATCGCGTCTGGCTTCAATCTTTTCTGGAATTTTGATCCAAATTGTGCCCACAAACCTTCTTCGAAATCTGATTTTTCGAAGTAGGCGCAACATATCACACTTGTGTCCGTATGTCCTGTCCATTGTCCTCTGGTCAGTTTAACTTTCAAAGTCCAAATTTTCCTCAACGTAACGTCTTTGGGAAATTTGTGTAGACTTGCATCTTTAGTGGTATTTAAACATCCAGCAACAATGCACCTCGTTTGCATTCTGCTGATTGCTCAATAAAATAAAGTGAAACAATCGAGAAGGGCAAACAAAATTTTGACAAGTAGTTCGAAGTACATGTGAAACCAATGGAGCTATGCACGTTTCTCGTATATTATGTAACTCGAAACAGTTCGCGAACAACAAGCTGGTTCTTTTGCTGACCTCAGAGGGTCACGTGATACTCCGACTCTGTTTGGGGAGATTTTTTGGGGGGCGGGCATATTTGGCTGAAAATCCTCAATTTTGAATAGCTTGTGAACTTGAAGTGGGATTCTTTTCACGGTTATTTTGGATGGGATTATATTCAGAAAACAACATATTAACAAATAAATTCACATCTTTGCAGCATTTCATAGAACCTTTAACTATTTTATTATAATGAATGACAGCTCAGTATTAAAGTCGGGAAATCGCGCTCTCTAAACAGAGATTCTTATATCAAAATTTACATAATGAAAGAATTGTCAGAAAAAAAATCATTAGGCAACATGAATTAAATTGGCAATTCGAACTGGCCTTCCCTTTGCCCTTGCATCTACCCCTGGCCTTGCCTCTACCTCTTCCATTTTGGACGCCATTTTGAAAAAAAACGGTTTTTCGGAAGTTAGATTTTCTTAGATTTTTAGTATGTTATTGCTGACGTCATATACTACTAGAAACCGTTGAAAAAGCTTTTGTTGCAGTTTTTTTGAGGTTAGGCCCTTTTTTGCCTTGGAATGACTCTACTAATGATTAAAATCAAACTTCCAACGAAAGTTGGTCAAAGTGATCTTTTGTTTAGGGTTTGTGTTTTTTTTATCTCATTACTTTTTTCAATATCTTTGTTTAGAATACAATAAAATGATTTACCAAAGTATCTAGGGTTGGACTACTCAGGACTAACCAGTTTTATTTGGAAAGTTTTGATATGCACTGTAAAGCAATCTACTGTACTCTACACTAGCAGCAGCTCTTATGTCTTTGTTTCAGTCATGTTTTTGAGGGTGCATGATAGTGACCTAACAGAAGCCCTAACTTGGGATGGTGGGAAAATATCATAGAGGTACACAGCTACAAAGTGATAAAATGGTTCAAGCACCAAGGCATATTCAACGTTGAACATGTACATGTAATGGGCCTTGAAAAGGCGGTCAAACCCTTCTACCAAATTTGCCCCAGCTGCTACCACCGTCTTATGCAGCACCAGGAAATACTGACTGGGCTTCTTCTCCATTCCGACTGATACCAGGTATGGCTGGATGTAAGTGGTATTTGGCGTATCATGCTCAGAGCTAGAGAGCAATAAACTCTGCATTTCAAATGAAAACAGAAAAAGTATTAATTACTTTCTATTCTCTGTTGATTTCCTACGTTTGGGTACAGGCATGTGCTCAAAAACTGAAGGCACAGCATCTTCCTTCAGTCTCGTCTTCTCGTTCGTGTCCAACAGTTTTGCTTGGAGGTCTATTATGAAATCCTCCTCAACGAAATGTTCGCTGCACACTACGTTACTGCGGCTGAACTTTTTCAAGTCGTATTTATCAACTTTCAAGGCAGAAATCCATCCAACAAATCTCAGGTCTCTTGGCTGGGTTGGGAATGACATGAAAGCTGACTCTTGGATTCTTACAGCCAGTATGTGAGGTGTTAGAACAGTTGTTTAGCGTATCTGATATTTTTTCTGACATTTCTTCCTTCTTAAGCTCACTAGTATTGACGTAGTACTTTATGGAAGTCATTCCTTGTGAAATAGGCTGATTTCCCAGCATCTCTTGCTGCTCTAAAAGCCTACATTTGTGCTTGCCTGAGCTGTCGTACCCATGTTTGTTTGCGCTTGGTGCTTTGATACCAACATGGGTGCAATCTATACAGCCCAAAGTATTTGGCATGGTAGCTATTTCAACGAACTGGGTCTTTTTCGTTGCTAGAGATCAACACGTCAGAAATTAAGAAATTCACTGAATCTTACTGAAATTGCATCAGTAACAGCTGCAATTGCTCTACTTTGTGATGTCTGTGAGATATTTTTTAGATCACCCATCACATGTTGAAAAGTTCCGCTTGTGAAAAACCGAAGATGCCTGTTGTTCAACGATTAACGGTCGAGGCCCATCTTGTTGTCTTTTAAATGTTTCCTACAACTTGATACGTCACAGTATTTATTAGTGCCCCATAGGAGAAGAGTCTTTCGTTATATCCTTTGACCGCTCTCTGAGTCTGTAGGGAGGCTGCAGTGGACTTAACCTGCTTTGCTACACGGGTTGTGAACGTCTAGCCAGTTGTATACTTCTTTCACTGCAAACTGTGTTCTAAGGCTTTCCTCTATATTTCAGTTGAAAGCTCTTCATATCCTAGCCTATAATTTCTCATAAAGTTCTTTTCTGTGATGTTTGGTGACACACAATCTTCTTCTAACTTGTTACTTGTTGAGCAAGTCAACAGCATTCCTTTGAAGAGGAGTAAGGCCAGGTCCCTGGATGTTTTTGTAGATCTGGCCTTCTAGATCTACTACATCTTGATACGACAAAGTCCCCACAAGAGCAGATTCCTTCATTGTATCCTTTGACAGCTCTCTGTAGGAAGACTGCAGAGCACTTAGCCTGCTTTGCTATACGTGCAGAGTGGTGAGAAAATGCCTTGCTGTTTAAACACCTCCAAGGAAGAATGCAGGGTCTGCAGCGTACGGGGACGAGTTGCTGGTATTTGCATGGGTAGGGTCACCAATTCCTTCCTGCTGATGTTGCAATATAAGCAGCAGTGGTGACCTGGATGAATTTTGAAATACAAGGTCAACAAAATCAAGGAAAGGTCAATTATCAATTCTAAATCATTTTCTGTGAGATTTATACTTTAAAATTATTACTGATAATCCTCATTCTGTAATCATACTTTCCTCTGCAAAATTATCTAGTCTGTGCATCAATCTCAATTCAATTTGAATATTATAATGAATGGACAGGCAAATTGTTGTGCTTTAAAACAAGGCTGGGGAACAGCGTCGGGAAATTTCAATAATCTCAACAAACGCTCATAAACAACCATATCCCTTTGAATGCTTACAATTGGGACCAGTGAGGCATACATTTGGTTTAGATACTCGTAATCTCCAAATGCAAATACCTTGATCTTCTTCCCCCTGTAAAGAAAGTTATCAGCAATGTCAGTAACATCTACCTCTTTTATATCATCACTTATGCTCGGCAGTCCTATTGCAGTAATCACATAAGTCTGTGAATGGTTCTTTACGGATCTGACGGGTATCTTGTAGATTTCAGTCTCTAAATCTTTTCCCACGTTGCCGACCTTCCTTATTGTGATGGAAGATTTCTTTCCTTTTAGGTTGAGTGTCTTGGCTACTCATCCGTTCCAGCATAATAATATAGATATTTAGTTTCTAAATCTGAAAATAAAATATTGATAAAGATTTTGTGCACATCGAGTAACAATTTGAATCACCAGTATCGGAGTACTTCTTTGTATAGAACTTTACATAGTGTCTACCAACCTCAAAGTTGACGGAGACAGCTCCTCGACCTGGGGCATGGAAACAGCTTAGCGCAACGTCAAGATTGAATGAGGAGTCCCCCTCCCCCCCCCCCCCCCACAAGGTAGAGGAGGACTACTCGCATGTTCGCTAAGCTGTTTGGTCAAGACACATTTGCTGGTTGGACCATCAACTTGAAGGTACCACCTCCTTTGTCCCCTCCGATCTTCAGCCAGACTTCATCTGAAGGTATGTGCCCATCATGCCACGTCAATTCAACATCTAGATTGAATGCGGATTCCCCCCCCCCCCCCCCCAGGGTAGAGGAGGACTACTCGCGTGTTCGCTAAGCTGTTTGGTCGAGTTACATTCGCTGGCTGAACCATCAGCTTGAAGGTACCACTTCCTTTATCACCTCCGATCTTCAGCCAGACTTCATCTGAAGGTATGCACCCACTGAGCCAGAATGCCATGACTCCTCTCGATATTGGCTATGCTAGCTTGTTTCCATCTTTATCATTTCCAACTGGGATTTGAGTTTCTTATTTTCTTTTTTGAGTGCATGGTTTTGTTTGGCCACTTCTCTGTTTTTTTCTACCATTGTTTTCTTTGCTGCTGCATGTTCATCTTCCATGCTCTTCACATTTTTTTCCATGTCATTGACCACATTCATTATTTGATTTATTGCCTGTGGGACATTGTATTGGTGATGTCTTAATCTAGTGCATACTCCGATCATTTTGACATCTCTCTGTAGGAAGGCTGCATAGCACTTAGCTTTTTTTACTATTTGTGCAGAGTGCGATGTATTGCTGTCGCAGAGTGGTGAGAAACTGCTCTTCCTTGCATCTACAAATGTCTGTTAAAAGCTCCTTCTTCTGTTTTGATGGCTTTCTCTAGTTGGATGTTCTTTATGTAGCATCTCCTTCTTTTCACCATATAGATAGATGCCAATAATGTGACAGGTTTAAACCGATATGTTGTTTATAAAACGCTGTACCTTTGATGGCAGAGCTTGACCATGCATAAATCCAGCAAAGAAATGCTGGTAACACAACATGGTTCATTTTCCTCGCTGTGGATATTCGATCCCAAAGGCGTAGAAGGCAGCGAAAGATGCCTATCTTCTTCTATATGAAGTAGTAGAGGGCATCTGTCTGAAGAACTACCCTGTGGAATGGGGTCATCTCTTCCTCTATGTAGGCAAATTTGCGCAAGAATGACCACATTCTCTTCATGACTTCTCAATCTGTTGGGTCAATCCCTGAAGACCACTTACTACCAAATTCAATCTGGCAGGACCATTTATGCTTATAGAAATAGGGCTGCAAGGAATGTGTACAGGTAGCGTGACGCATGGATGGATTTGTAGAGCAGTTCGTACTTGGCCGGCTTGTTTGGGTTGTATTGCCTGAAGGCGAGGGATGTCCTCATGGGATAGAGAGTTTCATCGATGGTGAGACACTCATCCGGTGTTACGGCTGATGCACAATGACGGTTCAGAAGAATATGCATCTCGCCAAAGGCTGCAAAACGGTCGTGCTTCCACCTGTCCTGCCTTGTTGTGAAGTGATCGAAGGAGAGCTTCAAAAGTAGGAATGCAAAGATGCTGTCTTTTCCTCTTACAATATCCCATAAGGGCCTGATTGCCACCCTGTAAAATAGGCCCAATGCCTTCAACTCTGCAACGTAAAGTTTTTCATTTACGTCTCCCTCTACTGCTAGAAGTAGATTGTTCTTGTTGTCCAAGAGGGAGAGGAATTTCTTCATGTGCTCTACATGATAGAAGAAGGAGAAAGCTCCTTTGAATAGTACATTGGCACGATTGCCAATGTAGTTGAGCATCTTGTTGGTTACACCACATGCAATCTCAAGGAATGATGAAATACATCCCCAACGCCAGATTTGTCGCAACCTCGATAATGGAAGGCCTTGCTTGCAGTGCGAACAAGTCTTGTAACTCAAGCCTCTGATTTTACTTCACAATCAACTCGTTCTTTTTTAAATCGCGCAACAAGTTGTAATATTGAATTTCCTCTTCGTCTTCATAATCAATTTCGAACACAGTTTTCATGGAATCTTCTTTTCTGGTGTTGATACCGCGATCACTAGACCTCTTACCCACATTTTCTTGTGAGCAATTATGAACAGATATTCAATTTCCTTCCCAACAAGCAGTTCTGGCTTCTCCAGAAAATTTGCCAGAACCAGTTTTGATGCCTGAGCAGCTCTCTTCTCACTTTTAGTATTCAAATTCCAAGAGATTTGATTTGATCCAAAACAAACAATGCAAAGCACATTGTGAAACAACAGCCTGTGGGGCACAATTCAATTTCAAAAGTTCATCACGGTGATAAGAAATAGGAGTTAAGTAGGTTGATGCAGACTTTAACTCATTTTCTGTCTGAGGTCCAGGATTTGGATTGATGGATTGATATCACCAGAAATCAATAGTTGTATTTGGAAAGTTGATGATGTGTTAGAATAATAAGAAACATGTTGAGACAGGAAGTCAATATAGCTAGGTTCTGAGGGTTGCCAATACTTTCCTCAAGGCAACTGGTCCTTACACTGTCTCTGTAGAATTAGAAACACAGCACAACTGATGAGCTCCAACGCGTGGATTTTCGTTGCTTCCGAGCCTGCATCTGACTGTTGCAAAAGCTTCTGTGCCTTTCAATCTTTTCTTCTGATGTCCACAGCAGGCCAAGCTTCACAACTTGCCTATTTTGAGGGGGTCTGTTCTCCTTTTGGGGGTTCCCTTGATACATCATTGGAGTAGGAGGGGTTGGTGGTGGTGGTGGTGGTGGTGGTGGTGGTGGTGGTGGTGGTGGTGGTGGTGGTGGTGGTGGGGATGGGTAAGGGAGGTATGGGTTGGGCGCGCCAAGCTGCTGGGGGTAGCTCTTTACGGTGCGCTTCTGTGTATATTTTGCATCACGAGTGGCTTCGGCCTCTTGAATGAGGCTTATTAATTTATGAAAAGGGGGCGCAACAATTTGTTGATGGAGATTTGTTACAGAGAGGATGTACTCATCCTGGCATCCCATCCTAAACCTATCTAAAAGATTCTGGTCTGTCGAGTCTGGTAAAAACTCTCCTATCTCCACCAACTTGTTGATTTTGAGCTGTGTCCTCTTTAGGAAGTCTGAGGGCTTTTACCCTTTGTCATGGGACATACACATAAACTCGCTAAGGAGAAGGGACTTGTTCTCTACTGCGCCATACACATTGTCCAAAAAAGATACAAGTCCATGGGCAGTGGAGCTTCTCGTCCTGATGTCCCTGGGTTAGGGTTTAGGGTATTGGATATTGATTGTTCCTTAAGTGTTTATGCGCTTGGTGCTTTAATACCAACATGATTGCAGCCAATACAGCCCAAAGTTTTCTCTTGGATGAAGATAACATTTACTACTAAGAATTTATTTATTATGATAACAATCATTGAACATACAGCCCAACATGCATCCTAGGGCTAAATATATTCACTTTACAAAACAAAATATACAGAATACATACAAATCAAGATGAAAAACAAAGAATACCAATTATCAATCATTAGGTTGAAATAAAGTTAATGTAGTACAAAATAATCATACAAAATTACACTGAATAAATCCTCAAATATTACATTTAACATTTCAGAAGTAAAATTAGATTGTGGTGATTGTAGGAAACCTGCAACTACTTCTTCAAGATGTTTTTGCATTTCATGGCTCGAAAATGAATTTTGCTGCTGACTTAGCCGGTAGTGTTCCTTTGAAGGGCCTTTACAGTTCACTTCTTTATGAAGAAATGACAGCTGTGTTAAAGATGGCAGGCCTCACTTCTTCTTCAGTCTTGGAGGATCTTAATTTCTCAACACAGGGTGACTTCGAGCTAGATGACAGTGCAGAAGCTACAGAGCAACCAGCATCTGAAGAAAGCTCAACTATGTCATCAACCAGAACCAGAAGCGGATGAGTTATTAAACCACCAGATCGCTTGAACTTGTAAATAAATGAAAGCGAACCACAAAGAAAGACTTTCGCGTTTTGTAAATAGTTTAAAGTTAATACATCCTCAACGCCAGATTTGTCGCAACCTCGATAATGGAAGGCCTTGCTTGCAGTGCTAACAAGTCTTGTAACTCCGGCCTCTGATTTTACTTCACAATCAGTTCGTTCTTTTTTAAATCACTAAACAAGTTGTAATATTGAATTTCCTCTTCGTCTTCATAATCGATTTCGAACAGTTTTCATGGAATCTTCTTTTCTGGTCTCGATACCGATCACTAGACCTCTTACCCACATTTTCTTGTGAGCACTTATGAACAGATATTCAATTTCCTCCCCAACAAGCAGTTCTGGCTTCTCCAGGAAATTTGCCAGAACCCGTTTTGATGCCTGAGCAGCTCTCTTCGTCTTCTCACTTTCAATTATCTCACCCAATTTCCTTTTTCTGGTCCTCAAAGTTTTCTGCTTGTTCCTCTGTTGGAGTATAATCCAGACCAGACACGCCTTGGATGCTTTTCTTGGGCAGTATTTGCAGCCTCTACGGGATCCATCTCTGTACAAAGATGATTGTAGTCAACCACTTCTACGAGATGTTTTTCCATTTCTTGGCTCGAGTTTTCTGCCTTTCTCTTTGAGCGGGAGGCTTGTTTCTCCAATCAACCTTTTTTCCTGAATTTTGCTGCTTTGTTAGCTGGTAGTGTTCCTTTCTAATAATAAGAATTATAAAAACGTTACTTGTAAAGCGCTTACCACCGAAGTCTCTAAGCACTAAGACGTATACTTGGATGCGGCAGGGAGATTGGGTATTCTTAGTAGTTGTTTCAGTCTTTGACGACCACTCTTTTTTCCCCTATGACTATACGACTACGTTTGGACTGTTTCTGAAGTATTCCAATTCCAAGAGATTTGATTTGATCCAAGACAAAAGGATGCAAAGCACATTGTGAAACAACATGTAACAAGGGAACAGGGTACCTAGAATAATAAAATGAAGAGAAGAAAACAGTTGCTTGTGGTGTAATTGGTGTCAGCATGTAGAATGACACATGGCATCACCAGCACTCTGTTCCTTTGTTTCTCCTCATTAATTAAGATGTCTAGGACTCTTCCATTCTCCAAGGCAGGGGGGGGGGGGATATCATAAGAGATGCCACTTTTGGCCAACTATATATTCTATTATAAGTAACTGATTTAGGAGTGACTTATAATTAACAAAATTTAGAGGGGGGAGCATAATTTATCCAAAAACAATCAAATCTGTCGGGCCTGATCACACTCTTCCCCACCAGAAAAGATGTCGTCCTCGACAGATAAACAATAAGTAAATATACCATACATACATACATACATGTAACATAAAATTCAGTCAACTTGGACTAGACCATAACAAAATCCACAATATTGCATATACACTTCATATGATCAGCCCTATCCATCTAGTATCTGTATTACAATTATTACGAGAACTGCAACATCAATGGTTTGTGCACATACCTTTAATGTTCAACTCTCAAGTCCATTTAGGGGACTTTACATTGTAATGACATCTAAAATATAAATGAATATGTGACATAAAGGATAGACTCTTGGCACTTCCTATGAGTGATTGTCCGTCTTTGGATTCTGGTGATACATTTACTGCATTTGCTCAAATCAATGAGCATGACTATGCATCTTGGAGTGCCTGTACTCTCATCATCACCAGTTTCCCTGTTACACAGCGCTGTGAGTTTTTTATGCCTCCGTTACGAAGTAGCCGGAGGCATTATGTTTTCGGGTTGTCCGTCCGTCCGTCCGTACGTCCGTACGTCCCGTTCTCGTGATCGCGTTATCTGAAGAACCGATTGATGGATTCCTGCCAAACTTTGGTCATGTATGTATCTTGCAGAGCCGATGAACTGATTAGATTTGGGGGTCACGAGGTCAAAGGTCAAAGGTCACAGGGCTCATTATGTATGCAAAAACAGCTCGTGATCGCGTTATCTGAAGAACCGATTGATGGATTCCTGCCAAACTTTGGTCATGTATGTATCTTGCAGAGCCGATGAACTGATTAGATTTTGGGGTCACGAGGTCAAAGGTCAAAGGTCACAGGGCTCATTATGTATGCAAAAACAGCTTGTGATCGCGTTATCTCAAGAACCGATTGATGGATTCCTGCCAAACTTAGGTCATGTATGTTACTTGCAGAGCCGATGAACTGATTAGATTTTGGGGTCATGAGGTCAAGGTCAAAGGTCATGCGGCTCATTATGTATGCAAAAATAGCTTGTGATCGCATTATCATTAGAACAGATTGATGGATTCTTGGGTCATGAGGTCAAAGGTCAAAGGCTCATTATGTATGCAAAAATAGCTTGTGAACGCATTCTCATTAGAACTGACAGATGGATTACTATTTAACTCGGGACATCTTGTGGAGCCAATGAACTGAGTAGATGTTAGGGTCATGAGGTCAAAGATCAAAGGGTCATATATGTATATGAGAAATTGCTTGTAATCACGATATTCTGAGAACCTGTTAATGGATTACAATTGAACTTGAATTTGAAAAATTTCTTCTGTTTTGGTTTGTAAATTGCTCTATGACGGAGGCATCATTTCGACTGCGCGCAGTCGAAGTTCCATCTAGTATTAATAGACAGTGCATCCCCCCCCCCCCAAAAAAAAGTTGACTTTGGGGAGATTTTTCATAGGAGAGCAAAAACATTTCTTTGAGTCCTGTGCCAACTCCACCAAGATCGTCCTTTTATTGTTAAAGAATAAAGGTCTATAATGTGATCCAGCTGGTCGACTTCATTGTCACAAGGCTGGAGACCTATTACGAAAGGAGGCTAATAGACGTCTGCAACAACAGACTAGATAGGGTGCTCCAGTCTCGATTTCTGCCAGGTATTGCGGCTGGATCTAAAATTGATCCCAACAAAAAATTATTCATATTATTATAAGTATTCACGATTTTTCATTGGTACTAGATTAACAGGTCTATCTGTCATATGTGGTGAAGAAGACGAGGACGAGGAGTGGGTCCTTCATTGGACTGCGGAGGAGGACACCGAGGAGGAGATGGAAGAGGAGGAGCAGAGGAACGAGGATAGCCATGACTATCCCTCTCTGTCTCCAGAACTAGTTTTGACAATCACTCCAACATTTGAAATCTATACCGAGAGTTCTCAAGAATTTGATCTTTAATAAAGCTATATAAGGACATGTTATGGTTCATTTTCCTGAAAGATATTATAACATTTTCCATGGATGGGCTGGATGATTTTGCATTTCAGACTGTACGATGGAGTGTATAGCAGCTTGCATCTTCTCCCAGTCTGGCATGGTGGGTTTGAATTTCTTGACTTTAGACTTTCGTCCTTCTTGACTTTTTTCCGTTTTGTCTTGTTGTATAGACACTTCGTTGACAGAGCTAATCTTTTGTATTTTGCCTGTCAACTTCTGCTGACGCTCACTCTCATGGGCAACAGCTCTCGTTAGAACCTCCATGATCACCTCATCGTTGATCCTGTCCTTATGCAAACGACCTTTAACTTCTTTTTGGATCGCCTCACTCTGGATCCCTGTCGAGATTGAATGAAGCGCCATCCGCTGAACTTGGCAGCTATCATAGCTTACTGCTGAGCCGGCCTCAACTGATTTAGGAGTGACTTATAATTAACAAAATTTAGGGGGGGGGGGCATAATTTATCCAAAAACAATCAAATCTGTTGGGCCTGATCACAAACAGCCTGTGGGGCACAATTCAATTTCAAAAGTTCATCACGGTGATAAGAAATAAGAGTTATAGTTGATGTAAACTTTAGCTCATTTTCTGTCCGAGGTCCAGGATTTGGATTGATATCACCAGAAATCAATAGTTGTATTTGGAAAGTTGATGATGTGTTAGAATAATAAAGAACGCGTTGAGACAGGAAGTCAATATAGGTTCTGAGGGTTGCGAATACTTCCCTCAAGGCAACTGGTCTTTACACTGTCTTTGTAAAATGAGTAGCACAGCACAACTGATGAGCTCCAACGCATGGATCGTCCTTGCTTCAGAGTCTGCGTCTGACGGTTGCAAAAGCTTCTGTGCAACCTCATCAGTCAAACCTATATTGTATGGACTGTCTCCTTGTAGGACAAGTGAAGCATCCATTAACACTACCGGGGCTTTTGTAATGTTATGAGTCGCGGGAAACTAACATTTATCATTTAAAACAAAATTTGTTTTCAAAGTGACAGATGCTTTATTTTTATTCTCTTGGATTGAGAAGACATTTGTTCAATTAAGTTTATTCATTTCCATAAAAATCACATCACAAGAACACATACATTTGCAAAAGGTACTGTAAATAACATGCAAAATCTTTCATTAGAATATACATAAGTACATTAAAATATTAAACAATAATGGTAAAACGGAAGTTATAAAAACCCAAATAAATGAGTTTGTTGAGATATCTACCCCCAATTAATTAAACAAAATGTGATGAACATAATAAAGATTAGTCCAGAATCCGGCCTATTTAATTTTGATCTCCACCACATCAATGCTACCTCTCCCTACTTACTTGCTACCAGCCGATGATGGCGTCATCATTAAATTAGGACGCCCAGTATAGCTGGGGTAAAAGTCAATACGTAATAACCTTTTTCACCATATGCGGAATTATATTCAAGAATTGCAAAGTTGTATTTTAAAACTGTTGTCCAGGGTATTGGGTCGGATTGTCCAGGGTCAGGCTGTCCGGTGCTCGGGTGGTCTAGGATTCCGCAAAAATTGTTCAGTCACTGTCACTAACAGACAAGACAGCCTCTTGGTACTCGTCACTGTCAGAAAAATCTTCATCTGTGTCGGATTCTGTTTCGTCTCTGAAGGCCACCAACTGGTCTGACACTGATGATCTCTCCAATGTGGACAAAGAATACCCCACACGTCTGAAGCCATCTCCAGACTTGGGAGGGCATACCAGGACCTGAAGCTTTCAATGCTTAATTGAATAGTGCTCTCACAAACAATCTGGTTAACTTTACTAACGGAGAAACTGCAAGCTAAATCCGCACCACAGTAGTTGTGGTGAAGTCCTTCATGCTGGCCGACACAGCCCTTCCAGCAATATCACCTGAAAATTGGATAGTGATGGCCACGCTAGGTTTTCCATCTCTCCCGATGTGACCGCTCATCTGTATGTAGTCGTCAAGGTCTGTGCAACGTCCAAAGATCATCGTAGTGTTCACACCTTTCACATCAACGCCCATGCCATATGCAATTGTAGCACAATCAACACCCTCACAGATCCATCTGCATGGCTGAAACTGTCAATGATGTTCTGCTGGACATCGTGTTCCGTATTGGTGTGGAACATATCAAAGTATTTGGGGTGTGGTGATGGCAGTAAGTCAATAAATGTGGCATAAAGGTCACTGACCACCTTTCTTGACTGGCAATAGATGATATATCTCTCGCATGAAGCCCCATTAGCCTTCAAATCAGCTAGTAACCAAGCAAAAATAGTGTCGTAGTCCTTGCTGCGTGTTTTGAAAACACGATCGATCAAAGTGCAAAACAAACTCGTTTCTTTTCGGTCTAAAGAGATTGTCACTTTATCAACCAATCAGCGCAGCGTAAGCATGATGGTGGGCGGTCCGCAGTTTTATTGCTCTCCGTTGAAATTTCAACGGAGAGCAATTAAAGTGAGGTTTTTGTCTGTACGGTCCTCAGACTGGGCTGGTGAGCATAATTATGAGTTTGTTGATAACGCCATCTTCGACGGCTTGAATCAAGTGTGTAGGGAAATTATAAAGGACCATGCAGATTCTGGACTAAATAAAGATTTGAAATTACATAAACTTATTTTGCCCTAAAGAAAACTTGTAGAAGAACAGAAACAAACAAAAAAAAACATACAAGCCTTACAAATACACACATACACACACATATATATAAAGTGGAAAAATATGAGGAGAGATACATTCTTTGCTGTGAGATCTTCCCTCGATTTTCTCTTTCCGGCAAGTATTCAGTGATTTCTCATTACTTCACTATGGTTTCTGTATGATCGGTTTATTATGATAAAAAAGATATTGAACATGCAGCTTAAAGGCTTGTGATGTTCACAGTCCGCCAAGCTTCGAAACTTCTTCTACGAGAGAAGTGGTTGCCAGCATTTTCTTGTATTCTGCTTCCTTCTTTTTCTGTTGAGTCCTCTGCAGAGTTCGAGTTCACACTTGACTTCTACGTTCCTCCTATCTTTAACGGTGCTGTTTATTAAATCTTGTATGTTTGTGACAATTGATGGATGGTTCTCGGGGATCGATGCTCTCCAAAATCTAGATGACTCTTGTTTTTTCTGAAGAGTGATTACATGTCCTCCTCTGTTTCGCGGTTATTGTTAAGTGTTGTGAAAAATTAAAATGGTCTAGAAAGGGAATAATTATATGAGACAAAAATTCATCAGCATCATGTTGCTGACTCATCGTAAACGAGCAGGCACAGCAAACTGCTATGTATGCATTCTGGATAACGGCGAACGTTAGAATGGACTCGTCGGTCACATTTATCCTAACATTAAGTAGGCTGAATAGTTCATGGTATGCACTGCATCCTTTTCATGATGGCCTGTAGGTTCTGGGGGTTGATTATGGTGTTGAAAGAAATTTCTTATGATTGGGGTGTGACATATGCCTTGAATAGCGGCATTAAACCAACAATTGCTTGACTGATTTTCCATCCCACAAATTCCATAGTATTCATCTTTGGGTATCTTTGCATGTCCAAGCGGATTTCTCTTAGGTGCCTTCTGGAAAACACCACCCCTCTTGTGACCCCCCCCCCCCTTTTTTGTTCCATTCTTCTTCTATCGTCACTCTTGATTTTCCCCAAGATTGACCTCCATGGTTACTACTTTGAAGATTTCCTTCATTTTCATTCCCATTCGCACGTTTCTGATCTTGTGATTTCCTGCGCCCTGATTTTCTTGTAGATTTATCATCGTAATTTCTCTGAATCCCTATTGTGTCTTTTTCTTAAATCGACACAAATTCATCTATTCTATTGATTTTTCTTGTACCCAATTGGATATTTTTCAAAACTCCCATTCGTTGCTCAGCGTTTCTGGTAGTTCTTGAAATTTTCAAAATTTCTGTTTTGCGATCTGCAAACAATTTATGTGTATCACCTTTTTTGTACCGTGACAAATCCCCTGAGCAGAATACCTGACCATAAGACACATGACGGCAACATGGTATTTACTATTTTTAAAACTTTCACTGATTTGCTTTTCTATTTCTGTTGAGTCCTCTGCAGAGATCGAGTCCTAGAGAGGATGAAAACATTCACTTCACAAAATAAGATATACAGAATGCATACAAATCAAGAAATACCAGTTATCAATAATTATGTCAAAATATAACTTACATACATGTAGTACATCAATCAAATCACATTGCACAGAATAAATCCTTGATTATAACATATAACATTTTAAAAGTTAAAAGTTGATGTTATTAGAAGTAGGAAGAAAAGGGGGCAGAGGAGAGAACAAGGGAGCAGGTAGATATATGGAGACAAGTGAGAGCGGAATCGAGAGAGAGAAACAAAAAGATACTAAATCAGGATTTATACAAAAGCAGGATTGCTAGGTATAAGTTGGATATCAATATATCTCTTTTAGCCATCTTTTGAAAATGCGGTACAAAAAGTCACTACCATATTTATTATAAAAAAAAAATTACATTGCATATGTTTTATTACCTCTTCAGTCTTCCAAGTGTTTTCCAGCTGAAACCAAAAATTGATTTCAGCTGTAGGATGTCCTCGAATGGAATACTTATTCCAGCTGGTACCAATATTTCAGAATTATTCGACAACTAAAAGACCATTTAGTTGCCAACTAGGCTTTATGAATTGGGCCTACCGGTAGTTGCCAACTGAAACTTAGTAAGGTTTTATGAATACCCTTTAGTGCCTAGTTGACAACGAGAGAGCAGTTTAGTTGCCAACTAGGATTTATAGGATTTTATGAATATGAGACAGATCTTCCAGTCATACATGTAGGAAAACATTCCTGCTCTCCCGTGCCATTTGTAAAAAAAATGTGATGATGGTCAAGCTTGAGATGAATAACACGGAACATCAGTAGCAGGATAATAAATCAAATTTGATACTTAACGTTATGGGAAGATACATACCGGAATGGTTTCTAGCAGTGATTAAATGAATCTTCAACTCATTTGATATTTTTGTATAGCATTTCATTCCAAATTTTGTATTGGTGCTATGGTACTTCTTGTTTTAGCACACCTAAAATGATAACCTTGCTAACCTTTCGCTAACCTACCTACTATGACATTTTAACATAGCCATGAAATGTCTGGAATTTTGAAATAATTTGGCTAAGAAATCTTTGTAAGTTTTCAGAGAAGTAATTGATATTTGGTACAGTAAAAATTAAAAATTTATTGAGCTTGTATATTATGTGTATGATATGTATTATAAATCATGTATGTATTGTATATATATATATATTATGTAAAGCATGTATTGGCATAAATGCACCATATATTGATTTATTATTATCCCTAAATTGTTCATGTGTCCTTGCTCTTTTGTTGATTTCTTGTGTACAAGTTAAGAAAAGAATACATGTAGTTAATAAAAGAATACATGTAGTTAATTTTTTTTTTTTTTTCATTTTGTTCAAATTCTTTATCAACATCCATCTTTCTCCATCACTGTCAACACTTAGTACCGACTCTACCGAGTCATTTGCTACCTCGATTATTGCTCCTGGCTATATTTCGTCAAAGATACATGGTTGGGACTATGATTGCAATCGGATTTAGGTTAGGTTAAAGGTCAAGGTTAGATGTAGGGTTGAATTTAGGAGTTTGGCAAGTGTATAGAATTGACCGTGGAACAACCAAACGTCTGTATCACCGAGTGATGTGAGCAGCATCTCCAAGTACAATTTACATTTGCCACACTGGTAGGATTTATTCCTTGTATGCAGTGATTGCAAACGGTTGCCAGAGCTAAAGCCATGTTGATAATACCCAAATACCTTTGGAGGCACATAGAGACATTATATCATGGAATATGCACTGTGCATGAGAGGAATATTATCATGTTCAGCACACATGTTATTATAAGACGGGTCAACAAAATTACAATATCACTATTACCATTATTTTAGTCAGCATCAACATCATCAGTATCATCGCCATTATCATCAACATCATCAGTATCATCGCCATTATCATCAACATCATTAACATCAACATCACCATCACCATCATCAACATCATCATCATTATCATTATCATCCTCACTATTATCATAATAGTAATCACTATGGTCAAATTACTGACAAAATACAAAACTAAGTTGTGTTTCAGCTTTATTCTCATGGAAGATCATTACATTCAAATGTTCTGAAAATTCAAATTTTTATTCAATATTAGCAATAAAAATGTCTAAAGAAGAGCACTATACATGCATTACGCAAAGTAGAAAATAAAAGTAAAGGGGATAAGGCTTCCTCTTACCGTGACGATTCAAGTAATTCATGAAGGGTGCATTTTCAACACATTAAGACATTTAAGAATTGTCTACAAAATACTACATGTATTACTAAACTTGTATGCAAAGAAGGGAAATTCAATGAAATACATGTACCTGCAAAATGATGAGGGGGGGGGGGGGGGGGGGGGCTATACCTGGTACAAAGGCTTTGTCTTGTTAATGATAAAAATAAGTAAATATTGATGCATACAAAGAATATTCATGTAATGCCCAAATACAAAATAAGGAGTCTGAAGCCCTTTTTTCAATAACAGACATAAACTAGATGGAATTTTGACTGTGCGCAGTCGAAAATGATGCCTCCGCCATAGAGCAATTTAAACAATTTTGGAGTTTAAATCTCCAGTGGTTCTTGAGATATCGTGATAACAATCTCAATGTATGGAATTTCATAAGTTGACCTCTATGACCCTTGACCTTTGACCTACGTGCTCCAAAATCTAATCAGATTGTCTTCCTATGGTGATACACACTATCATTAAGTTTGAAGTTTAAATCTCCAGTGGTTCTTGAGATATTATATGGTGATACATACTATCATTAAGTTTGAAGTGAAAATTCTCCAGTGGTTCTTGAGATATCGCGATAACGATCTCAATGTATGGAATTTCATAAGTTGACCTCTGTGACCCTTGAACTTTGACCTACGTGCTCCAAAATCTAATCAGATTGTCTTCCTATGGTGATACACACTATCATTAAGTTTGAAGTTTAAATCTCCAGTGGTTCTTGAGATATTATGATATGGTGATACATACTATCATTAAGTTTGAAGTGAAAATTCTCCAGTGGTTCTTGAGATATCGCGATAACGATCTCAATGTATGGAATTTCATAAGTTGACCTCTGTGACCCTTGACCTTTGACCTACGTGCTCCAAAATCTAATCAGATTGTCTTCCTATGGTGATACACACTATCATTAAGTTTGAAGTTTAAATCTCCAGTGGTTCTTGAGATATTATGATAACAATCTCAATGTATGGAATTTCATAAGTTGACCTCTGTGACCCTTGACCTTTGACCTACGTGCTCCAAAATCTAATCAGATCGTCTTCCTATGGTGATACATACTATCCTTAAGTTTGAAGTTTTTACATCTCCAGTGGTTCTTGAGATATCATGATAACAATCTCAATGTATGGAATTTCATAAGTTGACCTCTATGACCCTTGACCTTTGACCTACGTGCTCCAAAATGTAATCAGATTGTTTTCCTATAGTGATACACACTATCACTAAGTTTGAAGTTTAAATCTCCAGTGGTTCTTGAGATATCATGATAACAATCTCAATGTATGGAATTTCATAAGTTGACCTCTGTGACCCTTGACCTTTGACATACGTGCTCCAAAATCTAATCAGATCGTCTTCCTATGGTGATAAATACTATCCTTAAGTTTGAAGTTTAAATCTCAAATGGTTCTTGAGATATCGCGCTAACAAACTCAATACAAGGAATTTCATAAGTTGACCTCTGTGACCTTTGACCTACGTACTCCAAAATCTAATCAGATCGTCTTCCTATGGTGATAAATACTATTCCCGAGTCTTAAGTTTAAATCTTAAATGGTTCTTGAGATATTGTGATAACGGTCAAACGGGACGGACGTACGGACGGACAACCCGAAAACATGATGCCTCCGGCACCACCTTCGGTGGCGGAGGCATAAAAAAGGTGGACTCAACTCAGTATGCAAATAACCAAATGATTTGATGATTACTGTAAGGGGGGGGGGGGAGACGTATCTCTCTATTAGTCTGACATCTAATGTATTAATTCCATTGTGATAAAAGGTCAACAGAACATACCACATTTATGACAATCAATTTGCATATACATTTACATAAACATAATAAATAAAAGATGGCACTTGAATAATTGAGAAAAGATATGTAACAAGGTAAGCATGTACTCAAAATTACTACCTTTACCTCTAGCAAAATGTATGATGAGTAAACAGAAAAAGGTATTTTCCCATCAGCAACCATGTAATACCTTATACAGTGTATTCATAACTGCACGAACGAACAAACCTTATACAGGGATGCCAGTTTTCAGGCAATAGGCTGAATTCAGGCCCTGGCAAGTTATTTTCAAACCATAGTTTAGGCTTTTTTGTGTACAAAATAGCTCATTCTAGGTGATTTTCAGGCCCTTGGATCAATTCTAACTGGTATCCCTGCTTATATTCATAACCCCTCGCTACTTGAAGTATAGGTGTATTACCAGTAATCATTAAGGTATCTCATTGTGATCAGAATATTGCAATAAAACAAATAATAATAATAAATCTGTTGTTGGCCAGAACGTTGGGGATTGAGGTGAGAATTGAACTGCTTTCACCTGCCAGTTACGATTGGTCTGGTAAAATAGGTGACGTGGCAGATGACCAAGAATCAAGACTAGTACTGAAAGCAGTTCAACTATTGTTCAACTAAAGAAATATTGAGAAATTTTTTAGAACATTTTCTCATCAATCTTTTCAGAAGATTAAAGAACTGGTTACAGTCTTTTCTGCACCTTGTTTTAATTCATGTGAAAAAGGAAAATTCACAATTTGAATAAATCTGACAATCACTGATGATTCCCCCCTCCCCCTTTCATTTTGGAGAATAAAATAGAGAAACATGGGATGTGAAAAGGAAATGTAAACAAACCTGGCACACAAAGCATGATATAATACCCTATAAACCATCAAACCTCAATACAATTGCACTGAATAAATAGCTTTCTTATAAGAGAACAATACTCGACTTCGAAAGTTCAATCACTTTCCAACCATGTGTAACTCTTTTTTTTTCCTCTTCAACATGAAAATGGCAGGGAATGGCAGTTTTTTATCACCCAAAGTAAAATGACAATTTGTCCACTTTCCAGACATGGAAAAATCCAAGGATTGTCATTTGTTGTCCAATACATTTCCAAATTCTAAATACATTGAATTATGACGTTATGAATATAAATTGACAGAACATTTCTCTTTACATGATATTTGGCCTTATCAAAGCTCCAGTAGCTCTGATGTACATGTATGATGTAGTTGGTATTGAATAGACAGTAAAACCAGAATTTGTTTGTGATATAAGCAACAGCTGTTTCCATGACAGCAGACTTGATCAATCGCAAAAACTTCGCGTCGTGTCAGTTGTGATTCCATTATATCAAGGCAGGAAACTTTCCAAACACACTCCTAAATTTTATCCTGGGGTTTACTTGGGTAATGTCCAGAGATTTCAAAAACGATTACATATCATTACTAACCTCATAACCATTTTGGCGAAATTGACCACAAACAATACATGAAACCCATTGAGCGTCTTTTAGGATCACTTTTGTTTGGAAGTGAGAATGGTATCCCACACTTGTAACAAATGATTAGTCAAAGAAAATCATTGAAACAAAAAACACTGTTCTTCTGCATAAATATACCAGTGATATTAGACTAATTACAACAGATGACAGCAAACGACTGTAAGGCTAAGTAGCACCATCGTTCATAAGTATGCTTAGTTCATATTTTCTGACAGAAAAATATAAGTTTAATTACAAGAGGATGAGACTATCAAAGAAGGCATGTCTGCTTTATATCAGGAATAGATCAACTTGAGATGGTATTCTAAAAATGAATAAACTTTATTTACTGAAAGTAAACTACATTAATTGTCGAAACAAATCAAAATGACGTCAGGTCATTGGTCAACGTCTACACAATGCTGGCTGTGTAATGTACTGTTCAGAGAGAGATCTGCACTTCAAAAACATTTCTTTCTTATGTGACAATCAACATAATTTTCTCTATAAAAGAAAACCAATTTGATGGAATTCTGCCCTAAGCATTCACGATATAGGTTCATAACATGGAAGCACTAATAATAAGCATAGAATGAGATGTTTTTCAACGTGCAACTGCAACAAATACATGCGTAAACACGGTTGCAAATGAAGGGGGGGGGGGGGGGCTTTATACGATCATAGCAGATGTAAAGTGTAACACAAGTCAAGAACTGTTGTAGTGTGTACAGAATATCCATCATCAGTTTTTTTTTTAATTGAATGAACATCATCCAACATCCATATTACAACAATTCATTTGAGGAGTATATGTGTAATGAAAAAGAAAAGAATAAATAGACATTACATGTAGTAGTAAATATGCACATGTTTACATCAAATAAACATTTTGTGATCTAGAACATTTCATATGTGACAACTGCCCTGAAGAAGTCTCAATATAAAATGCACAATAATCAACATAAAATGTCATTTTAATTAACAAGATACTGTCAAAATAAGGACAAACATATCCAAATATGGGTATTGGTTGATGTCTTTAAGGCTCGTATCCTTTGATAATGGGCATGTGGGCAACTGCATCAGATATATGGTCAAAAAATAAATACTATGAAAAATGGCATTAACAAAATATCTGATTGTCGAAGTAAGGGACGCTACCTGCGTCTTTCTTGCTTCTGTGTTCGCTTCTTCTCTTTGTCTTTTCTATCTTGTGTCTTCTGCTTCTGTTGTTCTCTCTGTTGCTTATCTTGCTCCTTCTTCTTTGCGCTCTCCACCTTGGATTTCTCTCGCTTCTCCTTCTCCTGTTTATCCACATCCACCTTGTTGGTGTTGCTATATAATACTGATTCAGGAACATGGGGTTAAGGCAAGTTAACCCTTACAATGCCAAAGGTTCATTTTGACTTGTGCAAATCTCTATAGACTGTGTTGGATCATACTCCCTTGTACAGGTATTATTGAGCTCCTATACCTCTCTAATGAAGTTTACCTGACCTACTCTATTCACTCTTGTCAGCAAGAATTAAAAGTGTCCAAAGGCATCTTGGAATCCATCGAACAAATCTCCTGAACAAGAGGTTGTCAAAAAAATCAAAAGGCAAAGTGTATCTACTTGTAATGCATGCCTACATTATAATCCAAGATGGCGGCCCGCATGTTTTGCCTCTCTTCTTGGACCAATATTATTAATTTCAAAGTCATGAAAAGGCACTAAATATCAACAAACGGGTCTACAACAACTCCAAACGACGAAATAATCCCAGTTATGCATTTTTTAAAGGCATTTGATAGCCCAAAACTTGAATATTTCGGCATTAAATTTTTTTTTTTAAAATGTGCAGATTTTTTTCCGATCGTTTTTATCGATCTCACCCGATCTGCTCAAGATCAACCCCCGATCCAATGATCGTTTACAGGCCTAATATGGGCCTTTATGTAGATTTGAAAGGATACAGAAGTCATCCAAGCCTCCTCCCGCTCCTCCTCCTCCGCCACCTTTACCTCCATCATAGTCTGGTTCATAATAATCTTCATCTGTGCATCACTGCAGTCAAGGAATTTTTTCTTTCAAACAAGGACATGCAAAGTCAAATAAATGAAAGAAATGTCTATATTATCACTACTAAACCCTTTTGCCTAGTTAGCATTCTTCACCAGATGATACGACAGTGTAAAACAAAGTCATCTAGAATGTCCACACAAAAATAATACAAAATAAAAATACAAAATGAAAAACGCATTTCCTTTATCAAAAGTGAAATGATTTTATTTTTTTAAACATCTAAAAGGACTTGTTGAAGATAATGGACCCATTTCATAACATTACATTTTTGTTTCTGCTTTTTTTTATTTTCTCTTTTTTTAAAAGTATGCTTCATAAAGATGCCAGGGCTATTTACTTCCTAGAAAGAATGAGTTTAAAAGATTTTGAAAATGTAAATGGCCACTGGTTATAGGTGTCTATGCTAATAAAATTGGCTTCACTTTCAGCCTACACCATTCCAACATACAATGAATGCTTACTTTGCAAGAATACAAATATACAGCTACTTGAAGTAACAAACCTGTCATTCATTCATCAAGATAAAATCAATTACTTTGCAAATAGACCTTATATCTGTAAATTCCAACAATGCTAAAATGTTAACAGAAACTGTTCACACCAGCATTGCTATCACACACACAAAAAAAATGTGTTTCATAAAGGATATTCCTCGCCATCTGAAACTTCAGCAAATCGGGCCAAGAGGGCAGCCTTCTGTTTACTGTCTGTTGGCGTTCTGGTTACCTTGGGAACCTGGGTGGCAGCATGGCGCTCCATGATGGCCGCCATCTTGTCTTCCCCATTCTCTGTTGAGGGGGCATCTGAGGATAAAACATAAAAATTTCATCATTTAAGCATTTCTGTACAAGTACTTTCTGCAGTGTGAAACAGAATGGAATAATATTTACAACAGATGGTGATGATAAAGGAAGTCACACTGAACCTTTTTGATAAGATGATAACATTTGATGATTGATAAGGATGATGTGATAACATCTTAAGACCATATGTATATTAAACAGAAGGAAGACTAAGGTAAAAGTGGAAAAGAGAAAAAAACATGATATCTACTGTAGCCTACTTCGAAATGTATTCATCTCAAACAAGCAGGATTAAAAACTAAGTTGTTATAAAAAATGTGTAATTATATGATTACCTCCATTGACTTGCTTTTCTTCAGAGGCAGAGCAGCTTATCTGTTTCCATTTATGCAAGATTTCCTCGCAAGTTTCTTCAACGGCATCCTCCTAATCACACCCCAAAACAAAAATCAAGAGAAATAGAAATAAGCAAATTCATAAACAGATGAAAGTAGCTTCAAAATGCTAATAAGATATGATCAGACATGACACTATCGCTGCACAGCTGTGATAACGCCATTACGAACGTGTAGATGGCGCACAGTTTTTCCTTCATAATCATTTTGCCTTCGGCGTAGACTAGAAGGGATGAGATTGACGGCAGCGAGAGTTTAACACGGCTTGCAAGATTTTCAACATGGATGTCGATGTTGACCCATAATTTCCTTAAAAGGGACCATTAAACGGATAATTTCAATCAAGTTAGTAAGTGGAACCGATGTATTATAGCCTAGGCCTAATTTAAAATTGGATATGGACGAGGTAAAATGACATTTTGGGGGATTTTGGGGGCATAACAATACGGCCGTGGCAAGTTTGTCATGTTTGTGGGAGGGGCCTAGCGGCTAAAATCTAGCCGTGATATCTTCAACATACGATGGTATAGGCGATCGTTCAGTCTCTATAACCGGAGGTCTAGTGGAGCCAGACGTAGTCTCAGTGGAACAACCGACGATTATAGAGACTGAAGCTTTCGGTCTAACTTACATTTTCACACTCACTTGCTCACAGTCACAACATTGATTCAACATCACAACATTACAACATCATTTGCCACGGATGGGACTTCATACCAATATTCCGCCGAGAATCCCATTCAAGGCTTCTGACTTTTCTTCTTCATTCGAATCATCAGTTTCGACAATGCTGCTTATGTAGCTTCCAAAAACATCCTGATCAATGTTAAGCTGTTCAAGTTTCAAGGAGAGCCAATCTCCAAAACTTTGACAAGCGGCAGCTTCTGCCATATCACCTGAGTCGAGATTTCAGCAGATGGTGTAAAGTTTCGCTGGTCGTAATCACTTACGGTTAGCCTCACTACGCATTTTTGGAGACCATCGTATCAATATTGGTAGCAGCGAATTGTAACAAAGTGCCTCATCACTTAAAGTTTTCCCAAAATAAATACGCAATATGTTAAAAATTGTATATTAACCTTTTTTGAGGAATATACCACAAACGATATATTTTTTAGTAATAATAAAAACTAATTTGGTATATATATCCATCAAATTTATTATTATCTCTGAGTCTTTAAGCCACAAAAAATATAGCTCCGCGGATTAAGCTCCCATTTCAAGCTGTGATACACCTCTCTCTTTTCCTCGTGTGATCTACGTAGACCAAAATGAGGTAACAAGATTGTTAAGAAAATAGGTCTAATAATGCTTTATTGAATAGTTTATTCCCAATAACACTGCATTATATGTTCAAGAAATGCCTAATTATTATTATAATATCTTTATTTAGTGTTGCATTTCCAGAAATTACTCAAAATAACAGTGTTTGTAAGGGTCATGTCATGTCATTCTGCCGGGATCGGAGTCCGTATACATACACGGTCAATATAGATCTAATTTGGGTATGCAGCATGCACTACACTGCGCGAAGTCCAAGCTCGGTTGTGCGAGCGAGAGCGAGCCGCTGTCGCGTTGCTTGCTAGCTACCTACCCAGCCCGCCAGCACCAGCAAGTGTCAAACCATGCCCATGGAGTGTGCTTAATTTACATGCTACCGAGTACTTCAGTCTTCAGTATATAATTGGAAAGGGGTGGGGTTCCGAGAATGATGATTGTCTGCTTAAACGAATGAAATGAAGGCAGACTAATCGTGTCATTCATGAAAAATAAGGATTGTCTGCATTTTTCGTAAACGCAGAAAAATAAGGATCGTCTCCATTTTTGCGGACCTTTTTTTTTTGGCCAAGTGTAGGTTGCCCGATACACGCACTGGAAATGCCAATGCGTAAAACGGACAACCCGGGCATAAAAATAGAGAGTGAACAAAAGGTATTTTATTTTGCAGAATCTTACTCTCGCTTCGCCATGGCGCGAATCGGGAACCCCTAACCCGCAGAGCGCCAAAGAATAAAAACGTCTGCGAAAATGCAGATGTTTTTAGGTCGTATTTTGTCCGCAAATACAAGGATATCCTCGTTTATGCGGATGATCCACATTCTCGGACCAGCGCCCCTACTGCAAATTGAGATTAAATGGGGCTGTCAACCCTCCTGCATTTGGAGGGAGTATCACACCACCACGCTCATTCTCCTGCCGGCCCACCAGCTCGTAGCGGGAGACTCTAGCCAAAACGCCCTTCCTCCAGCTGCTCTCCCGCTATCTCCCGGTTTTGAAAAAACCTCCCGCCGAACGTGTTAAATGAACCAGCGTAGACTACCGTATCTTATTCAGCGGCTGGCTGAGTCGTTGCGAAATCCCCCCCTCCTTTTTTAGAACGCAATTTATGCGGTTAATCCTTATTCTTGGACCAGGTACCCTACAGTAAGAGAAGCATTGCACTCTGAAAACTGAAAGGTATCGATTTCAGTCTTTCAAATCGTTTTTTTTTTTTTGAGGGACCCCTCTTTATGATGCAACACACTTTGAGAGCAGTGAACAGATGAAGGTAAAATAGGCATTTCTTTACAAGAACGGCGGAGCTTTGCTTACAATTCATGTGAATCCTGTTTACATGAGCACATATAGGATTTACATAACAGAAACAGTGACCTCTGCAGGTGATAGCGATGTTGATCCTGGCCAGAACCATGTGTCTGTCTTTGCATTATATGTATTACCAATTTGAATGCAACAACACTTCCCATACTTATCTTTTTCCACTAAACTAATCACTATTTTCATAAAGTAAACATAAAAATATTTCCCCTTTTTTCTGCACAGGAAGTAAGTGCACCCAGTAATTAATGTTAAATTCAAACAAGTCTTGTGTGGTGTGGGCTGAACTTTGATGCATTAAATACATGTAGAAGGTCCCAAAGGTGGCATTCCATTAGCAAGCCTGATGATTTTCTGATTATTTTTTTCCCTTATTTTTTTTGGGGGGGGGGGGGGGTAATTTTTTCTCCAAAAATAGATAATCCCTGAGATCGATGGGAGATGAGGTGCTGTTTTATCATGACTTGCTTGAACGCTTGCATATAAAGCGCTAGGAGTTCTAAAAACTTTTGTTCAACTCTCACTGACTATCGCCCCTGCATTAGTCAAAGTAGAGGATTATATGATGTGAATTAAAGTATGGATCTTATTAGTAACCAATGTTTTTCTCTTCTCTCAAAATACAGTAACCTACGGTTGCAGAAGCGCTTAGCCGCAAGCGTGATGAGCTGCGGCAAGAACAAGGTCTGGCTGGATCCCAACGAAATCAACGAGATCGCCAACGCCAACTCAAGGCAGAACATCCGCAAGCTCATCAAGGATGGTCTGATTATCCGCAAGCCAGTTGCTGTACATTCCAGGGCCAGGGTTCGCAAGAATGCCGAGGCTCGTAGGAAAGGTCGACACAGTGGACGTGGTAAGTAAATGTATGATCAAACCACTGACCACGTTACATAGGCCTTTTGTGATGTTTAAAGATTATAGGTTGGAAAGAATGTTTATGACCGAAGGTTTGATTACATGTACCACAAATTTAGAGAGCAGTTATAATAAAATCTCTACAATTGTTGACTAATTTCTGCAAGGAAGCATTACATGTTACAAATAAAATAAACATTTGTGTTGTTTACTATGAGCCTTGTGAAAAACATAAAAGAGCACAAAATGATTTACTTCTGGATTTAAAAATGCTTTGTTCATTATCTATTCAGGTAAGCGCAAGGGTACAGCCAATGCTCGTATGCCAACGAAAGTGATCTGGATCAGGCGGATGCGAGTCCTTAGGAGGCTACTCAAGAAGTACAGGGAGAACAAGAAGATCGACAGGCATCTGTAAGTGGAACTAAAAAGGTCTTTCTTTGAAATAAAAGTCTGGGCTCCACACAGTTTTTGTCACAGGAGACCAGATTGACATTACAGGGTCTGTGTGCATATGTCCTTACAAGACAAATTTTTGGGATCCAGAGATTCATTTTTTTATGGGGGGGGGGGGGTGAGGTGGCAAGGAGGGGCTTTGGAGCTTGTAAGTGATGGGCTTTTAAGGAAGGGTTGCCAATTTATATGCTTTTTTGGCTGTCTTGCTGTGAAGTGTGCTAAGTATCTTGTGAGTTTGTAATCATAATCATGCAGAAAAGGTATTCTTTTCAGGAAATCTCCTAATTTGTTGTGGTTATCCCTTAAATGTTTGAAAGTTCACTGCATATTTTTGGCATGAGTACCCTTTCCCTGTAAAAGTGTTAACATAAAATTGAAGAAAAGTCATTGCTTTATCTTTTTGTTAAGTACCATTTTATATACATGTAGATGAAGTGTTGAGACAATTAAGTTTTGGTAAAGTTGAAAAATGATCTGTGAGCTTTTGATTCTTTGATATTGCCATGTCAAAGAATATTATGAATGATTTCAATGTTCCATGGAAAGACCTGCTCTTGACATGCCTTCCTATTTCATTTAGAATTATTTTGAGATTTTGGACCCAATTCTGATGCTGCACATTTTTGCAGTCCCATGTATTCACTATTCATATCATGAAAGAGTGCTTTTGATTGATATAGTTAATTTTGCTCTAATTGCTGATTCTAAACCTTATGGTACATGATTGTTTGCATTTAGTACATACATGTACTCATTCACTCAGAATACATCTTGGAAACTTTTCTTCACAATGAAATTGCATATAACCAGAGCTCAACACATCTGATATGTATTTCAAATGCAATCATGCTGATGAGTTGAATGTTGTCTTTGTTGCAGGTACCACGAGCTGTACATGAAGGTCAAGGGTAATGTCTTCAAGAACAAGCGTGTTCTCATGGAGTTCATCCACAAGAAGAAGGCAGAGAACCAACGTGGCAAGATGCTTGCGTAAGTCAAAATGATGAGAAATTTGCCCAAGGTTTTAAAAATATATATATTGAATGCACATTTCTGCTAAAGGCTTCCCTCATAGTAAAAGAATTTACTTGTAGAAGTTTCCTTTTCAGAAAATAATGTTTTATTTGTGCTATAACACTAATTCAAATGTTGAATCCAAAAAGGAGGTGGTGCTCAAATGTTGATAATTTTCTGAAATTTGATATTCTGTAGTCAGGGTATTCAGCTATTCTAGAAAGTTCCCTTTCTTCATTTGTGGAAAGACAGTCTTTTTTTTCTGAGGTCCGAACAGCATAACCTGGATGCTTGGCCTGTAGTGGCATTTCAAACTGGAAATATGTTTAAATAAAGTAATAGTGAACTCCCCCCCCCCCCCCCCCCCCCCCCCCCCCCCCCCCACCCCAACAGGGAAAAATCTGAGAAACTTTTTGTCTTTTGTTTTCATGACGTGCTGGGGACCCTTGTAGTGTGAAAACAGTGTTTTATAAACAGCAATGAAATGTATAAATGATCTCCAGTTCATATACATACAACATGTATGAAACCTGTTTCTGACTCTTTTTTTTTTTTCTGCTTCTTTGTCCACAGCGAGCAGGCCGAGGCCAGGCGAACAAGGACTAAGGAGGCCCGCAAGCGCCGTGAGGAACGTCTCGCCGTGAAACGCCAAGAGTTACTCAAGAGCTTCATCCGTGAAGACGAGGAGGCACCCTCAAAATAGATACACGATTTGTAAATGATTTGGAAAAAACGAAAATCCGCAAGGAGACAAAGCCATGTGCAATTTGTTTCCATGTTTAATCCAGGGTCAATCCCCATCAGCTATTCATCCAAAGTCTAGCTGTCCTTAATATGCTCATTGAAAATATCACCATCAAGAAAATCATGATTTTTATTATTTAATGAACTCAAGATCTCTTTACAAGGACAATTTGCAGCTAGCTAACATTGTTACTATAAGTAAATATGGAATGATATAACATATACATGTATTTATGGAAACTAACGCTACATTTTTGTTTGATGATTATAGCCCTGTATATTATGTGCACAAAATTGATTCTGTGATCTGGGAATAAATGTGTGGTATTGCCTCTTGCACCCAAAGTCCTTTTTTGAACCGATTGCATTTACTTCTTTGTGTCTAGTTATCAATATGAATTTGCACTACACCTAGTACACGTATCAACACTTTAATAATGCTATATTTAATCTATCAAGGTCTGTAAGATCATGAAATAAATGTCTACAGACATAAGGCTTCAGTATAAATGGCCCGCTAAATATTAATTCCCAACCCCACAATATTTGAAGTTTTCAGAGGCATCCCCCTGAAAACTGACCTTTTGAAAACGTTAATTTGGCTGTGAAATGGAAATTAAACCTGGTCTGTGTCATGCGGAAAGCTGGAAAGAATGAGTAAAAGATAGTTGGCGAGATAGAGCAAACCTGGATTGCAGCTTGGCCCCGTTTCATAAAACTTGTTATCAATAACTAATGCCACGATTTCAGTAGCCTATAACAGCTATCGTTACTTGTTATTGATAACAAGTTTTATGAAATGAGACCCAGACCCCCTTTGAAAAATCTAGTCTCTTTAATTCATGTTGATTGCATGTACTGGTGGGAGAATACTGGCTGGTCTATAGGTTCCATGTACCGTGGGTCAGGGGATATCAAATGCATACACACAACAGCAAAGACATAACACAAGTCATTTTTGATATGCATAGTACAGCATATTTTTCTTTATTGCAGAAAAATGAGACATATATTAGGTACATGAGATATGGTTGAATCTTGGGAATTACAGATGGGACCCTTTATATTTATTGAAATCTTTGAAGAATAATAATATACCACAATGATTCTAAATTACAAGCTTAAACAAGAACATAACTTGTCACATGAGTATACATGAACATAATATATCTGAAGGACTGCATTTCATTCAACAATGCCTTAAAATTGTGGAAGAGAAGTATAATTTCATAAAATTAGTACTAAAATATTTTTTGGAGGAAATCCAAATGTTTAAAGCCTATTGTCCTTTTATTTTTCTCTCCATTTGACCTAGTATTGCTTTATTTACATGAAAAAGTGGAAGGTTAAGACATCAGCTACTACATATTGGACATGTATCTGGTGACACTCAATTTCATATACTAGTATAGCTAGTGGAGAAGACCATTATCTGTAAGGTATATTTAATCTTTGTTTCAATTTATTCCTACCGGTATATACAAAAGATTAGATAATACACCCTTGGCCCTCCTTGTGATACAATGTATGACGTGGCAAAACCGCTAATTTTTTTAATAAAAATGACGACAAAAAGTGTAATACCCTTCACATTTTTGTATCTATAACACGAGCACATTTAATAACGTGCAGGACCTTTGTTGTGCGCAGATGCCATTCATCTACATGTAAATATACCTGCAGCTTTACCGCATCATATTTGAATGAACCTCCTTCAATCAACCAAAACTAACTCTAAACCGATTCTCGACCGTTTGGTGTAATGTAATATTTTGACAGGTCTTTTGATGGTCTGGTGTTCGTCTCGTCAGTTTGACTAGGATATTAACAAATACAACAATGACAACTTGACCTTGAATTTGAGAGCGAGGACAAAAATTTAACATGAGTTTGAGGTTCTGATTCATACACTACTAAGTTTTCTGATCATAGATATTAAAGACAAACTAATGCTGATACATGTACTCAAGTGGGACTAAATATACATCTATACTAATTCAAATGAGCATGTAACATTGAGAAGAGCGAGTGCTAAGGCAGCGTGTGATGAGAGTGACAGTGAAATACCAAGACCTTTTACATTTATTTCAAACAATTTTTTTCTTTACACATCCCTGACAGCATACTAACTAAACTTCAGTTTTAATTTTTTTGATATGTCCTTTTATAACAGACCCTTTGCGAGTTTCAAAATAGACTTTTTGATCATGGGTATGTTTTCACAAGCAAATTGGAAAACGGACAACAGTGAAATAAGATCCAATATTAACAGATGCATTGAATTGTTAAGTGCTATGATTAGTTGTTTTCTTCACAATTACAATTCAAAGGGTAGCATAATATAATGGCAAGTCAAAGGTATGTCCCATTATTACCAGGTATTATTGAATTGTATTCTGGAATTGTGAACATGCAACAAAAATATTGACAAAAGGTATCATTTCATTTGATATTTTGTCTGATTCAAGCTCTAGTAGAGCTATCAGTCCGATACACTCATCGGATAAACTAAAACCTTAGATGTCTTATGGTCAGTATTATATGGGAATGGGACGATATAGGTTGAAATTGTCCATGTACAAGTTGAGCTGTAAGCTTAAAGGTAATAGTGGTACAGAGTGAGACATGAAAAGCGAGGAATTAAGTAGAAATGAAATTATAATCCTTTACAAATGACATACCTTCATGTAAAACCTAACATCCGTATTCTACATGTATATCTTCATGTTTTGTGCAGTGAAGCAGCATTTTTTTCAAGCAAGTGTGTGCAATATTTCAGCTGAATCTTTTTTAGCAGCTAATGCAAACTTTGCTGAAGTAAAAATGGATATCCAAATTCAAATACATGTACCTCCAAAGTCAATACATGTATCGTTAATCTACCACATGTACCACAGCTGCATAAAACTTGTGCTCTCTATAAGATACCACAAATTATGAAGTTTATTTCAATTAGTGTTCAATGTCGGCAGAAAATGTATGCGTCCCATCAGTTTTTAATAAAATATAGAACTGCGCCATTAGGAATACTTCAGAGCCAAGCACCACCTGATGAATAAAGAAAGATTTGACTAGCAATGGTTCATAATATGGTTGAAATTTGGATGACGAAGGGGCATAAAAGATCTGGTAAAAGGGTGCAAACATGAATTTGAACCAAGGTTTCCATACACATAATTCAAATTCATAAAAGGATTTTTTTCAGAAGTAATAAAAAAGAAGTTCAACCAATTAGTGTTGACAATTAAGATGATAATACATCATAATACAGACTGAAATATATGAAGATGAAAAATCTAAAATGTGTTCTTTAAAAAATGTACATTGCTGGTTGGCACCCTTAAGTTGGGCACACAACAACTTCTGATACATTGTAGAGGAAGAATATATATACCAGTAGTCTGCTGAAACTTCATAACCATGAGCAGTCAGTCACACACAAGACAAATGCTCATGAATGATTGAAAATATGATTGTTGATATACAGAGTAACACATCCATGAAATCACAAGTTGCAATGTGATATAAAAAGATGAAAATGGGTATCAATTAAAGTAATATTCCACAACATTCCAATCTAGATTTTGGTTTAATCATACACAAGATAATGTATCAGTGATGGCTAATTTCACAATACTTGATGAACTTAAGACAAGTCTGATTGTATTTTTTTACAAAATAACATACAAGTCCATATACATGTATTTTCAATCAAAATTCTGTAACCATTTGTTTACATGATTGCTATTTTTTTTTAGACAATTTGAGTAGGCAAATCATGTAGCAGGGTTTCAAAGATAACACAAAAATCATATTTACATGTTTTACAGGGTTTGTTTTTAAAGTCTTCCATAATCCCATGAGTTTCATAACATAATTACAAATTTCAGAAAGAATAGATAAATAAAAGTATGTACAACTCAAAAAGCACAATTAACACTTCAATACTGATTTTTTTTTCTTTCCCATCCTAATTCTACAATGCCAATTCTAATACAAATTGAACGTCGATCTCAAAGTTACACTATTAGTTATTAATACACACTGAATAGCTGGAGTAGGCACACAACACTTGATAGTCCTTTATTTTCGGAATGTGTGTGTCCACATGAAATATTAAAAAAATTCATAACATTACGCACATTATATTGTGTTCACATAGCACCTCAAGTCCGTCTTTAATTGTTTTGTTTTGTGCTTTCCTAAAAGGTTCAAAGGATATCATTCAAATAAGTACTTGATTGTGTGATAAAGTCGTACAATCTTTTTCCGACTCGTGCAAAAGCTTTTCTCCATATCCAACTAGGTATTGAACAACGATCACTGTGTAATTAAAAAAAGGATATCCCATGCTATATAAAGCTCCATCGTGATTGAACTGAAAGCTATAAAAAAAAAAAGAGAGCAAAAATGAGCCAAGAGACAAATGCGAGGCTCATTGAGATTACTTAGTACTTCTGATGAGAAATTGTTTGGGAAAATCGAATTTCAGGGGCCTAAAAGTTAAAAATCTGAAGGAGCATTTCCTAGTGAATGATTGAAAAGAGGGGTCATAACATCTGGTAGCTTTTATTTTTCATAGTAGATTGCAGTCTCTTCCTGGTCTCTTTTTGGCTCTCTCCGACCCTCCTCGCTTTTAGTACGACCAAATTCAAAATCTTCTCCATAAGATCACACTTCTAAATCTTGCCCCATACATTACTGGAAAATGAAGGAGGAAAAAAAGTTGACATTTTTTAAAGAACAATCGGTCTTGTCCATTCCATTCATCTTTGATTCTCATTTCCTTACATATATGAAAAATATATCAACATGTTAAGCATTGATTTTATACGATTTAATCCAGGGAAATTTCAGTGCCTACTGGGTTATTATATCACAAAAACTGGACATTCATTCCGACTATAAATGGAATACTAGTATTAGATAAACAATAAAAAAAAACTCACACAGGTTCAAAAATAAAGACTCACTCACGAATGGCACAAGTATAGTACAATCCATAATTTATAAAAACCCTGCAAAAATTTATGATGTGCTTATGCAGCGTCATTGTGCTATAAGAAGACAATTAGCAGCAAGGGTCTATGGGTACGCACAACTCACTGAGTAAGCAAACGTGTGAGCTACAATGTATAATGGGAGGTAATCGATCTAAGCAAAAACAAAATCGAGGATCAATACACCCGTAGATGTGAATGTAACTAGAACCAGGTGCCCTCTAAATAGGGTGTTAAATGAAATCTTGCACCAATATCACAAATATAAATGTACAGCAAATCATACCTCAAAATCTCTACACACCGCATTGGTATCTACGAGTTAAAGCTAAAGCAAACTTTCTCTACTATTAACAATTAATGCCACATTATAAATGCACCATTTAATCCGTTTTTTCTTCTTCAGATTCCATCTTTTAAGCGTTTTCATGGAATGGCTGCTTGTAATGTATGTCAAAGGTTATGCAGGAGAAAGACCTTGTGATTGATTACATAACTCTTTGGTACATATCAAAATATTGGCTATTGTTATTCTATCTACAGACAGATTGATCAGGGGCGTTCCCACTTAAGCTTGCTATACGGAGAAACACGTTTTGTACGTTTTGGTTTGTTATTCAATTTTCACAAGCTACCATATTTTCACAACCCAACCATAACTTTGCCTTTAATCACAAGCAGAGCCATCTATACACAGAGTTTGGCCAACTTTATTTTACTGGGTAACAACATGGCGTATATTCTTTTGTTTTGTGCTTGCCCAACAAAGCAGTAGTTGCCATATTGTGTCCAACTCAAACTAGGTTGGCCAAACTCTGTGTATAGATGGCTCTGATCATAAGCGACCAACACTGCCCTCATTTTAACGCTGAATAATCCCCAAGTTGCAAGATCTCTACAGATTGCATGCCAGGTTTCCTGGCCGGGTGCAAGAAGAGATCTCGCAATTCAGCACATGTCGTAGATCCAACAGTGACAGCATATGAGCCACCATGATTAACAGCTAGCAGCAGGCCTGCTCTCGTTAAAGACGATCATACATGTAACCCTTACAACTACGGCTAGGCTCACTTTGGATGCAGAAATAGGAACATGCTTCAGACAAAACGTAGTGTAGACCCCTCAAAACGATCTCTTCAACAAGGCTTTTGTAGCAGTGGGAACAAAGCTCCTATCAGAACAGGGCAATCTCACATATTAAAGCAAGGAGTATATGTAAAATAAAAAGTTAGGGTAACATGTGCTTGGCAAGCTACCCCCTCTACTCCTGCTAAATACATTATACTAGGAAATATTATGTCTCTCAAACTTTCCACTCTCAAACTATCATCGATCATTAGATAAATAATTTAAAATAAAGGTACTCATCCAATGAAGATGTTAGGCATCAAAGCACTTTATAATAAATCAACTCTACTAAAACTATATTCTCTATCTTCTATGCTTCCTTCTCCTCACTAGAGTGACTACAAATAGGCATATAATGGTGTCAACAAAATTCCACTTCAACATGATTACATCCCGTGTTTATTCCATTAGAAAATAAGACTATTTACAACAGCATGAAAGTGAGTTACCATTTACATATCAAAAAACAGCGTAGATTACAATTGTACAATTCTTTTTTTTTTGTGCAGTTTCATGTAGCTACCTGTGATCTTACAATACTTACTAATCTCTGAAAAACAGAAGTAGAATATTATTTCTCTTGTTAGTTACGTCGCTTGTGTGATGTACTGCATATATTTCAGTATACCTCACAATTTCAAACACACAAAGATGGTATAAAATACTCTGTGTTATGTACTGCTCATAATTACAGATTCTGAATTAACATGTACACTATACTAAACAGAGAGAATAAGGAAGAATAAGATCAAAGCTATCCAATCAAACCAGGAATCTCTTAGTGATTTGAGCAACCTAAAATGGTAACATACTTGCTACTTTATACAGCAGTGAATGCGCGTTCTAAAAAAAAAAAACATGAATATCTACGCTTGAAATGTTCTTAAGTATATAATAGCTTAAAATCAAGGTATAAAATATTGCTTTTTCAAAACAAAACGATGCATAACTTCACCCTTCAATGGCAAATTAAAAATTTGTGCTCTTTGTAATTGTGAAATGGACAGAGCGGCCAGCTAGATCTAAAGCAGTACGGTTCTTGCCTAAATAAATGTACAAGTGCATTGGTAGTCGTGACATGAATGGAAAAGTGGATTGGTAGAAGCGATACAAAATCTGATAATGCTTCTCGTTACAGCAGATGTGCAAATAGGATCGGCATGTTATATACATTTTGGTAAATGCATTGATTTGGTGAACTGTGTCAGTACAAAATGTACATGAAGAATCACATGGTACAAAGTCAACGTTCAATATCCATAAACTTGGACAAACCGCCTAGGTGGGTGGAATTAGTCCACCGACTTGGAAAGCCAATTGTCAACCTCTTAATTAATTCATAATTCTGTAACCAAATGAACAAGCAAAAAACTTGTGATTATGAAATCAAATATTCATTTTCATTTCATACCTTGATTATGTTGTATAATCATTTTGTTACAAAATTACAGAAATTTTACCAGAATAAAGAGGACAACACTTCGCACTCTAAACAGGGGACTATGTTAAACCAGGTCTAACTCGGTCTGCATTTATGAAAACAGGCAAATAGTAAAATTTGGAGTCTGAGCTAACAAGATCTTTACCAATACCTAGCACCTACATCATTAATTACCAAGCTAAATCATCTAGTGGAAAACGCAAACTCTAACCAATATTAATCCTGCAGTTATTTTCAAAGCTATAGGATATCTGAGAAATTTATAGATGGATAATATGAATCACTTTGTTTTGGATATCATCACTTCGACATTTTAGCACATGGCAGTATCATTTTACCGATTACAACCAGAATGAATGCTCAAAACACACAAATTGTGGAAAAGAAGAAAAAACAAACAAGATGGTCACACACATTACTGTATTTTGCACTAAATAAACTACATTCCAAACTAGTCCATCCATTATCATCTTACACTAGTAAAGGGAGATGAGTGGGTGGGAAAGAAGTATAAATTTGAAGAGGAGATTGAACATTATACAATTGAAGACATTTAGATACAAGTCTTACATTTATATTATCTATTAAAAGAAAAATACCTGGAAAACACCCGATTCAAGATAGCTGTCCACATAGCTTGTTTTTGTTCTCACGTTTTCATGCTTTAAGAGTATAAATGGAATAATTCAAGCTCATGACATAAAATGTGAAAATAACCATATTCAATATACTTGTGAAGGCTAACAGAATGAGGCGAACAATGTGTAAAGAAAAAAAAGGTACTTGAATTGGAAAAAGTCATGCATGTTGGAAACACTTTTCTCTTTTTTTCTTCTCTAAAACATGCGACTGAAAGAAAGTTACAGTAATTTGTGCTCGGCAAGTTCCATTTTAATGTTATTCAATGTTTGTGCCATTTCATGTATTGTATCAAAATATAAATCATCATAGCATGAATAAATTTCATGGTATGAAATTCATCCATTATTGACATAAATTGAGGATTTGCTATATTGCAAAAAGACAATACAGCAAACAGAAAGTGTTACCTTCATCCCATCTGCTTCTATACATAAAACTTCGGACTGCCAGGAAACAATAATCTATGTGATCTTAATTATTCAATACATTTCTGCATTTCTAATGAATATTGATCAGAATATAAGTATCATATCTCAAACATTTCTTTTTTTTAAAACCTGACACTACAATCCATGATACCATTTTTAATTCGCTATTCTGACCAACGATTACAACCGGGAGATATATGTTGCTTAATCTGACAGAGGTTCTGTACTAGTACCATTCTCACATAAAAAACACATTTCCACGATTAAAATTACACAAATAATGTCCCACGCTGAAGAAAAAACAATAAAAATACCATTTATGACACTTTGGGGCAAACATGTTTATATATACAAAAGGGTATTGAGCCTTACCGGTAGTCAGATGAGAATCAAAAAGAAATTAAACTTCTTAAATTCTCAACTTTATATCTGGGGGGCGTTTCACAAAACTTGTCATCAGTGACAAATGACAGTTTTTTGTTATAAGCTAGTGAAATCCTTGCTTCTGATTGGTCATCAGCAGATTTGTCACTGATTTATGTAGTTTGTCATTGAAAAAAGGCTTTGTGAAACAGGTCCCAGATGTTCAGCTGCTAAGGCCACTGACTGGATGAAAGCTAATCAACATTTTTTTTCTAAACTCATATTTGATGTTTCTTCTACTCGTAGAATTTCATTGGAAGATCAAAAGTTTGTTATTCAATGTCTTATTACAATAGTTTGTGCTTATTAGGATAATGAAAGCATTCAATGATTTGGGTTTAATATAACCATCACACACTATACAACGCCTTAGATTCCAAACTGTCAAATCCGATTCATAGTTATTTCTTGAGTAACAGTAATCATCAATCTGGCAAATTTCTGGTCCATTTTGGTCAGTGGTTGATATACTGCATTGAACACAAATTCAGCACTTCATAGATATTCCACAAGACATTAATTGTATGATGTTCACACATTTATGTGGACAACTACTCTATTAAAGGTAAGAGAGAGTGATGAAAAATAGATCGAGGAGAGAAATAGTATCTACATTAAATACATAATCATTACTATAACCATTATCAACACGCATTTTAACAAAGTTGTTATGTGACAATGAAATTAGTATCTTGATAAGCTCAATGATTTCAACTCATTCTCAAAATAAACACAATCCCACAATGATTGGAAGTTAAAATGCAAACCAATGGAAACTGTTTGTTGAGATGATGTTTTTTCCCCCGACTAATATATAAAAAAGATAATTCAATGATCTAGCAACAAGAACTTTCAATGCCTGAAATCATTTTACTACATGGCCATATCCTCTAAAAATGTCTTTCCGAAAGTTTGGTTTCCTTGAAATTAATTTCAAAGCTACCAATGGTTAAGATGTAAGCTCAAGGAGACAGCGGATAGAAAACTGAGCCAGTACGTTTTTCGTTACATGATCTTTTCTGTGATTTCCCATTAGATTTGTTGCAATGAATGACTGCTGGCAACCTTGATGTCACACTAATTCTTCGGTGCAGATATTTCCGGGCCAACTTTCTAGATGTTGCTCTTTTCCTTAGGTTATTATTCTCTGATTTCTTAACTTGACCATGGATTCTCTCTCTGACATCTGACCTCTGACCTTTGACACCTAAGCGAAGTACATGACCTTGAGTGTATCGTCATGAACCTTGATGGCAGCAGACATCTCCTTGGGGGTGCGTCCGTAGCCGTCACGTCCGTGGTGGCTTCCGTCTCCCCCACTGTTTGAGCAAAAGAAGAGGAATAACAATCGTTGTAATCACTGGGTGTGGCATGGAAAACAGGGGTGGTACTCTGAAAACTATATTTTTTAGAGAAAGAAAATATTAAGGCATTCAAAGCTGAGAAATATCAGCCCAAAGAGGGAAGGAGAAAAAAAAAGTTAAAAAAAAACAACAAGAGTTCAAACGACCGACCCATGTTTTGGCGCCTAAATAGCAATACAACATCTTCTTTTTTTTTAGGCCTTATAGGCAAGTTACTGGTTAATTTTTGCGCATGGCTGACTGCAATTGCGTATATGTAGTTCAGAGTGTTGTTTGTGCAAGCACAAATAATGAATGTTATTCTGAGCCATTTCAATGTGTTAATATGACAATAAACATACTTTTCACTAACATAGACGGTACCTTAGTTTCCAAAATACGACCCCAGAATTATAACATTAGAAAGTCCTCAGAACTTGCAACAAAATCCCATTTCCATTGTGACAGAGAGATAAACAAAGATACTATAGATCATGTTTATTTTGAATAGCAAAAAGGGGAAATAGGATGACAATCATTCAAACAAAAATTATGTCTAAATCTTATGTCCAAATGCTGGTTTTGCAACTCTACTTGAAAATGACTAATAGCAATGGTATAACTACAGGAACTAAGCTAGCAACTTCACAATGGATTCAAAACAAAGAATTATAAACATGTAGCAAACAGTATTAAAGAAGAAGATGTATCAAAGAGCCTGTAATAAAGATTCTATGATACATACTCTGGCGAAAAAAAAATTGGCAGTAAATTGCCTAGTGCCTACACTGTCCACATTCCTAACTTCAAACTGGGACTAAAACTAACCCTGAATAAAACCTAAACTTTAAATAAAACCTGATTTTACTACTAACCTTAACGCTGTTCCTCTTAACAAAATAATGCTGTGAGCAAACGTCACCCAGGGCTTTAATTAATCCAAGGCCACCAAGGCCATGGTCTTAGATGCCCCTCTCATTGGCCTTAGAGATTTGTTGTGTCCTTTCCAATTCTTCCTATTTGTGCTGTAATATAGGAATGTGCCCTACAGAAAAGTGGCCTTGTCCTAAAAATATTGAAATTTAAGGCCTGGTCACCATAGTCCTACTTTCAACAATGGACCGAACACTATACTTTAGGCTAACGCTAACCTAAACTAAAATTTCCAATGGTAACACTAAACATGACCCTCTATCTCTGGCAATATATAGCAAACGATGAATGTTGCTGGAGAATATATAAGATTGGTAAATGTTGCTGAGAATGTGCCAGATTGGTCTATGTTGCTGGAAAATGTGTTCAGAAAAACCTAACAGATTGTCCCATTTCATACACAAGCATCCTGACCCCACACCTTCATGTACCAGTATACGCATTACAGGGAATGCTGATCATTAACCATACTACTATGGTTAGCTAGCCATGATAAGACATGATAGTAAATATTAAAGTACCACATATTTCTCCAATAAAGATCATCGATTCAGTCATTCCCATTTAAATTTAACTTTCATCCCATAAAAAAAGAGTTGGTCTTCAATAACATACAAGCCTATTGAAGTCAAGATTGGTTACTTTCTTGTACATTGCCACTTTCTGATTTTAACCTCACCACCGATCCTAAAATTGCACTCCCTACAATATCATGCCCCCCCCCCCCCCCTATACTACACACATACTTTGGTCTGGATTAATTAAACCTAAACTAGAGCACCAAACTCGATGTGAATAAAGGGGAAATCTTTTTTTATAAAGAGAAAACCCTTGTTAGAAAGCTTAAACTCAGCATGGGTTTAACTTCATATAGAATACGAACTTACAGATTCAAATTCCTGTTTTCAAACATCACATTGCATGTAATGGTACGTTGCCAGAAATAAATAAATTTCAAAGAACCCGTCCTATATATATATATATATATATATATATTTCTGTCTACACATCAAACACCATAAACTATACTACCAAGAGAAAGAAAATATATATTAAATGCAAATGTAACTGTAAATGTTCTACAATTAGTGTACTATGGTTCTAGCTCTATTTCTACTCATCTACTTCTCTAACAATGAGTACATGATAAGACACAGCAACATGAAGTAAGTGAAATAAGGCTGTAAATATCAGATAGGAAAAGCCAACAGGAAATCCTTGGAAGTTTTAGAAGAGAAAAGGACAACAACTTGACCTGTTATCAAGTAGTAATGAATATTCCACACATATTATTCCAAACACATAGGTACATGTAAATAAGGGCTCTAGTAAATGGACATGTTAAGTTCATCAATTTTTTTTCGGCTGCTCAGGAAATAAATGCAAACTATTTGGGCTTTCTGGCTCATCATAAGCATAGGTGAAAGACGAGTCTACATGTCTCTCTGTTTCAAGAAGAAAATACAACTTTTTCAAAATAAACTTGCATTTTTCTTTTCTTTTTCCTTTAACCCTTTCCAAAGGTAGCCAATGCAACAATGGAATTGATATATTGCGTCAAGAATAATAATGAGTTTTTTCATAAATTAGTGATGCATTGGTACAACTGTTTTGTTACAAATGCATTGTTACACATGTGAAATATTACTGCCTAATTCAACAATGAATCAATGGACCATTTTTGAAAACTGTTTAAAATTGTTCATAAAGTTTATGAAAGAGAAAGGGGTTACAAAGCATGAGAAAGCCAACAAAAAGTAACAAAATGCTACCAATACTGGAAGTACTACTAAGTAACCTAATGGGAATGTATTAATAATAACACAATTAACTTTGTAAAAAAAGACATGTTTAAAATCTAATCGAGATAATTATGTTTAAATAGTTCTTCATGTAGTGTAAGACTTCTTCATGTCAATCCTTTTCAGACCCATGTATCTTCTATTTAATTTGATCATCCCTATATTCCTCCAAATTTGTGCAGACCCTGTGTCTCTTTATCCTTCCAAACAATTCAAAGTATATTCATGACACAAATACTTATTTGGTTCATCTCTTTATTTGATTTATCTATATTCCAAGCTCTTTTGTCCAACAACCTGATGTTCCACCACCTGGCAATTTTAAAACATTCTGTATCGGACATTCTAAATGCTTTTGGTCCACGACATATATGGTTGTAAAACACATTTCTTTATCCCATGTACCAGGGGACATAATTTCTATTATTAGAGGATGATAGCGCCTGAACAGATCTTAAAAACCATACAAGAATATCCTTATAACACGTTACATATATACAGTTGACAACTAAATTATTCATACCTCTACCAAATTTTTCAATTGTTTATGTATGTAAAGATATGATTTTTCCTGATTCAATGTCTGGAGAATATGACATTTTAAAGCTTACATCTAAAAGTATTCAACAAAGGCCCTAAATCAGCCAGTATACCTTTGATTTTAGATACGAAAAACACAAAAAACATTAAATTTACAAGGGGTATGAATAATTGAGTTGTTAACTGTATACCCGGTATATATTTATATATTTTTCAGAGCATGTTTCTGTGTTTTAAAAGAGCTCTCTACAAATTGTCCTGAGCTATATGTACATGTATATTGCTCTCTGCTCTATATCCCCCCACTCCTTTGAAAATCACAACGCTTCAAAAGATTGTCCAAAAAAAATCATACTTGTGAGAAAGGTTAGAGTTGTTATAAAATGAGAACAAGCCAAGATGCAAATGATATGAAAACACATCAACATAAATAACAGTGCAATGGTATGGAAAAAACAAGCATTAATCCAACTGTACGGAATATACATGTATGAGATGAATATTAGCTTTAAAAAATGAAAGGTTAGTTTGAAATGAGAGGGTGGAGCACCATTGATCAAACGTGAGGAAACAAGCAATATTTTATGCACTCACTTGCTGTTTGCACTGGATATGACACTGCAGGAAGTAAAACATAAAATTCAGTCAAAATGAAATCAAGGGAGAGGGGGAAATAGTTTTATGTCATTTCGGAAATCAACCCATTAAAAGGAAATCCAACCTTAAAGTTGCTCATGCGTGGGTATATAGAGGGCAGCATACTACCTGTTGGCTCAGTGTTATGAAGCGGTCGCCAAGTTGCCTACTTCATGAACGACTACCGGTATATACCCACACATGAACATCTTTAATAGCAAGTTGCTCTGAAGGAGAGCACAAAAATCAGTGAAGTAGAATGGTGAAACCGGATTAAATTGGACAAAGTAATATAAGTGGTACAAATTTTTGAAAGTTGTAATGGAAAAGGGTATTTTTTTAATTGGTAAATTAGTAATGTTGATGTGACGTAAATGTAGACAACTTTTTCATTTGTTTCAACATAAAAATGAATTAATTTTTAATCCAAAATTTACAACTATGCAGGACCTTTTTTTTAAATGTACTCTAATACCAAAGTTATCCCAAAACATGTCACAGTCAAATGGATAATTTACCAAATTGAAATTTCCCACATGTATAGTGATTACTATACAACTTTTAAAAACCCCTCATAACTCTCTTACTGTTTGTCCAATTTCATTCAAAATTTCACCAATCTGTTTCTCTGATTTTTGGGCATTCACCCAAGTCAACTTTTGAGAGAGGTTGGATTGCCCTTTAAAGATTACTTCACCGTCATTCTACATGCATTTCAATTAGATTTGAAACCTAAAACTCGTCTGCTTAGTTATTTGCTTCAATCAAATACTTATCCACTATTTAATCAGAGCAAAGATCGTAAGTCAACGACTGTTCCTAAAACCCTCCTCTTTGTATCTTGCTCAATGCAAGGCAATATCCATAATTTTCTATGAATCCATCATTTGAGCTTTCTACCACTTCTAGAGTTTCTCACACTTGTCTTTGATCAACCTGACAAGTATTTCTTGGAGTGGAATTGGCATTTATAACTAAATAGAGGCTTTATCAGAGAGAGGCTTGGGGGGGGGGGGGCAGTTTGTGGCTTCAGGGTTGTTTGCTTAATTGGTCTGCTTTTTTTTTTACACATACCTTTTACATGGGAGATGATGAACAGATTGGGAGTTTGGAAAACGGTTAGCCGAAAATCATGCAGATAATATAAAGAGTACTTTCAGTGAAAAGGGTGGCTCAGTATGCAAATTACTAATGACAACCATGGAATCCCCTTTGGCAAATATTCTCAAATTTTAGCCACATATCAAACAGCCTACATTGTACCCCACTGACTAGTCACATAGATTTTGTTTCATCCATCGAATAACTCCTTTAGAGTTATGAAGGATTTTAATAGGTATTTATTTTTTCATGTTCAACTGGGAATATTATTTGGCACTGATATTCTGAAATAAGATGTATAGCATCAATCATGGCAAAAGGGAACTTTTGTAAGTATTCAAAACAGGGGAAAATGCAAGAAAGTCATTAAGGATTTTAAAATTAATTAAAAAATACCATAACATCTTAATCACACATAAAGTTTCACAGATTTCATACCTGCACTCTTGATTAGCCCAATCAGAAAATGTTGACAATACATAGGTAATGACAAGGGGCCCCTCCCTCTACCCCCCCCCCCCTCCTCCTCCCCTACGTTCCTCTTAATGCTTGTTTCTTGATGCTGAAGCAAGGAGCAGGGTGTTTTGGGAGTAATGGAGATTCATAGCTAGCTGCTCAATAATAGACAGTGGTTTCTTTCAAAATTATTACTTTTGATGGGAGCATTTTACTCACTTACACAAGCTTTAATTTGCTTTCTGTTTTTTAAAAGTACATTTTTCATAGAAATCACATGCACAATGGTATGATTCAAATCAAAATCAACAAAAATTGAATTAAACATGACATATTATATCATGCAAATTGATCATCTTCTGAACATCTATAACTGTGATCTTTAGGTATGGACCTAAGCTATGATTTTAAATGGGAAAAATTTGTATCTGAAATCCAAATGAACTTCTAAAGATGACTTTAATTCCAATATATTGTAAAATTTCATCAATCTTATATTTAATTACAACCATACAAAACAACAACAAGAAAATCTGAATATATGACTTGGAAATTTGGTGGTTGCTTGTTCTGAAATCAAAACTACTTGCTAAACATACAAGTACATTTGTAATCCCAAAGCAAATTATACTTCAGATATCGAGCTATACTCAATAATTTTTGGTTTGGTTATCTATATAGCAATGAACCATAGCCTTAGCCTAAAATTACATATAAAATGAATCAATAGCTTTCATGAAGATACGCTCTGGATTCTTCTTTTGCATTTTTCCTGTATATTTGTTTGAAATCATTAAACTACCATGGATTTCACTTCGATACACTGATTTGATTTCGCTGGGGTTTGACGATATTAAAGCAACAAGCCTAGATTGATATTCAGAAGGTGATCAACTCAACGCAGCCAAATCGCATGCATGAGTTTGACATGCGGCATGGAAGCAGCACTATGCACCCTACCTGTCATGGTCATATCTATCGTGGTCCTTCTCTACCAGATGGTATCTGGCACGGAAGGCCACCAGGTGGGCGTAGTAGGCGGGGGCGGGGATGGACACGCTACGGGTGCAGCGTACGTAGGTGTGGCACAGCTGGTAGGTTAGACACTGGAGTTCGTCAGCCTTGAAACCGTTGTCGTCCCAGAGGACGTGGTAGTGAGAGGGACGACTGGTGCCCTGGAGAGAAGAAAGAAAGAATGTTGGACTCTGCAAGATCTCTTAAAGATACAGACCAGTTATGGTCATGCGATTGCATTGTGAAAGAAACGTTGTGAAATCGATCAGAAAAGGTTGATCATCTAGCATAGATGTACTGCAAGGTTCTGGAATCATCAAAATAATAAAAAATTTGGCCCAGTCTTCATAAAGTTACAAGCACTGTACACAGAAAGATGTACATGGGACTACGCACACATGCATTTTTATCTCTCACACACCAATAGATAAAGTAATTTACCAAATTTATCAATTAGTAGGCGGTTTCCCGGCAAAATTTGTATCATCATGTATTATTCAAAACATGTTCTTTCACATGATTGGTAATAAGAGCTTCCATTTCATTTTTTGAAATTGGGGCGTTTCCAATACTGGTCTTTACCTTTAACAATCCAGGGATGGATCAGATACTGTTTCAAATTCCTCAAGTCATTTCTATCTTTAAAGAAGCAGTTTTCCTTGTAACAACACAAAATTCTGAATCCATGTTATGTATATTGTGCAAAATATTCTCTGGTGCACGATGTGCCGAACTGCTACCTTTAAAGAACAATAGTTTACTACATGCAGCTCTATTATCATGAGTACTTGGTACATCAAATATTCAAAAGATCCCTTCAAGAGAAGGTTTAGTTCTTGAAAGGGTGAAAACAATTTATGAGCTTTCACATACTTTATACATATTCCTATGCAGAACAATACAGGAAAAGAATTGCACTTGAAAATTCCACCATATTGTTATTGTAACCAGAAATAGTTTAGAATTGTAGACGAAACTATCATGGCCCTGGGACTGCCGTACCTGAATACCAGCGTGACTGCACAGGTAGAAGTCATATTCTAGAGGATGGGTGATGCCGCTGTCTACTGTAGTACCTGCTGGGATGTTACCACTCCTTCCAATCTATAGAGAGATTAAAGACAACAACAATGAGACATACAAAAACAGAGAGAGAGAGAGAGAAACAGAGAGAGAGTGAGAGAGAGAGAGAGAGGGGAAGAGGAAGAGTTTGGGGGAGAGACATATAGAAAGAGAGTGAAAGGGGAGGAATTATAGAGAAGTGAGATCTTTTCTTTTATCTACCTTCCATCTTCCATCTTTCATCCATGATATAATACCTTGATTTATTTCTATGTAAAGAACAATGCAATACCATCACTCAGGTCCACGGTTTGAGTCCCAACGTGGCACTGATTTCCTTTGGTAAGACATTAATCTACATTTGCCACACTCAACCCAGGTGAGGTAAATGGGTACCTGGTAGGATTATTCCTTGAAAGGCACTGTGCACTGTTAACGGGTGCTGAAGCTAAAGCTAGGCACTAATGTCCTTTAGCAAGTCATTAATCTACATTTGCCAGACTCGACCCAGGTGAAGTAAATGGGCGGGTACCTGGCAGGGATTCATTCCTTGAAATGCTAGAGCACCGTAATGGCAGCCTTGCTAAAGCCGGGGTAATAATCGCAGAGCAAGTCTGACAGACATTAGCGCTATACAAAAACCTACTATTATTATCATATTGACTCACTCAAGACTTATATCATCAACCCTTAATGCTATTATTCCACCTATCTATCTATCCCTCAACCTTTCCACTTTCTTATTCTCTTCTATTTGCAATTTAGATGTATACGTCACTAAACATTGTATCATTCCTATCCTTTCTTCCATCCCTCCCTCAATCCATCCATCCATCCCTTATCTTTCCACTTACCTGTTCTCTTCTCTCAGCACAGAAGAGCCTGGTATGATGTCTCTTCTGCACCACAATGAACGTGATACCAGGCTCGTAACCTTCCTCCAGTGACCTGCAGGCATCTCTGATAGCGTTCATCTCATTGGCTAGAACCTAAAATAAAAGTGACGTTATATTTTAAAATGACAAGTACAGTCAAACCTACTAAAGAAACCCCAACTGAGTCATTCTTTAATAGTCACATGTGTAACATTTCATAGAAAGTTTTTGACATGAACTTAACAGCATTTCATCATTATCTCCCACTTTGAAGTTCTAAATAATGATATTGCCCTCCACAGACTTAGAGTAATTTGTTCAATGAGCATATATCAAAGAACCCCCCCCCCCCCATGTGTAGAAGGAAAGATAACAAGACAATTTTTAACTAACCCCCCCCCCCCCCCCCCCCCCAAAAAAAAAAAAAAAAAAAAAAAATTTGTATCTCTTGAACTTCATTTCTCACTGAAAACTCTAGTAAAATAAACCTGCAAACAAAGACCACCTGCCTGAAAAGGCAATTTTTTTGGTTTCCATTACAATAATATTCGGCATGTACACAAATGGACATTCATTTATTAGATAACCGTAGCGAAATGAAATAACTCTTATTGCCTGTCATTTCATTTACAAGCAATGTAATGCTGCTGTATTTTTTTAACGGTGGTTTATCACGTCAAGTTTTAATTCGCTTTTTGGTTGCAAAGTCAGACCTATGCATGGCGCAGTGCGGCAGTCTAGTCCGATACTCACCTGTAAGAATTGACCTTCGCTGACCCCATCCCTGTACATGATGATCCTGGCTGGCTTGTACCTGGTCGACTTGTAGAACTCAACGAGCAGCTCCTTGACCATGGCCTGCAGGTCCTGGATGATCTCGACACGGTGAGTCTGAATGCGGACACTTGCGCAGTAACGGCTAGGATGGCCGTCCATACTTCCCACAACCTGTTGTGTCCAGAGAGGAAAATGCTTAACTTTGTGGCTATATGGCCAGGGGGGTGTTTCACAAAGATTCTAAGTCGAACTTAACTCTAAGTTGGACTTAAAAATGATGGAGAGCCATTTGTGGCCTTAAAATGAAATATATTAAAAAGCAAAATTTGAAGTATTTTAGACTTTTCATAAATTCCACATCAAGAACATGAAATCTCCTATAATAATAGAAAATATAAATGATTCAAATCAACATTTTATGCCTTTTAAAATAACTTTTACAAAATATTTTCACAGCTTTCCATGATTTTAAATTCAACTTAGAGATAAGTACAACTTAGGATCTTTGTGAAACACCCCCTGGACTATGTAAAATATTGGTAAACCTAAAAAGCAATTTGTCTAAAATTTGTCAAATTGATCAGCTCTGATTGGATGACGAGCATCGACAGTAATCCTAAATCTATGCTGCTGCTGTGCTTTTTCCTTCTTATCCTAACGGGGTAAGACACATCATTACTATAGGGGTATAACAATCTATATCCTTGCAATACTGTTTATGTATTGCCTGTCATATCCAAACTGAATTTTAGTAAAAGAACTTTCTGAGATAAAATCTACAGAGCTCCAAAAGGTTAACAGGACTGATTCATGCTCATTTTCTCACCGACCCAAAACAATAATAAAAAGATAAAATAAAACAGAGAGGATAAATCTTAACACTTAACAAAGCCATGCTCGTCTAATAATTTTGTGCCGTTAGCGAATTCACTGATTTGGTCTTCCACTTGCTGCCAATGGTAGTGGTCATTACTTTGCTAAATCTACTTTTGTATTAATGCATGATTGGCTAATTTTGTGATTTAAAGTAAAATAAAGTATGAAATAAGCAACAACCAAAAAATGCAGTTTTGAAGTAAGTGTGTTTCTGCGTTGTATGTTTGGGTCCCTGAGAAAGGGAGGGTGGATAAGGGTTAAAATAGACTTAAATCCATATTCAAACTCATAAGGGGGGATTAAGAGACTGTCAGTGAGAGTAAGAGAGAGAGAGAGAGAGAGAGAGAGAGTAAAATAGAAATAGAGAGATAGAGAGGAGAATATTAGATCATGAGAAAGAGAATACACGATGAGAGAGCAACAAACACAAAAATAGACAACACACAAAATATTTTAAATATTTTAAACCAAATTGTTTTAAAGAGAAACACAGCAACATAAGAGACAATCCTAGAGAAAAAGTACATACACAGATATGTATATACAGAAAGAAAAAGATAGAGACAGACAGAGACATCAACACGATGAGAGATGGAGAAATACAGTCACCCAAACACTCATACACACAACCCTGCCTCAGCAGAAATCAGAAAGGGAGGGAAAGAGAGAAAGATGGACAGAGGGAGAAAGTGTGTGAAAGAGAGACAATCACAAACACAGATATTAAATAGAGATAGAGACATTCACTTAAAAACAGCAGGATAGAGAGAAAGACAGAGAAACAACATGCACAGAAACATACCCACACATCACAGGGAGTAAGAAGAAACAGGGACAGATGGACAGAGCGAGAGAGTGACAAAAAGAGAGACATACACTTAAACGAGCACACACCTGCATATGTATACAAGAGAAAGAGAGAGAGAGAGAGAGAGAGAGAGAGAGAGATATATTTATGAACACACAATGAGACAAAGAGAAAACAAAGACATTCTCATAAACACATCCACACATTCACCCACCCTCCACACACAGAGAGAACAAGCAAAATAAAAGATTGATGAGATGTTAATAAGAATATGTCCCCAATGTGCAGCTGTGTAAGGAGTAGGTTAGACTCAAATAAACGCACACAGATGACTTACAGCCGCGATAGAAGGTTTCTTATCATCACCGGCTGGGGGATGCGTAACGTCAGCTCCGCAAAAGATGACAGGCTCGCTAAATATGCGGGGTCTGAGTTTTGAGATAAAATGGGAGGTTCGTGGATGGGATTGGAACAAACAAAAATGGGCATGATGCATACAAAATATACCATATACCAATAACTTACAGCGGCGATAGACGGTTTTGAATTGTCTCCTGCCGGCGGGTGCGTAATGTCGGCTCCCATAAATACGACTGGTGCTCCAAAGATGCGCGGCCTGGACAGACATTTTCACGAGAAATATCGGGAAAGCAGAGCAAAGAGTTTGCCAGTAGTGAGCTGAATATGCAAACCATTCTCATCTACACTTTCATTTCATTAAGTATACACAATTTAAAAGAAATAGTAACTATATAGTTATAGATGTACTAGCTAAACTTAATAACGATTCTGAGAATTGAATACCTGACATGTGAAACTTTAAGACCTCTACTTTCAACAGGAGTATCTACATGCATATGAAATAGTTTTCATTTACCAAGATATTAAATATATTAAAAAGTGCTAGAATGAACAAATAGATTAATTAAACAATATTTGAAATGATCATACTTCCAGTTAAATGTCAGTTTGCTTTCAAAACAGGTTTGCATCTCATAAGCCCTCAAAACCTTAGAAACAATATAAGGAAATGAAACAAACATGCTTGTTAATCAAAATCCAAATCATACCAATGCTATTTGGAATCAATCTGAAATATTGCTCTCTTTTGGAGAAGATTTGTGAGTTGCTCCTTCTGTCGCTTACCTGATGTTAGGGGCCAGGATGTTGTTGACTCCTCCCAGCTTGACGTTGATCTTGAGGCAGAGATTGGAGAGGGTTTGTGCCGTGGTTCTGTTCACATTCTTGACCTGTACACACTGTGTGGCTATACCCAGCAGAGTGTCACCAACTCGCTTCACTTCAGCTGTGGAAAAGACCGAAAGAATATTATCAGGAAGGATGCCATGATTCAATTTTTTGGAGGTTTTGATGGTGGGTTAAATCCAATGTGCAGTTTTGGTACGACCCTTACACTTTTAGGTAAAATTTCTTTGATTTGAGTGGATTTTAGATAGTAAATAGCAAGATAATAGGAATTTGATGCACCTAACATGAGCAGTATCTGCCCTCCTGATGTATTTGCGATGGCTCCCCAGGCCCTCATTTCTTTTCAGGGTAAAGCTTGGTAAAAGTTGCTGAATAAGTAGCCAAAGGAAACAAACTTCCCAGTATCATCAGTACTGTTTGTTGTAAACTTAAAAACAAAATTATAATTTTTTGCATTGTATCTGTGATTTGAACCAGAAATGAATAATCAAGGGTCATGTGATCCAAAGGTCATGAGATCGAAGGTCAGGTGACAATTTAATTCAAAAAGGTTTATTGAAACATGACTGGCAGTACATAGACTGACTTGTGCATGCTTGACAGCAAATTAAAACACAACATTGATACAAATTGCATCAGCAATATAATGCATGTAAAATGGAGTGTAAAAAACTATACAAGATAATGTACATTAAAAAGGTTTTAAAAATGCATTACTATCGCATTTACAAGTACAGTCAAACATGCTTTAGCGACCTGGATATAATGACAACATTTTCATGTTTTCCTTGAGCCATCTTTATATACAGGTTTCGCTGTAAAAGGCAATTCCCTTCTGACTTGCTTCACACACTACTCACCATAGACGGGTGTCTTGCCCGGCAGAACGACGATGATGAGCTGGAGTTTGGGCCACATCTTCTTGAGGTGCCTGAACATGGGTTCCACCTGATCGGCGCCCACGGCGTACTTGCAGAAGCACGGTTGCCACTTGATAGGCATGCCGGCGTCATTGGAGATCTTCTGAAGCTGGAGTGTGAAATTCCTAAAAACACACCACAGACAAAAGAAGCATCAAGTTATGAACAGGGCCCTGTCGTATAAACTTTGCGATTGATCATTGATATCACTCACAAGTATTTAACAAAGAGATAATAGATTGCTTGGAGGTTGGAGGACTTGCGATTAGTTCAGATGAATTGCAATTCTCTGTGTGGGGATCCCCTTTTTCACCGAAACAATTTGTGACCTATTTACTTGCACACTGCTTCACACATTACCACCATAACAGCGGTATCATGGCCTTTCGGAAGCAATACATTTCAGTTCAGTTCAGTTTTGTCTTAATTTTCATTCTTCATAAAAACAGCATACGTATTATATATAAACAACCAAGCATCATCAATAGAAAACAATACAGAGCAATTAGACAAAACAAATTATGAAAATGAGGGGTCAACAAAAAAAAGCAAATAGCCTTATAGTACGTTGAGCCCAAATTCAACATTCATGCCCTGAATAAACCAAAATCAAAATGGGAATGGGTAGGCACTTACCTGAGAGCTTCTTCCCTGCATTGATGCTGGGGTGCAAAGCAGGCAATGGCCCACACTTCAATCTCAACACCAAAGTGGAACTGTTTGCCTCTCATATCCCACACACCCTGGTTAGGGATGGCTTGCTGGGGCTTGTTTAGCTGCAAAGACATAAATTTCAGTGAGTATGAGTGAATATATAATTTTACTAAACAGGTTTCTTTCAATAAATTTCTTTTCAAAATATCAGTAAGGTTTCCAGCTAAATAACGTGTTAAGCTTTTGCTTGCTGCAAGCCTCTTCAGAAGTGAGGCACTTGATTATTGGAATTGTGAGGAATACAAAATGGGAGAAAGAGCCTAAAGCACACTCAAATTTTCCACTATTTAGTCCCTTGTCTATTTCTCTGACTTTTCAGATTATGCTCAGGTAAAAACCATGTAAAAGCCTTCATGACTTTAGATGACTCAAGTTCAGATAGAATTGATCAGAGGGCCTGAAAATAATCTAGATGAGCTACAAAAAACCCAAATTATGGCCTGAAAACTGGCATCCCTGGTTTATGTTGTTCATGTTTTCCTTACCTTTCCTCCATATTGGATCTTCGGAGCAGGTAGAACTCTTCCTTCAATGGTGACCATCTCATTACTAATACTCAAGCCAAACTGCCTTACATACTGGTCATTGTTGAAGTCAGCTTTATGTACCTGCACAAAACAAAATAAATGAAGTACAATTTCAGAATTTAAAGGGATTTGGGTCTATTTTGTTCCCTTTAAGTCTAGGCATAAGATCTGAAACCTGAAGTATTTTGGTGTAAAATAAAAAAGACATAAAAAACAAAAATAATGTTAAGAAAAAAGTGAAAGAAATACATATGTATGTATGAAACTCTAAAACAGGAAATATCAAATAATTTGCAAAAACACAAGGATTGATTAAATCTTGTACTCCAAAGTTACTAGCTTTTTGGTCTTACATTTCTTACTAGGAATATCATGGCGGCTCAGCGATAGCCAGAGAAATAATATAATACATTGTATTAAGAACAGTAGAGTATATTTGCTAGTAGTTGGGCTTATAACAAACATGATATTAATATTATTATCATTTAATATGGTAATGAATCTAGTTTGCATTTAGAACACATAATAATAACGTCTTGAGGTACATGTATGTGTTCCAGCTGAATCTTGCATAGAAACTAGTGAGTTCACAAACTGAGGGCCCAAGCTCCAGGAGAACCCTCCACAAATAGAAACAACACAAGTTATCAAGTTCAGGTCAGCCTGATACGACCGTGAAGTTGTAGGTTCATTGTAAAACAATATCCATCAAATTCAGGAAAAAAAGAAATAGTAGTAGAACTGTGAAAGTCTTACCAGACTTTTGATTTCTTTCTCTCTGTCTGGGGCTGATCTGGCTGTGGCCTGTTAGAACAACAAGAAAAAGAAATAATATTATGTTACAGAATAATATTGTCATGGTAATATATTCATAACAACTCAGAGTATGAGATAAATCCATTACACACTTCAAAACTACAACACTACAAGACACCATGAGTTACTACAAACTCTGTTTCAAATGTATAGACAACAAGGGTAATAACAGAGGAATAAGGAGGTGTATTATAATAACATAATCTTCAGCACCAGGGATGCCAACCTTTCAGAGCACAAATCCGTAATCATAAGGCTAAAAATCCGTAATTTGGAGACAAAATCCGTAATTTTCTGCGCGACGCAAATTTTTCTGCACGCTGGCAAGCGCAGCTCCCGCAGGCAAGCGCGATAGCACAACAAGTTAAATAAAAGTAACATAGTCTACCTGTTCATTAGTTGGTGTTACACGATGCATTTCCATTTCTTACTGTATTCTTCTTTAAAAGTCTGTAACTTCTTGCCACGCTTCTTAGTTGTGGAAGACATGATGATTGATATCTAAATCCAACAAACATGAGTTCAGATTGTCGACGAAAATCGACGAACGATGTGACAGCCTGTGAGAAATCCGACAGTGTACACGGTGCTAGCGTAGCGAGGCCTGGCGCTGGGCATGGGCGGGCGGTAGCGGCGCGGCCAGGAGAGGTATTTCACCCGGCCCCCGCTCGCGAAGCACATGTTGTATGCACATGTATGCACTGAAAGGGGTGTGCTAGATAACAAATTGTCCAATCGGAAGCCCTGTGGGATTTCTATACATGGATTCAAGGATGGCTGCGCTGCAATAGTCAAAAGTACGTGCTAAACCTTAAACGTGCTAAACCTTAAAGTGCTAATTTTGAAAATCGGCAAAATCCGGAATTTATGGTATGAAAATCGTACCGCCCGTAATCGGCCGATTTCCCGTAGAAATTACGGGAAATCCGTACTAGTTGGCATCTCTGCAGCACCATGAAGGATTTTTCATTAAAGTGACTCGGTAACATTGCCTCAGATTCTGAACAATATCCTGGATTTAGCTCATGCTGCAATCATGATTATAAACCTTTAGGTCAGTCAGAAATCCCATGACGTTTACAAACCGATCGCCCGTCTAATTATCAAGATATTTGTGATTGGAATTTGAAGAAAGACGGTCAGAAGCCAGAAGGTTCTAATACCTGCAGTATATTCCTCACTCAGCCATGGTGGCATACATGTACATAACTAGATTTTGGCTACAGGTACATTGCATACACAATTGGGCCATAATATCAGTTAAACAGCATTATTTGTTGTCAGACTTCTATCTAGCGCTATGAAAGAGAAGTCTCTGTAAAGACATGAAGTATTTACCTTTATCATGGTAGACGTCTGCAGGTCAGTGAGTTTCTTAATGCAGCGCTGCCCAGCTACGATATTGCAAACCTGAAGAGAGAAAGAAAAACAATTCAAAGAAATTACTTAGATTAGTATAAGGAAATGATTAAAGCACCAAATCTGCACACAGGAAAAGTGGTTTGATGACAACAGCTTCCCACTTTTTAATAATAAGCAGACACTGTGCCTATCTTGATCAATCTCATTTGAGATTCCATTTGATCAATAAGAATAGCTTTCAGAGGACAAATGTAGAGTTGCATTGAGACCATTTTAAGAACACCAGAACAGTAAAGGCAACTTTTTATTTTTTACCAAAGACATGATTTTCTTTCACAAAATTATCATACTTATTGTGCTGAAGGATCTAAAAGTGTAAAGAAATACATTAATCCTTATGAAATAGTGTAAAGGTAGGAGGAAAATTGTAAAGGGTTAAGTACACTTTACCCCCAATATCTAACCAATGTCTTGATTCAAGATCACTAAAGCCCCTTCAACCCCCCAACCCCCCCCCCCCTGCAAAAATACAATAATGGAATAGTCTACATGAATCATTCAACACAGAGTTACTGGACTGAAGCATTGTTTAAGAGGGTGTTACATACCTCCAGATGTAGAAAGGTGTGATGCTGCTTCTGGCAGGTTTTTTTTTTTTAAAAGGACCCCTAAAAAACTCCAAACCCCTACACTCACTTAATGGTATAATCTATACAATCCGTTAACTACATTGATACTGGAATGATGCATTGTTTAAGAGGGGTGTTACATACCTCCAGAGGTAGGTAGGTGTGGCGCTGCTCCTGTCCAACCTGCAGACAGGGGAGATGAGGGTATCTGCAAACAAACAATCAGAAAGCAGAAATTAACGGTATTTCTACATAAACAAAGGTTGATTGCATGCCCAAATCCGTTCCAAGTCCATTCCCAAAAATGTGTAAGATGTAAAATTGGTTTAATTGATCTCCAGACTTTAATTCAAACTTCACTAGAATGTATGCTGCTAAATTTTAAGAACAAGCATTAAGAAAGAACTACCGGTAAACAGAGTTGACAGGTAAGGATATCATGAATTTTTTAGAAATGCCATTGGATATGAAATATCTCTTTTATTCAATTTCTGAGGCATTTACAAGGAAGTTACATGGGCCTGTGTGATTAACAAGAAAATGTTACTGTTAATTCTTCATAATATGAGTTTACTTACTGCAAGATGAGATTATGTCTTTCTCTGAAGTATTTGGCCACTGTGCATTCCACTGTTTGACCATTCTCAAGTTGCCATGGGAACCTGGACAAGAAACAATTACAGACAAAAATTAATACATGTATTTCATTGGGTTTTAGACGTTAAAATCAGGAACTGTCACGAATAGTTGATGACAGCCATTTTTGTGACAGTTTTGTGCTATGTTGTGATAAAGTGATCAATTATTTGGTGCATGAAACTCTGTGAATGTTGACCTCTCATAAACTTCACCAAGTCTCATGAGAGTGTCTGGTTTGACAGTAGGCAGGTTCAAAGTTCAGTTATTCAAGGTAGATACCACTCAATGAATGAGGAGATACAAATGGCTACCATCTCACTCATAAAGTAAGGTAAGTTAACATGCATCTATCGGTCTCTTGCAAACACAAAAGCAATTTGTACTGAACCATTAATTGCAGTTAAAAAACACATTAAAAAATGCATAACATAATTACACAATTGAGAGCAATATTACATGAAGCAAAACAATACACACAAAAATAAACACCTTACAATTTACAGTTTTACCCTAATTTAAAAAAAAATCATTTCCTTTCCTATAGTGGGGTCTTTTTTAAATTTGTTATACAAGTCTCTTCTTTTACCTGGGTTTGATTAAACAGGAGATCTACATTTACAATCATCCAATTTCCAATTGAAAAAATCAAGGATTACTTAAGTTTGTAAGACGTTTCTAAAATTCAATTTAAATACATTACTCACAATTCCCAATCAAGAAAAAATCCATAAGATTGAAAGGATGACAGGTTAATTCCATTAAATATGCAATTTCCATTTTCTGATTACATGGCATCTCTTTGCGGAGAACACCACATGATTTCTTTCCATAGCTACATCAACATTACTCGCAGGACTTGACTTACGTTTGTGTTTGTGCAGATCTCTTGGTCACATTGCACACTCTGTATTTTCTCTTCATGTTTCCACAGTGAGTGATCTCAATCTTCAGTCCTAGAGGACAACATAAATGACAAAAATGAAATATTTTTTATTTCTACATTCATCTTTCTTTCATCAACAACATTAATATGTGGCAGACATTCGCAGGAACATCACTGAAACTTGCCATGACACTCAAAGCTCTGTATCATGAAACTTAAATTTTTAAAATATTTTTAAAAAATCCTACAGCTAGTTAAATCTCTGAAGTGAACATGTGTACAGCAAAAGGATATTTGTGTATCTCTCATTCTTCAATATTTTTGTGAAAATCTACAACTGTTAAAGTCTATCTGCACTAGTTTGGCCAGGAGGGATTAGACCTCCCTGCATGGTCACTGACAGGTGGTTATGTCATCAAATCATCTTTCAATTACATAAGAAAAAGGGGATCATGGGGACCAACGGGTATCGCTTAGGCATTATTTGCTATATAGAAGGCGCAAGGAGCTACAAGTAGTGCATTCCCGCTTAAAGAAAGTATAGAAAACATGAAATTGATCCCTCTTCTGACTCCCTGTGGTCATTAATTTTGTAACGTAAACCAAGGTGATACTTTTACAGAAATTTTAAACTAACTTGTTCAAACTGTAAGGATCATCACATTTCCCTACTTTTTAACTCAAATAAAAATAGTAAAAAGGATAAACTTATAGGCCCGAATTCACAAAGAAGGTTTAGATTTAACCCATGGTTTAAACCTTCATTTACATAATCCATGGTTTAAAATAAGCACAAAATAAGCGTACGTTGCCTTGCACGCGTCTAATATCGGACCTCTTGACTGAGCTAAGCTTATTTTGCGGTAATTTTAAACCATGGGTTATGTGTAAACCTCCTTTGTGAATTCGGGCCTTCGAGATGTAACAGAGCACTGACCTTTGATCTCTTTGGTGAACTTCACTCTATGTGAGTCTGATAGAGGGCGCCGTTGATCCGATAGATCCTGGATGTCCAGGACCTCACATAGGAAGTCTATCACCGATTGACAGCTGTAGAAGGCCGTTGCAGACACTACACAAAACAAAGAGTTCATAGTGGTTATCTTTTAATAGACGTGTGCAAGGTGACATTTTAAACTACAATGGCAGTTTTATACTTTAAAGCCTGTCTGCAATAGTTTGGCCAGGGGGGATTAGACCTCCCTGCAAGGTCACTGACAGGTGGTTATCTCATCAAATTTAGCTCTCAATTAACATAAGAAAAAGAGGATCGTGGGGGACCAACAGGCACCTATTAGGTATTGCTTGCTATATAGAGGGAGCAAGTAACTATAAGTAGTGCAGTGGGGCTTTAAGTTTGCGAAATTATAATGATCCACTGATGACGACTAGGGTTCACAAGGGACTGAAACAACAAGTATTCAAAGTAAACTCCAAGCTAGTGTAACCTCCAGGTTACTTACATCCACATGGCACTTAACTTTGATTGAGTACACCCACTGCTCGGAGTGATCATGCTAACCTTATGATCTGTCGTAGTTTGTAACTTGAGTTAACTGAACATTTTGAGACGAGTGCATCCACACGATCCCTAACTACAAGATAACGTCAAGATTTAAAACCACAACCTAAACTCAAAGTTCATGGACTGTCATGTGAACATCACTATTGTCTTGTGAAACAAGTTATTTTATCAAGTGGAAGCTGCCATTGTTCTAATTTCCTAATAATCTAGAGGTAAATAAGATTACCAGATTCTTATCAGGAAAGTCCCCGGCGGGACACATTGTATGTGCAACAAAGCCCCTTCTGACTTTACAGAGCACTTCTGTTTTTTTTTGTAAGCCATCATAGTAAAAGTCATCTGTGTTTTGCTTGGGAATTACGGGGAAATAGAATTCTATCTGGCCGTTCTGCAAGCAAATATAATATCTTGCCCAAGGCGAGGGAACCAATGCACTGCAAAGCCCCTTCCAACTTAACATATATCACTTCTGCCTTTTTTTTCGGTGCACTTACCGTCTATATTGAGCATCATTTTCCACATGGATGGGCGGATGCTCTGATGGAAACCAAACCATACCTCTCGACCACCACCCAAGGGATGTGAGTACTCCTCGGGAGGGGAGAAGAAGGATCGACCAACCGGGGTGTACCTGGATGAGAAAAATCAGAGGCTAAACATTTCAGTCTAGGATATTCAGTGAAAACATTCAAGAATTACAGTGAAACTTGTATATATATATATATATATATAAGACCACTAAAGGGAGATTTGTAAAAGTGGCCTTTATGTAGAGACTCATTTCATACATGGGTCATTCCATGAGGTTGGGGCAAAAATATGACAATGTACATGTAATGTTGGTATGACATCTTCTACTACAGTTTGATGGAAGGTGAAATCATCTGGTGAAGTTTTTTATGTAATGAATCATTCCTGTCTTAGTTGCTTTCCTTCAAAATCTTTGTGAAAATCTTCATTTCTCTTTTACCAGCATTACATCGATATCATTTTCATATAACATAACATAAACTTTGGGTCTATAATATTGATACTCTATGAAGCTTGAGCACTTCTGAAGATAGTAGGCTATGCTTTTTTATGCAAAACTCAATTTGAGTAAACATTGTTACAGTTGATAGGAGACATAGTTTCTCAACTTTCTCACTTCTGGTAAGTCACAAAAATTGCCCCTACCCCGTGGAATGACCCACATATTTCTATGAGAATATATTAATAAAGTAAAACAATGAATGTGGTGTTTATGCACAGATGATATGTCTATACAAGTGATCAATAAATCAGCTTTGACTATACAACCAAGGTTACAGATGGTTCAGAACATTTTCTGCAGTAACTGTCCATTTGGGACATAAATCCATGAGAAAATTATTTATTTATTCAAAGGCTTTATAATGATTTTTAGGGGTCCTGCTCTTATTTCAATTTTTATTTCCTTCATTTTGGGAGTCATTGTGAATTGTTAGCATCAAGTGCTTTATTCACTTATATATACATGTAGTAACAAGTAATGTTGGCAAGGTTTTCCACATATTAATATCATTTAATATGCATATTTCATTTAATAATTCAATATTCTAAACAAATCACTTATTCCCTTATTTCGCTTTACTTACTACTTGTTTCTTACTATATTTATCAAATCTAATTTGATAGGAAGCTGTCCAGACAAAACCTTCTCTTGTTTTTTTGTTTTTTTACAGCTGTGCCTTATTCTGTTTTGTATTAATTCATTGTACATGTATATGTTATCCCAATTTATGTATTATATTTTACATGGAACATTAAAAATGTCTTAAAAGATTTTTATTTTATTTTATTTTATTTTATTTATTTATTTCTGTTTGATTTTCTTTTTCTTTTGCACTTTTACAAATATATAACAAACAAAACATTGCAGATTTTAAATATGAAAAAAGAATATAATTATGTAGAATAAAGTAAGGCTGGCTGTAACTTATCGAAAACATCATGGAATTGAAATAAACTGAACTGAACTGAACTGAACAATTTCTTATAGACTTGACAGAAATCTTTGTTGCGACATACCTCAGTGAAGGTAGATGTCTCATGATAACGTCCAGGGCTTGCACAGCCTCATGTGGGATGTTCATCACTTCCCCCTTCAAGGCAGCCTCTAGCAGGGACAGACTGACCTTGCCTTCAAACTTGATGGAAGCTTTAAATATCCTGTCTTTCCCTTCACCGGGTAAGGTCACTTCGAGTTCCACTTGCTATGAGGTTGAATAGAGAGGGAAAAATAATTGGATTATTTTACCAGATTAACAAGGGTGTAAAGAATGCTTGTATTACTGCAGAACCAGAATCTTTAGTGAATTGTAAAAAATGAAATGATTATTTTGAGCATGAAAAGCCAAATACATGAGTTGATTCAATCAAGTTATTAAAAAATCAACCAAAATAAAATCAATATAACATGAAAGATAATGATGAATATAATATTACATGATGCTTTATGTCCAATAAAAGAAATCTATCGTTTGTAGGTAAACTGATCATTCTTTCTTTCAATAAGCTCTGCTTACAAGTATTTCTTTTTTAATTTCAATGTCATTTAAGAAATGTTACAAAATTAAAACTGTTCTACGACTATAGTCTATAAGATAATATTCTTCAAGCTCTTAATAATGCAGGAAACTATTTCAATTTATTCATGATTCCTCTTATAATGTAGCATATTTATTTCCTCATTTATTTTGTCTTCCGATGAAATCACACATAACACAACAATTCTTCTTTCCCCTCTCTCTCTCTCTCTCTCTCTCTCTCTCTCTCTCTCTCTCATTATACTTGTAGAAAAATGTGTCTTTCATCTCACCTTTTCCCGATCTAGTGGAATCTCATCTTTACAGTACATGTTTTTCCTCCCGTCAAACACGGGCAGATTGTTCTGAAAATATCTCCCCTTGTAGGCAGTCACTAGTGTGTCTATCACATCCCTGAAAAGACATGGAGTTGATGATTAAAACATAAACATTGATCTCTCTTGGTCCAATGAGTTAAAAATATTTGTTTCATCAAGAAAAGATATTAAGAGAATAACTAAATGTGAAGATTCAATATGGACAGCAACTGCCGGTAAAATGTACTGCACTTTTGACCATTGATATGAATTGAAATTACATGTAACTACAATGCAATTACAGTTTTATTTAACATGTCTACAAATTACATGTTTGTGTCTTGATTTTGGCTTCTGATAGGACATTAAATTATTCAAAGATGGTAGTGACAGATATGCAGATTAATATGTACAAAAAGAAAATGTTAAAAAGTCACACACAGGTGGGGCAAAATGTAGGCTCTGCTGACAAATACATTGAAATGTCAACTGAAATTATCCCATTTTCTTTTTATATCGAGGGAAGAAACTAATTCATAATTTCCTTACATGTACCTACACTTCTGTGATATAGCATCTCAAGAGGCCCTACCCAGAGTGTCAAGCCATAGTTAAAATTCATTTAAAAGTCTATCCAATCTTTGAACTCTCAGAAGATTTTCCAGAGAGTCTATTAATGCTGATGAATTTTACAGCGCCAAACCTGGTACTACAAAAGCCTCAATTTATAAAGGCGTACATGAATTCTTCTAATTACCTCCAATAAAAGATCTTTACACATACCCTATTTTTGCACATAAAATATGTACCGTTAAAGAATTAAATGTCAAGCTCATGTAACGTGATACATGGAAGTTATTGGAAGCTTCGTATTCAAATGGACTTCTGCCTCACCTTTTCGATATGATGAAACCAGTAAAAGACAAATCATATTACAAACCTGTTGATTCTCCTGGGACACTTCTCTGGAGTGATGTTAACTTCATAATGGAACAGATCCAGGGGCGGGATCTTCACCTGGAAGTGGTTTGCACGAAGGGCGATAGGACGACCGTCTATACCAAAGCCAGGCCTCCTGGGCATGGCTACCAGCTCTGTGGGAGCAACGGGAGGGGTACCTGGTGGTTGCGGAGGCCCCCCAGGGGGTGGGGGCTGTTGGCTTGGAGGAGGGGTGAAGGGGGGACCACCAGGTGGGCCACCTGGAGGGCCACTTGGAGGGCCACCAGGGGGACCACCTGGTGGGCCGCCGCCGGGAGGGCCACCAGGTGGAGGACCTCCGGGCGGACCCCCGGGGGGACCACCGGGTGGGAACTGCCCTGGGATTCCAGGTTGATTTGGCGGATAGTTGGGCATCCCTACAAAACAAAGGAGAAGGAAAAGCACAGAATGAGAACAAGGTAACAAGCTTAGATTAACTCTAAGAGAAGTATGAAAAACCTCTGGCCAAAAAGTCACATCTACAAAGTGTTTCCTTAATACAGATTTGGCATCCTTTTTCTGATGCATTATTCTCTGTATCCTAAAACGAGAATTATGATCTTTTTTTCCCTCCCCTTTTTAGGTCTCATCAACACAGAGCTGTCAGTTGGAGAGGGACTGGCATGCGTTTGGTAAAATATAATCTCTGTTCATACATGTAAACTAAGAATGACGGTTATGATGTCCGAGTTTATTGGTTTTCACATTTCAAATGCAGAAACAATTACAGATTACAAAATATACTTAAAAAGACATATTCTTTCATAATTTTTAAAAACGATTATAGTGTTTGACAAATTAATCAGACTACAAAGTTACATATCATCAAATGTGTTTGACAACTATTATCAATTTATCATGTTAAAAGAATAGGTTCCTTGGAGACGTGGAAAAATGACAGGGACAGAAAATGTTTACTTAAGAGAGACGTACATAATCAAATGTAAGAGGGCAGTAATTTGACAAAAATAAAATAAAATATATGTTGAAAATGATGATGAAGAATATCATCATCATCATTATAGTGAAGAGAGATCACCAATTGGGTGAATAAATAGCGGTAGTTGAATTAGTTGAATTGTACAGCCCATTTTTATTTTGGGGCCATCTCCCATCTGGAGACCATCTCTATTGTCAGAACCTTTCATCAAGTTTTTTTTGGTTCCCTATTTTGTAAATTCTACCATTAAGTATATTCAAACAACCATTTTCTTTGTTTCTATATTTGTTACAAAACGTATCACCTTGACACAACCTGATCTGATGATGATAAAAAGATTTGACATGCCAAAAAGCCCAAAATATGCCTTTTACAAAATGAATGGGCTTTCCTCCTAAGCCCATGTCTTTACATAAGTGTATAAACTGCATGTTTCTGATTAATAAAAAAAATGTAACAACATAAAACATCTGTATTCATTTTAAAAAAAAGAGAAGAATCTAGTGAAAATCCTTTTTATCCACAAGCGTCACAATACTATCTTTCACAACTAAAATCCTAAACCAAATATAAAATGGATGAGTGAGCAGACATGGAAATCTTTACTTTTGCAAAGGCAAAATGGCACCAGTGTCTTTCCTTTTGAAAGTGACATTAGGCCTACTTGGTACTTACTCTAAGAAATAAGATGTAAAAAGCATAATTAAATTGAAGGGGAATACAATAATAATTCTTGCCATTTTTAAGTGAAGTTTTTTGTGCAGACATTAGGCTCCCCTTCATACTCATCATACTCATACAGTCATACAGTTGATTTTCTGTTTGGATATCTAACGTTACACTTACTCCAGGGAGCTCCCTGGAGTAACCCCACTTACACCACTAATTTAAATGAACAGATCAGCTTTTTGTTCATTTCACATTTAAACAAATATTTTGAAAATGATATCTCTTTCATTACTTAAAAGTTTAATTAAAGTAAGCCCTATATCAATGCCTCTGTATTTTAGTATTGCATTGGTGACTGGTCATACAATATACAGTTAGATCCAAGATAGACTAATTAATATTTCTTATAATATATGAAATACAACTAGACCTAATTGGGGATTTAAAAATTATCCCTAACATGGTGATGACCTTAACCCCCAGTCCAATCCAGCAACTTTATGAAATATGTTAGCACACAATCATGCAACATGAAACACGTTAGCACACAATTGTCTGTTGTCTCATGTTACTTGTTACTTTGTTAGCACACAATCTCCTCCCTCCACAAATACTGAAATAGTAATAACCATGGAAGAATCCTGGATCAATGGATATACTTAGACCTACAACATCAGGTATTAAAGTAAAGCAAGTATGTATGATGATGTCTTGATATAAAATAGTCATGAACAAATCTCTTTCAGTATCAGCTTCAATTTCATGTGTCATTCTTTTCAATTTCACTTTTTTTTAGTCAGGAATTTCTTATTTCTAGATCTAGATCTTGATTAATAATAAGCCTAATTTAATCTATCTGAATTTCTCTCTAAATTTTTCCATTACCTCCTCTGCTCTGCTTATTGTCTTTTTTTTTGTTCACCATTCTTTTTTAATAAAAAAAAACATTTTCCCTGCCTCGCTTGCATGTTCTGCTGCTAGCCGCCTTTGCATTTAGGTCTACATTGCACTCAGTAGTTCGGTTGAAACGCCAATCAATGCAATGTTGATGGCATTCACATACACTAGGCCTATACAGTACCGCGTACGGTATTTCTGTGTTAGCGGTATCATCGCAAACCGGCTATAACGATGTCTAAACAAATGTCAAATATTCGTACTGTCTTACCATATGGGAAATTTGGCGGAAAGGGTGGTTGATACATCTTTCCTCTTTCAAAAATTATACAATATAAATTTCAATAATGGCAAAATAGGCCGTAGTTGAACGTTTATTTCAGCATGTCAGATGGTCTTCCTGCTTCATTTTTGCACGTCCCGTTTATCGGCTACACGACCCGGAAGTTAAAACTTGAAAGGTCGTAGTATCTCGTATTCTAACTCTATTTTCTTTGTTTTCTGTGATGTCTACTTTGGCTTTTGTTGCATTCACCGTGGCCTTTCAGCCGCTGAAATATTGATTGCTGCGTCTTTTTTCCTTCTTTTTTCTTTAATGACTCCAAACCAGAAGACAGAACTTATGATGAAGAGAAGGAGACAGAGGGAGAGAGAAAGATATAAAGGGAAATGAGAGAGGAGAGAGAGAGACAGAGAGAGACAGACAGACAGAGAGAGAGAGAGAGAGAGAGAGAGAGAGAATAGGATAGATGGGGGGGGGGGGGGGGGAGCTTGCTTCATGTTCGAAAGTTCAAAATAAGTGCTCGACAAGATCGTTTCTACTTTTCTTTGTGTTTGTTTCTTTATGAGCTTCCGAAACCATACAGATTTTATTTGATATAATTATGAATATGCAGCGATATTTTGTCGAAAAAGGTCAACATTTTTGTAGGATACCAAATAATTTGTATACATATATGTAAATCTTTTTATATTCTGTATTTTGTTTTATAACTCAAATGAGTTCATACACAATATTTTTATTGAATTTCGCTTTGTTACCAAACATCGACGAATATAATAAATAAACATAATTATTATGTGAATAAAGTACCCTGTATAAATATCAGGGATAAAAAAAATAGATACATTGGAATTAAATACAAAGGTTGTGGCCTTGTAGGGTTCAGTTATGTCCTCGAGCAAGTCATTTTTATCTACATTGCTCCTTTCCACCAACATTTGGTATTTTTTATGTGTGTATTTTGGAGGAAACCCCCCCCCCCCCCCCCCCCCCCATATGGCAACGAGAATACACTCGCGCGCTTTCGTTTTGGCACAGTTGAAGCCTGATAATTCGTATCAAGAGAGTCAACGGTATTAAACCATCTTCACTAAACCATGATCACAAGTCGAATTTAATTCTGGAAAAAGGTAAATCATTTTGCAGTAATCTGAAAATCAGCTTTACTAAGGGAAAGGGCTTAATCCCAGATAAGTCGAGATTCTTAATTTCAGTTTAGTTTATTTCAAATTTCCACATCTGATTTTTATGACATATCATAAAAAGGCGCGATAAGGCTCAGTGGTAGAGAAGCATTTTCGTAACCGGGTGGTCAAGGTTTCGATACCAAGTCGATGTACTACTGCCGTTTATCCTCATTAACAAGTTCCTCGGAGAGGACTTAAAACCGCCGGTCCCCTGGCTGCTTACTTACAAGCATGCTTTCTAAATAGTCAGATAAACACAAATCATAAAACCTTCGGGAAAAATAGAAAAAGAAGAAACATCATTATGTGAATAAAGTATACACCATAAAACGATTGAAGAAACATGATTGCACATGATTGTGTATAATTATTATAATGTTCGACAACTACAAGAAAAATAATTTTAAAACATCGCAGAATACTTAAAGTAAAACATGACAAATTAAAGACAACATTTGAGGTATTATGAGGGAACTTAGTAAAAAGGCAGGGCCTGATCAGTCAGAAAATAAATTGCACCCATATTTTGAACTATAGAGAAAATCCGAATGTAGAAAATGTTGGTATTATAAATTTTCCTGAGTCGAGCAATCTCCCTTCTCTCTCATTCTCTCTCATTCTCTCTCTCTCTCTCTCTCTCTCTCTCTCTCTCTCTCTCTCTCTCTCTCTCTCTCTCTCTCTCAGTGAGAGATCTTACACGGTCTAGAAGACTTGGTCATGTTATCAGCGCACCTTTATGGCATTATCGTACACTGTGAAAAATGTGGGTATAATTTTTTTTTTTTTTTAAATAATAAAAAAAATAAAATAAAAAAATAAAAACCAAAGGGGGGGTTGAACCCCAAACCCCCCCCCCCCCCCCCTGCGTACGCCCCTGGCTGTTGGGCAAAATACGACAAAATTATGCAAATATTGCCCCATAGATGGTTGGGTTGACTATGGCACAACGTTGGGCAAATTGTTGAAATAATATTGCCCAATTTTTTCACAGTGTATCAACATTATTTTCACTTAAGTAGGCCGACTCTTTGGTCTGTATTGTACTATAGTCTTTAAAAATGTACAATCCTGGCGATGGAATTTATTTGGGAGACACGCGAATTAATTTATGAGCATCCAAATAATATTCGTCGGCAAAATCATTTCTGTTCAGGGCATTTCGATTTTTGTTACCCGCCCAATCAATTTAATTTAAAGGGCCCCCAAAAACAAAATCGCTGTCGTATAATGAAGTCGTAACATTTCGATTTCGAATTTCCTGTCTTGAATTTCGAGGACCGTGCATTCAAATTAACACAATATAGCCGAGGAGCCTGTTTTGGCTTTCGTTTTCATTTTTGGGAATTCAATTTATCGTTTCATTCATTAAATTTTAGTTTCATGGATTTCGTATGTTTGTATGTGTTGTGTAGTGCAGTAAGGTGTAGTGTAGTGTAGTGCGTGTTTGTGTTTTGTAGTATGCCTTTTCGTGTATAGATACATAATTGCAAAGGCTTAATGAGCTATCTTTGATCCGTATTTACAGTTAAAACCGGCCCTTTTTCTAAAATCCCGTTTAACAAAAGGGAATCTGGAAAAAGGAAGAAAAAAACTTCCTTTGTTAAACCCGATTTTGTACCGTAGGTTAAACACACATTTTAGCAGAATACCAGAGCATTTGTTTTTACGATTGGGTTTCTTGTTGTCTCCTAAATCATACGAATTCTTCCCGGCGATTTCAAAACTGTTACATTTTTTAAGGATAATTACACTGACAGTATATGTTTGTTAAATTTCTTTTTTATTTTCATCAGTGTTCTTATATAATATATACACATTCTGGATTGTCTGTTTTAAACCAATGCATGACCTTTTGCATGTTTCTATTATTAGTATGTTTAACTGACATGTAATAGACTGCTGGTCTTGTACGATTTTTTTTGTTGTTCAACCCCCCCCCCCCCCCCTCCCCCCTGCGTACGCGCCTGGTGTGTACACACTCATTACGTGAGTGTTTTGTTGACATTAAATACAAAATTGCCAGAAAATAACTATTACTTTGAATCAACTGAATTCACTTATTAGTCTAGTTGGAAATGGCACTCGATTTCACAATGGTAACATATAGGCATTGTAATCTAAACTATTCAGGCAGAGACGAAAATCTTAATTTCAGAAGGGAAACTCCATTTCCGACTAGATTATGTTATAGAATTAAAAATAATTATGCGCTTATTACGAATGTACATGTATCATGATGAATATTGATTAGAATATGACTCTTCTTTCTTATTTTGGTGACCACAGGCAATCTGAAGAAGCAGAGCAATCGCAGAAGATTATGGCGGAGCAGAAACAACCAGAAAGTGGTCCACCGGGATTGGAAACAAGCACTGTGGTGCAAGTACCAATAAAAGGTGTCGACCAACATGATACTGAAGATATCTACAGGCTCTCTCCACATGATTGTTACGGTATATAATTTATAGACAACAACATAATCGTTCATGTGTCGCTCCTTTACAACAAATAGCGAACCTAAAAAAGTTCTTTCGTTTGAAATGTTTTGTTTCTTGTTGATTTGTTGATTTATAATTTCATGTGGTCACAGAGCAATTTCAGGTTTTCTTGCACTAGAGGGTATACAGCCTTGAGTAGTTTGAATAATTTGCATATAAAATTCCAATCTTATGCGATGCAACCTGTGATTCGTCGAACAGAGGTATAAGGGGTAAAGTGTCTCGGGCTGCTTAATATGCCGTCATATAGAAACTAATGGCTATTTTGATTTCAGTATACACATTATGCAAAATGTATATGGGCAACAATTAAAGCTTTGACCAATGACATCACGGGGTTCTCATTTATGAAAAAGGTCAACGGGGTAATCTATAAATACACTCACGTAAGTATTTTCTTCATGTTAAAGTAATCGAAGGGGGGATATAGCCCCAAGAATTTGTAAATGATCCATATTCGGGCAACTCTTTCGCTCCACTCTCTCGCAAATTATACGATTTTTGATATTCTGGCAAGCGACGTACGCAACCTCCTGTAAAGCAAAACTGTGCACGTTAAAAAATTTAATCTTTATTTCTGTATAGAAATTCCCGTAATTCCTTGATTAAATAAATAAACAAAACTAATCCAATTATGAAGTGAATGTTATTGATTTCGTGGTATCTTAATTATTGTTTCTTATTATAAACGGAGTTATGGTCTTTTTTATGAGATGGAGTATTTGACACTTGACGATCCATAAATCAAAGGAGTTTTACTGATAAAAATTAATGAATAAACAAAACTAAACCAATTATAAAGTGAATTATTGATTTCATGGTATCTTAATTATTGTTTCTTATCACAAATAATTTCTTATCATATATTGTACCCTCTTCGTGTATCTCCTGTCTAATGCGTATTTCTCCTTCCTCATCTTCTTCTCAACCCCACATGCAGCTCATCCTTTTGTCTTATATTTGTCATGTAGAGGACTATCTTGTCCCGTTCTCATCTCTGTTGGCATTCCCTTTTTTCTTCCTATTTCTAGTTACTTCTGTAGGTACGAATTTGTTAATTTAATTACTCATTAGTCCTAACTATCATTTTGAGGAGTCCACAATATACCAGCATTGTATTTTAGTGGACCCCTCTGTTTCCAATATGTGTTCCTTAGTTGTTGTAAATGTGTAATGTTTTGTTGGAAACAGAAATAAATTGAAATTGAAATTGAAATTGAAATTGAAATTGAAAGGTGTATGATTCTACAAATCTCATGTTCAAAGTTCAATTCAGTAATCATAATAAGCAAATAAAAACTCAATCCCGAACTTCCCTCGCCATTCGTCTCTTCTGCGATCCCATCTACCGATCAATCGGCTTGATATTGTCCGGCATCAAGGGACAGTTCAGGATGAACAGTTCGGACCTCAACGTGAAAGTGAAACTAAGCCAAGTTTGATACCCCAGTTTATTTTAAAGGCCATCTGTACTAGTTTATAGGAGGGATTAGACCACACAGCGTGCTCAATGGGGCTCAATGACAGGTGGCTATCTCATCAACTCAGCTCTCAATTAACGTTTCAAAAATAGGATCATGGGGGATCATTGGTCACCGATTATGCATTGTTTTCTATAGAGGGAGCAAGTAGCTACAAGTATTGGACGGTGGGGCTTTAAGATAATAGTTCATAAAAGGTAGCGGTTTAAAAGCAAGTCCGGGATAGGTTTTTACATGTTTTTATTCATTGTGCATCTGATCATGTATCTGGTCGTGCTACAGACCTAGTAATCTCTTATTTGAGACCTGTTGCGAACTATATTCAAATAATGTGAATACGATTTCCTTCCGTTACTCGACTATCAACAATTATTATTTAAGTGATATTTAGACAATTTATTAAATTCAGTGAATGTATACAGTATTAAAGACAGTCATTGTGTTCCAGGTCTGTATTTCGTAAGGGAGGGCACTGATATAAATAATACTAGGCCCTAAACTAAAATAAAATGTGTTATTTTCCAAGCTCTTTTCCTTTTTCAAGCTACATTTTCAAAGCTGTGAGATACCATTCTTGATAATAATATTTAATTCTACACATGTAATTAATCCAAGGTAATTTGAAAATGGATATGACTGATCTGTCAAATATATATCTATTATATTTGTTTCAATATGATTGCATTCCATTTTCTTAGTAGCTGATTTGGCAAAGGAGAATTTTTTCTTCACGGGGCTTTTCATCATATTTCCATAGGTTAAAGCGCTTACCATCGTTGGGTAGCTGTTTTCTGAGTGTATTTTGTAAATAGCTTTATATATTCCATATATTCCTTGTTGTTGTATTCATGAATCAGTTATCCTTTTCATATCATCTGAGGGGGCCTTAACTTAACAAGCTGTGCTTCTACCAAGGTCTCCTCGTCTTTCTTTATTCTACATTCATTGTACCGTTATGATTATACTCTATTATATTTTGTTACATATTTTGTTACAAACTTGATGTTACTTTATCAAGTCAATTGCACTACACGTACAATAAGCATAATTAGGTAGTTGTGATTAAGATGAAGTATAGAAACAAATAAATATGCGTGTTGCGGTTGTACAACGATTTTTTGGTTTAAAATAAAGAAGTTGATATCAATAAAGAGTTTCTAATACGAAGTATGGCATTGCCCAGGCGCGTACGCAGGATTTTTTCAAGGGGGGGGGGGGGGGGGGTTAACATTTTTAAATCGGGCCGAAAATTTCGCATCGACTCAGCCAGCCGCTGAATAAGTAGGGGGGGGGGGGTAAGAGGACACTTTTTTTGTTGTTGAAAATTTGACATTTTGCTCCGTTGGGGGGGGGGGGGGGGAGTAAGGTCACCTTTTTAGGTCAGCCATGGGAATAATTTTTTTTTTTATTATTATTATTATTATTATTATGTTGTGTAATTATTTCTTTACTATTTCAAATTTAAATGAAATATGAAAATGAATTTTCCGCTTCTGCGACGTATCATTTGTCTTCCTATTAAACAATATAGTTCTCGGTCTCACGGGCCTTCGGTCAACTGAGCTGTAACCTCGTTAACAGGATAAAACCAATTTCGAACTGTTTCTTTTTTTACAGTGATTTCTAATTTTGCTAACGAATGTTTCGTATGGTTTTGTTACGTATACATGTTTTTTCCTGGTTGACTTTTAACTGAGTTCAAATCTTTTTTAAATGAAACAGTTGTGCCACTTTCCTGATGCCTATTTTGTGAGTGACATCCATCTTGGGTTATTCAAATAGTATATTTACAGGTTTTTTTGCGATCGAGACAGTTTAGAAGTTGATTTTCATGATTTAATTGATTTTTCTACGTTAAAGAAATAACAATGAAACTGAAAATACTGGATCTAATCATATTTGAATGTGTTTGAATGTGTAGTAAAGTAAAGATACTTTTAAAAATAGACAAACAGTAAGTAATTCTTGTGTTTATTGCAGTTGTGGCTTGTTGAAAATACACCTGCATGACTATATAATGTCATGAGCAAAATAAATCATTTTATTCAATTTTCATGCATTTTATACCAGCCTGACATTTCCGTATATACCTCCTTTTTTAAAGTGACTGTCTCAGGTACTCCAGTTCTAACGGGTGCTCTTATACCTATGGTGGGTGCAGCTAAACTTAAATTATGTCACCTGTAATTGGAAAGATGAAATATTGAGACGACGTAACCAAATACCTGCTCCGTCGTATATTATATGGACTTATTGAACGCTCATATACTTCGCATTATTCAAATAATCATGGTCACCTTTTGCTCAAGCTTCTTGCCTTTTATTATACAATAAACATTTACTCTATATAAGTAGACAGTTATGATACTTTACTGTATTATCTTATACGGAATGTCTATTTATACAAGTTTAGGCTTTGTACTCACACAAACATGTATTATGTTAGATACATAGAATAGTATGTAGCTTAAGATGTACCTGTATTCAATAATTCATATATACACAAATTGTTGATTAGCATTTTATGCTATTTTCTGGTCCCTATCAGTCATTCGAGATATTTGTTAAACATACATTTATTGTTGTTATTAATGTTATATTACTGTACTTGAACGTTTGGATAATAAAACCTCAACTCAAACTCAACTCACTTTGCACCGCTCTTATAATCCCAGTTTTATCTATATTTCCAACAAATCAAGTTTGCCTCGAAGGCCTTGTGCTATAGATATACATGAATATACACAGGCGCGGATCCAGGATTTCTCAAAGGAGGGGGCCCAATTTTTTTTTTTTTTTTTTGCTCCCGAAAATTTGAAAATCGCGCCCCCCCCCCTTGAGCAGGGGGGGGGGGGAGGGCCTATCCCCCCCAAAAAGCTAAAAAATCACGTGTTTTTACATGATTTTTTCCCAGGGGGGGGGGCGGGCCCCCCGGCCCCTCCCACCTGGATCCGCCACTGAATATACACATTCGATTGTTATTATTATTATTATTATTATTATTATTATTATTATTATTATTATTATTATTATTATTATTATATAATTCAAATGATTATATGCAGAGAAACATGAGCGTGATTCAAAAGCGTTTCCATGATAATGATATAGTACAAGGAACAATGCGTAAAAGTCCGTGGAACAAGAAATCTGTGATTTGACTTCGCTACGTTAAAACTAAGTGCTATGAAGGTCGACCCAATCTCCCAGTTTACTAACATTTTCAAAATGTATGCATACTTTCTAAACAAAGGTTTTTCCTGACAACCTGCATGAAAGCTGGTCCGAATCTTGTCCGATATAGCAACAAGTATTATATGCGGACTGGATTTCAAGTACATTGTAGTTCGTTCATGAATAACAGGTTTAATAGAATACCTCGTCATTTGGTCCCCAGGAAAGAAACATCCATAAGTTTGAATATGTAAGTAAACCGGTCTATTTTCTAGCTAGTAAATTAAGCCGTCATCAAACTGGATAATCAGCCTCCGTATTAAATTTTCTTAAAGGTAATACAAAGTTTTAGTATGGGGTCATTAATTTGGTTCAAATGAACATATTGGAAGCATATATGATCCTACAATATTCAGTGATCGTTGTCGCGGTCGAAATCGACTCTTAAGTTATGAAATTGTAAATAATAAACACTTTATGTTGAATAGCTCCCTCTCAAGGTCAAGATATTAATTAAGCTATAAAACGATGTTTATTGACTAAAATCGACCGATTAGCTATTCCCGTTCGGAAATTATACACCACAACTATATACTCTGAGATTTCCATGGTCGCAGCTAACATTGTACGGCCGTAGGAACTATTTGAAATTTATCAAAATTTACCGGGAGCACCGGTAAATCTTTATATTCAATTTTTCTCGAAAGCAGAAGTGTTTTAGGGGCTAAACTTTCTGGTATTTGTAATACATCCACAGGGGCATCCAAATATATCAAAATTGTAAAGAATCACTATCCACCCATTTTTCAAAATTTCCTAAAACTTTGTAATACCTTTAATCGTGTTTAAACTTGATTTTAGTTGATTGCGTAAATAACCCTAATTATGTTCACTCTACGAAAAGAATCTAACGTTACACATGTATTGTTATACATTCTATAAAAAGAACCTCTATTTTGACTTTTCATTTCACATCCTGCGGATTTTCACTGACAAATCTCTAAAAGAAAAACCAATCACATTGATTCTAAGCCACCCTTTAACTAAATAACTCGCTTACATCACCATCAGCTCAGTTGCACCAGCCGCTCTTTCTGGGGGTGCTGCGTCCCTTAAAACAAATGAAGGGGGAGGGGGGGGGGGGGTCCGCAGCATCCACTCTTACCCCACGTCCACAGGTGGAAGCCCTGTTAAACCTGGATTGTTTTCATATTCAACGTGACATCCGAACTATGCAGTCTAAACTGTCCTCGAATACTCGAGAAAACCAAAGAGAGCGACTTGTAGAGTGGATCCAGGAAAAATCGAACGAAGGGAACATAGACAAGTTGGCAGACCCTTAGGAAGATGTACAGCATCTTGATCGCGGGTTGACTAAACCAGATGACACAGATGTGTGCGATGGCGAAGAAGATGGCCCAGACGAAAGACATGATGGGAGCGATGATGAGGGTCAGAGTGGCATAAATGGCGAACTGTAAGAAAACAAGAGAGAGACTTGAAGAGACTTGAATGAGTCATCATTTTTAAAGCTAGATTCCAGAATTATTGATGATTTCTAAGAAAAATCATTGTCATGTTCGGAATCTCCGTCAAAAATTATTCTACATGTCTCTTTTTTTTAGCCCGTTTTGGTTAGAGTGGCCCTTTAAGAATGGGAAGAGTTAATTAATGTCCGAGAAAGAGAAAGAGAGAGAGAGGGAGAGAGAGAGGGGGAGGGGAAGGAGAAAGAAAGATGGAAAGAGATAAACAGAAATTGGTCAGGTTGCACGAAAGTACTTTTAAAAAACCGTCACCAGAAGACAGTTTTAGCCGTCGATAAAATATTCTTTTTACACAGGGCGCCATTGTGTCTATTTCAAATGATGCGTTATTTCCCTAATGCAGGACTGCGTCAACGATTGGCGTGGTCTTTGATGAATCATGGGAGATCGATATCGTACATGCGTGATTGCATAATAAACAGCACAAACGTTATGTCGAATTAGTTATATACACAACCTGTTTCGATAATCGTATGTATAAAAACTCAATCGAAATGACTCCTGTGCTGAAAATGTCCAAACATTTAAAAAGGCGACATTTTCAAAGTGGTAGACTACGAAAGTCTACGAATTGTAACCCCGATACTTAGCAGTGCAAATCTACCATTTTTTTAAATATTTCCTCTCCTCAACGCCTATACATGATGATTTGACACGATTTAGAGCGATACTGAACTGATGATTACGAATGGACATTCGTCGTTTTGTTAACGAATTCATTGTGATTGTCTCCGTCAATGTCATCTCAATAACATTCCGTACATGTTTCTTCACTTTGATCTCATGAGGTCCACCGCCAATAAGCCGGGACAGAATCAAGAAAGTGATTTTAAACATGTTAATATACATGCGCAGAAGATAATAAATCGCTATATGGGAAATCGATGTGCAGTTGTGGTTAAAGATAAACTCCAGTACTGGTAAAAAAAAAAAATTAATTCTCACAGAATCAAACGAAACTTACACTGAATGTTCAAGATTACAAATAAATGACATGTGCCAAACAATTTTGGAAGAAAATGTATACTGGCTGAGTAATGAGCATAGAAAGACAAGGAAACCAAGGTAGTACCATCCCCGACACGATGTGTGTTGTCCCATATATAGCTTTCTATGTGAGTGTTTGTTACTTTACCAAGACTCGGTCAAATTTATTATGATTTTGATGACTCCAGAACCTTGCAGTGCACACCAATACTTACATGCTACATGATCAACTGTTTCTGATCCTTTCACACCTTTTCTTTCACAATGCAATCGCATTACCAGTACTAAAGTTTAGCTTTAATAATCGGAAATTGTTGTTCCGTGTACTGTGGGTTATTTTTGAATAACATGTTGATATATTTATAGATAGGATATATTTGGATTGTTTGTGATTTAATTTCCGTTTTCCCCAATTTCCTCATAATATTCCAGAATTTCAACGCACATGGCTGATAAAGATCATGGCCTTTTAATAAGGTCATTGGTGCGTGCGAAAGTGTGCGAACCAGTAATAATAAATTTCATATCACCGAAATCGTCTGCTTTTCAACTTTGCTGCTCCCCATTGGTAATTCCTTTTATTTAAGACACACTCTAACAGAGCACACCATCCAAATAAAACCCAAGAGAGTGAAACTGCTCCTTTGTCTATGACCAAAAATGCTTACGCAGTCGTTATTGTTAAAACAGTTAAATGTTCTCATTAAGATGCAAATAATCAGAAGGCGGTGGTCCTCATTGGATCAAAGAAAGAATCACGTCGAATGTCCATCCGTAATAGGTCCATGACTTGATAGACCATTTCTTAAAATGGACATGCAACATATTTTTCTTTTGGGCAATTTTATATTCTATTTTTTGTTTGAACTTTACCATTGAAACAAAAGCTTCGAAAATAAGTTCTTTTCCCTGAAACCTACAGGGGTAAATATAATATTTTAAACATTTAAACAGAGAAAATTTGTACAAGAGGCGTGTTTGTCCCCTGACTGTTTCCCAAACAAATAATTAAATTTTGACAGAGTCAGATTATAACAGTGATCACTGCCAGTGTTAATCTTATCCACCAATTTTTCCCACAGTGGTACAACTTTTCTACAGTCACAAATCAAGTGATCTCAGGTTTCTGGAAAATCTGAACAAAAATAACAATTAGCAGACTCCTTTCTCCCAATCTTGAACAAAAATGCATTAAAAGTAAACCAAAAACATTATGGAAAATAAAATAAATAAAATTAAAACTCTTTTGACTTAATAGATCTTTAAAAATTTGATTAAATATATTCTCATCCACATTAAAAGAATTATCAAATCAACTTTATAGACAGAGGACTCGATGGGAGAACCAACAGCGCAGCTATAGGGAAGCAGCGAGTTACGGGACCATCCTACTACAACTATGGTGCTAGTTGGGACTTTGCGGGATTGCTTCTACAGTGTGGCCGCTTTAACGTATAATTTTAGAGTGAATCTGATGTTATAGAAGGGATAAAATCTGAGACTTTGCCATGATGAAAGTTTACTCACGTGGGTGTATTCATAGATTAATCGGCTAACTGTTTTCATGAAGGCGAATCCCTGAATGGCACTCGATTCCTTAAAGGTATCATCATGCGAGATCTACAGAAGGGAAATAAAATGGTTCACAGTTATACACCGACAGAGAGAGAGAGAGAAAAATTAAAAAAACATGGGGAATGCCACAAATGAAATATTGCGTGATTTGTTTTCCTCTGGCCTAATTATGTGTCCAATCAGCTTTGGGCAAATTTTAAAACCCAACTTGAGTAATTAACCCTTTGTATTTACAAACAAAAGAACTTAATCATCAGAATCGGTTTCATATCCCTTTTAAATGGTGTAAAATGCCATCACATTTATATACATGTACACTAAACTCATTATAATTTGAGAAATAATAGCATTGCAATTATGTTGGGGGTTATTGAACATTTTCTGTAACAAAAAAATATCAAGTATAATTCATTTGTAGCTTTGAACAAGCAGCCTAACTTTCGTTTTCTCATTCTAAGAGAAAACATTTCCGGTACAACCCAAACTCGTGATTTAACAGTGTTTGGAATTCTGCCAATTCCGTCATTGTGTAATAAATGAAACAAGCGATAATCGTTATTTCACGCCCCAGCTGATTTCAGTATACTGAAAAGCAACGGCAATATAGCTCTAGCTCCAAATAGACAAATTATTGTCATTATGAACATGTAACTCTAAAAAATTCATTTTGATAAACATTTTGAAAATGCAAGTAGTGATTAAAGCGAGAAGGAGGAGGAGGAGAAGAAGGAAGTAGAAGAAGAAGGAGTAGAGGAATACAAACTTAAAGAAGAGGACAAGTAGGCAAAGAAAGAGGAGATGGATGAGGAGAAGAAGGAGGGGAGAAAGGAAGAGAACAAGTTGGAGAACAAGCACAGGAAGAAAACGAGGAGAAGGAGAAGAAGAAAGGGGAGAAGAAGAAGTAGAAGAATAAGAAAATAAAGGGAAAAAAGGGGGGAAAAGAAGTTAGGGAATATTTAAATCATATAGAAGGACAAAATAAACATAACGAGGGGGAGCATGAGGAAAAAAGAACAAGAAGAAGTATAAGAAGAGAAGAAGAAGAAGGAGAAAAAGAAGAAGGAGAATAAGAATAATAAAGAGAATAAGAAGACGAAGAAGAAGGAGAGCAAAAAAGAAAACTTGTTTACCGGAACATGAGGAGACATTTTGTAGATGTTCTCACCGAGTTCATCTTCAACCTCGATTGGAATGATTTGAGCAGGACTGGTGCTTGCTGTACAATCAGGGTTGTTAACCTGCCCCGTCCCTTCCATTGAGCCATAATGATGAGGTGCGGGGTTGGGGCCTTGGTAACCGCCCCCAGGATATGATTTGTTGGGCCTGTCCATCTCCTCTTATCTTACCTCCCTCTCTGCTTCTGTGATTTCTGGAAGGAGAAATAATGATAATATTAATATTAATAATAATGATAATAATAATAATAATACAATTGCAAAATAATGACGCTATAATAATGATAATAATAATGATAATGAAACTACTGCTACTATTACTACTACTACTACTACGGGTGATAATATAGGATTTCCCGGCCAAATTCGCGAGTTGTCATTAAAATTAATTTGTCTTGCGTTCAAATTCGACGGTTTCAGTGCTATCAGGTATATCTCGGGTTTATATTTCTTTTTCTAGTTTTCAAATCTATGAAGTTTTTGTTATTTAAGAGTGTGTGTATGTTTCATTCAAATTAAAGAAAAATGTGCTTCTTTCGCTATTTGGTCATTCGATTTGGCGCAACACGAATTCTGACATCGCGGTGGTGTACTTATAGCAGAATAGCACTCTAATTTATTTGTAGCATTCAAATTAGCACTTTCTGCTCTTAAATTGAAGGTCAATATACATTTCTCTATTTTTACACATGCACGGGAAATCTTCTTTGGGAAAGTTTCTTTGAGATCCAACAATTTTGAGGGGGTATATTAATTCGGTGTAGTTAAGAAATACCATGTTGGTACACACCGTTCGCGGCTGTTCTCTAATAATGTTTACTAACATATTCAAATTGTATTCATACTTTTGAAACAAAGGTTGAAGGCTGAAGGCTTGTCCGAGGCTTGCCTAATATAGCAACATAATAATGTATGCAGACTGGATTCCAAGTACAGTAGTTCATTAATTAATAACAGGTTAATGGGATACCTCTTCACAAGGACCCCAGGAAAGAAACATTCATAAATTTGAATATATGTTAGTAAACCGGTCTTTTCACAAATATCAAGTCTCAACTTACCCTACACGACGTCTCTTCCTTCGGTCGATATCGATACGATTTATTTGTGAGATTGTCTGCGAAAAATGATGTTTCAGATCAAGGTCGGTAGATATACTCAAATCCTCGCGGTGATTAAATCTGGAATCTCAAGTCTCCGGTAATATATTAAATGAGGGCATAACTCTTGATGATAATTATCAACAATACCATCGCGTGGCACTGGAATATATACACTCTTGTTTCGATCATGTGGCATCACTGCCGACGGGAATGGCGTTTGGACTTTGAGCCCGAGGGGATTTTATGTTTTGTATTCAACGTTTGATTTCCTTCTATTTTTCCATATTTTTGTGTCGTGTTTTAAATGATATATCTCATCATTGTCTAAAATTAAATATGACTGTAAACGTCAATGTTTATCCAGGGTTGTCTGTTCTCCCTCTTCTTCCATTTCAAGCTTTTCCTCGCGTGTCCTTTTTATTTACCTGTATTTTTTTCATTTCCTTGATGATTTTTATTTGAGCAATGGTATACCTAATTTCTATATTAGTATATTAATGCATATCAGATTCATATTTTTGGTCCACGTTGAAAAACACAGATATTTGGCCTCCACTGGCAGAAGATAATAATAAATAACATAAAGATACATGAATGTGCTAAAAAAAAAAAACCATCAATTCGATTTACAAACAAATTTGAATACATTATGACAAAAGTAAAGGCCTATGCTAAGGAAGAGGAGATCGCAGAGTAAGATGATAGACCGAAACGGAATGAAGGAAGAGCAAAAAAGAATAAGAATGTAGATGAAGGGAAGAGAGAATAAAAACCACTTGCATATTATGCCTCCAAACATATATTACCGTTTGCAATTACCGTTTTATGTTATTGTTGAACATGTGGAGAGCGAGAAATTTTTGGAACGCCCGACGAATGCCATCATGATTTCAATTTAACCATGAGTGAAGCAGGCGCGTAGCCAGGGGGGCGGTGGGGGCGGTCGCCCCCCCCCCCCAAAAAAAAAACGCCGGCCAAAAAAAAAAAAGAGAGAGAAAAAAAGAAGAAAGGAAGAGGACGTAGGAAGAAAAAGGATTAAGAGTCGAGAACGGTACAACGAGTCGTCTTCTTTCTCTAATAATTTAATGAAACGTCAAAGCTCCCGCGCTTCGCGTGGGAGGGGGGGGGGAACTGAATTCAAATGAGGATTAAGAGTCGAGAACGGTACAACGAATCGTCTTCTTTAATAATTTATGAAACGTCAAAGCTTCCACTTCGCGCGGGAGCGGGGAAATTGAATTCAGACAAGGATTTTGAGTCGAGAACTGTAAAACGAAGCGTCTTCTTTCTCTAATAAGTTTATGAAACGTCAAAGCTTCAAAGGGGGGGGGGGGACCTGAATTCAGACAAGAATAAGAGTCGATCGAGGACGGTACAACGAATCGTCTTCTTTCTCTAATGAAACGTCAAAAGAAACTGAATTTCGATAACGATTAAGAGTTGAGAACGGTCCAACGAATCGTCTTCTTTCTCTAATAATTTGATGAAACGTCAAAGAATGGGAATATCCCCCCTCCCTGCACCCATCCCCCTAGGGAGCGCGCTACTCTCGCTCTGTAAGTGATTCGCACGCTTCGCGTGCTCACTACCGCTCCCTCGCCTAAAATGAAATCCTGGCTACGCGCTTGGAGTGAAGTGGATGAGTGGGGTCACGCATGATATTGTTAACTATAGAAACATGCGTTTCTCATATAACGTACTGATTAGGGGGAGGTCTTCTTGGATCACTCGTTGGGTAATTTTTCTTGGTTTTTCTAGCTTGCTGGTGTTCTGCTTTCGAAGATTCCCAAACACACACATAGAGTGCTTTGAATGAGCGACTGGTAGAAGAGAACTAGAATGCTGTTATCAATTCTGAACTATTAAAAGTACAATCTTTGGCTTAATTGCTTTAATAGCTACAATCTCTGAGTTTCTATTCCAATTTAGCTTCTCGTTAACAACTGTTCCCAACTATTCATATTCTGAAACCGTTTCAATACAATGATCATGGATAATCAAAGATTCATGTAATTGAAGTTATAGGGTAAATGCCGGAAGTCAAACATAATTTCCTTAGTTTCGTTTCCATTCAGGACCAAACGATGACTATCACATCAGTCAACAAGCTGTTTGACGTGCTCAAAATAAACCTAGCATCATTCAGTAGAAATCCACTAATGACAGTATCGTCGGCGTTTGTGATTATTGCACAGTTGGATTCTGAAATCTTACATTCTCTTGTATTGTGTATATTGAAAACATGATGGGAGAAAGTACGCACCCTTGTGGTACACCTAGTCATTGAACAATAGCACCGGATGTAAATAGTATTGCACTTTACCCGGCATTGTTGTCTATCAACAAGAAAGTAATGGATGATCATGGCAAGTTTGTGTCGAACATTTAAATTCAGAATTCTATTAATCAGTAAATATTGTAAAATTGTATTGAAAACACTTGAACAATTATTAAACAAAGACCTGACATTGGACTTTGGGTTTTCAAGATGTTTGTACAGGCTATGAAGATATACTGCATCCTCAACACTTCTGATATTTTGATATGCAAATTGATTGATCAAAAATATTTACTTGACATCTAAGTAATTTTAGCAAGATTCTTTCTAGGCAACTGAAGACTTCCAAAGTTGTGGAATGACACCATTCTCAATAATCAAACTGAAATTACAAGTAAAAATGTAGGCAAGTTGTTGATTGCACAATTTTAGAGCTTTATTGGAAATTCCATCTGGGCCACAGGGGCGAATCTAGCTTTTTGCCAAGGGGAGTAGTTGACCCAATGACGAGGCGGATCATCGTCCACCAGCCGCTAGGCGATTTTTTTTTTGTTGTTGCTATTTAGAACCCCCATAAGTGATGTTTTCCTGGCATCTACTAACATCTACTAATACTGTGGGTCTGGACACATGATGGCGTTTTTTCTATGCACATCACATTTTCACTTGGCAGCCCAAGGGGGGGGGGGGGGGGGGGGGGGGGGGGGGGGGGTAAAACCCCTACCCCCCCCCCCCCGTAGATTCGCCCCTGGGCCAGTTGCTTTGCTTACTTTGACCTTAGCAAAAATATTACGAACATCTTGTTCATTTACATTCAGTCTATAGTATCGGATACAAACATAGGTCAACAGTCATCCTACTTTGTAAAACTTCTTTGATTGCATTGAAATCATGAACATCAAATCGTGCATAAAAATCACCTAAATCATTGACCGACGATTGATCGAACTCATTTACTTTATCCTTGTAATCAACCATTGTTTTTTAATCAATAAAACCACTTCAAATCAAATAGAAATGTATTGCTAGTGCTTCCAGTACAGTATGACTTTAAAGTGTGTTCTTTCTTTCTTTCTAATGTGTCTTTCAACTAGTCCTGCAAAAAACAAGCTTCATGGTTTTTTTTGATGAATTCTGCTGGTATTTGCTTTGTAATCACTTCATATAATGCTGAACAGGCTACTACATTGTAGTATGCAAATATGTGAAATAGAGGAATCAACTGAAATTTATTTCACAGATTACGAGATTGACCCCAACGAAAACAATTTTTTTTCCTAAATTTATTTCATAGAATAAAGTTGTTGCTAGACCTCAGCCTGGAAATGAACAGGATGTTACACATTCAAATTACAATGTAATCTTAAGTTTATTTGTTTCATGCACTTTATTTAACAACAATTCAATAAAAAGAAACGGTAATCTGTATATAAATCGATAGTAAAACGAAATAAAAAAGATTGAATCAAAGCTTTAAAAGAATTCTTCCGTTTGTTTAAGCCAGAAAGGTGTAAACTCCGTGATAAATGATGATGAATAACAACCTTTATTTCTGGCTTTCAGCAGTTCTCTCTGATAGATACAATAATGGGATTCAAACAAAACAGAAGAACAGAAGTTCATCACAAGTTCGTTTTAAGATTAAAATGAAAAAAAGACGAAATGCTGTTCTTTATACCAACTGATAATAAGAAGACAAACTACGAATACTTTAGACATGATCATAGTGGTGTATAAGGATATAATGTATTACATAATAATACTAATTATGTAATGCAGAATATCAATACATCTTTGTTTTCCTTTCCCATTGTGCTTATCTATCCGTCAATTCCTAATCGCCACTACAATTTTTTGTTAAATACGAAAAAGCTTGTATAATATACCTAAATGCATTTTCAGACGGATGCAGACGTCGATTACAAAAATCTGGTAAACAACTGGTTTTAATAACAGTGACATGGTATCAAAATAAGTACCTTAACGAATACAAGCAATGCAAATAAACAGCATGCTTGATGTTAACCAGGCTGATAAATATTAACACAGAAAACCAGCAAACAATCGATTTTAATAGAACACAATACCTTCTTTCAAGAATTTGTATTGAAAATCCCAATGGAATTTGAATTTTTTCATCGGAATTTTGATAAATTATGCATAAATATATCCTTATCAAACGTTGGTATATACACTATATATTGTTATAAACATATCTATTATTCTTAAGTACATAAGTCTAAACCGATTGTCAAATGGCGCACAATGGCGAACATGCAAGCTCTGCTTTGTATTTATGCTATTCACATTTTTACATTGTTTTTGTATTGCCTATCATATCTTCACTTCCCTTTATAAACATTTTGCTCATTTACCTTACATAATTCATGAATAAGTTATCTACCCATATTGTTTTGTTTATCTTCAGTTTGTATTGATCTAAATTGTTTATAATATGTAAAATTATTAATGTGGAACAGATATTCATCAAAACCTCAAACTTTAAACAAGTTATAAGACAATCTTGTTCAATGTTGTTTGATTATAACTCGATGTGTATACCCCATGACTGCAATATAAAATTATCAACGAAATCCTTTGAATACGTATACTGTGCATGCGAATACATTCAACAACGATAACTAAGATAGAATAGAATAGAATAGGATAGACGGGAGAGAGGGGATGAGTAGTAGGAGCCCCCTCCCCCTAAAAAAGAGACATTTTGCAGGTAATTATTTTGTCAGGGAAATATTGCCGGCCCTCCATAAATTATACAGGAGTGCCGAGTAGGCTTGGTTTTTACCCCATGAAATAATTTGTTGTCACATCATTTTTCCAATGTGGATAGGCTCTATTATCACACCCCGCCCCTCCCATGGATCGCGTGTATGGTGTTTAAAGTCCGTTTGCACTAGTTTGTTCAGAGGTGATTAGACCTCCCGCAAGGACACTGACATGTTGTTATCACATCAAATCAGCTCTCAAATAACATAAGAAAAAGGGGATCATGGGGGACCAATTGTCACCGATTAGACATTGTTTTCTATATATAGAGTGAGCAAGTAGCTACACGTAGGACAGTGTGGCTTTAAGCAATCAGACGTGCTGGACCTGGCTTGTCTTCAAGTTGAGAGTGATCTGCGAGTCGTTCAGCTGAAACCGGCCCTTGATGCCCGAGAGGATCAGGGCGGCCGACTGGAAGCAGGGGTCAAAGAAGAGGCGGACTGAGGCCGATACCAGCATGCTAAACACCCTGAACCAGATGAAGGTGTTCTTGATCGCAGGCTGGATGAACCAGATGAGGAGGAGGTGGCTGAGAGCGAAGACGATACTCCACATGAAGGTCATGAGCGGGGCTATTATCAGCGACAGGCTGGCGTACACGAAAAACTGTGTGAATTAAGGGAATGGGTGGGGGGGGGGGAGCGAAATTGGATTAAAATGTAATTCTGAAGAAAAAAAATTGATTGCAAATAAGAAAAAGAAAAAAAGAGTAGGTCTACAAACAAAAATATATCAAAGAAACCCGAAGACACACAGAAATCGGTGTCAATTGTTCAAAGCATTATATTTGAAAAAATAAAGCAAGATGGTTTACATCAATAACAAACTTTACTTTTCTCTAAATTGTTTTAAAATGGTGCTTATATCAAGGAAGCGTAAATTGCACCATAATTATTGTATGACTTGTTCAAAATATTACATTTTCTGAGGGAGGAATGGGGATTATCTATTGAGCCATTGACATAATTTTTGTTTTTATAAAAACATGAAATCCTTTTACAACTCATTTGGTTCCTCCCACATCTGGCAAAAGCTCTACTTAACAAATTACAAGATAGGTATATCAAAGCCTGGAAAGAGTCTATAAAATTAAAATCATACTGTATACTCTACACAATTAAAAACATGCAAACATTCTGAAAACAAAATACAAATTGGAAAACTATTTATTACTCGATATTGACAAATCACATATAGCTTATGTACGAAAAACATAATGAGCAATAGTCCTCATGATTGATGAACGTCGGTACAAGAAAATAACATTAATAGATATTATATGCCCCATTTGTAAAACTGACATAGAGAACGAAATACACTTTGTTAAAGGCTAAAGCCACTCCAAAAAATGCAGGAAACAAGAGAAACAAAAATTGAGTAAAATCGAATAACTATTTTTTAAGTACGAAAAACTATGGAACTTGAAAAACTGCCAATTTGGTTATCACTTTGTGGAGTTATTGCCTCACTATTATTGCTTTATATTTTCTTTTATCCCATTAGTTTCCCTTTTTATCCACTAAAAACTTGATTTTCCCTTGCCTTTGCCTAGGTTATACGATTTGTATCCTATTGCATGCATGCCATTTTACAAAATCTTTTGTGTACTTTGAAGATTTGATAATATTTTCTGAATATTGTATATTCATAATCATTATATTTTATACAAATAGTTTATCAAAATTCACATTTTTCATGATTTTTCATGATATTGAAAAAAATTACCTTATATTAGTGCATCCACACAAAAACATATTACTATCAATACTTAAAAGATCCCAGATTTAAAATATACTCTAAACTTAACAATACCTAACAATACCGTACTGCAAAACGACGATGAGAAATTTAAACTAATGATGTCTAATGACGAAACCAACATTAACGCACAAATAACATTTGGAATAAGCGAAATGTATGACAAACGAACAATAGAACTACTGAAAAATAATAAATCTACATACAAAAACACGTAGCATCCCCCTCCCCTCGTAAAAAAAAATATACATGCATATAACAACACATATTTATATATATATCTATATAAAGTTCAAGTCTTGTTGACAATTTCTTATTTTTTTTCATTTACATTGCTGTTAATCTCGATAATGTTAATGTATTTTGACTTTGTATTATCAAGTCTATTATAAAATAGAGATACGACCATATACGCGATTAGTAGACCATTGATTGCTTTATTGTTTTGTTGTTGTTTAAAATATATATATATATATATATATATTATTAAACTCTCCGAAATGTTGAGAACAATTGCTTACCTGAGTGTATCTGTATATGGAGCGGTTGACATCTTTCATGAATTCAAACCCTCTTGCTGTTTCCGATTCCTTGAAGGTATCATCAAAGGCAATCTGATAAAAATAAAAATAAATCTTCTTGTCGTGACCGGTTTCGGGCTCTCTTGATTCAATTTAGTTAAAATGTACGTATATTACCAATAGCATTGTTATAAGAATTATTGTTGTTGTTACTGTTATAATATTAGTATCATCATCATCATCACTTAATTAAAATTATCGTTATTATCAATACCATTAATACTATCATCATCATCATCACTATATCATTATTTTATCATTTTGTTTTTTGTCTGGCGCTGGACTCGGACTCACATACGTGCATGATGAAAGTCATGAGCTACTGCTGCTACTACTACTACTACTACTACTACTACTATTATTATTATTACTACTACTACTACTACTACTACTACTACTACTACTACTACTACTACTACTACTACTATTTATACTACTACTACTACTACTAGTACTACTACTACTACTATTATTACTACTACTACTACTACTACTACTACTACTACTACTACTACTACTACTACTTATACTACTACTACTACTACTACTACTATTATTACTACAACTACTTTTACTACTACTACTACTACAACTACTTATACTACTACTACTACTACTACTATTATTACTACAACTACTATTACTACTACTACTACTACTACGACTACGACTACTACTACTACTACAACTACTACTACTACTACTACTACTACTACTACTACTACTACTGCTACAACTACTACTACTACTACTACTACTACTACTACTACTACTACTACTACTTCTACTACTACTACTACTACTACTACTACTACTACTACTACTAAAACTAATACTACTATTACTATTACTACTACCACTACTACTACTAGTACTACTGCCTCTATCATTATTATCAACATCATCATGATCATCATTAGTATTACTTTGAGTATTATACCTCGATATGTGGAGTAAGAGCGTAGATATCATTCGGGTCCAGCTCCTCTTCAGATGGGGCCATTTGGGCCACTGTTGGAGCCGAAGTCTGGTGAGTATTAATAACTGGGAGAGGGGCGGCCGGTCCGTTGCTACTCCCGTACGATGGGTAGGGGTTCGTCATCTGGTCCAGGTGCTGCTTTTCCGCCATTTTTCTTTATTCTGTTCTTCTCTGCCTCTTCTGAATGTAACTTTGTTTAGTCTTTGAGTTTATCTACACAGCGGTAGCCGAAGTTACTGTTGTATCGGAAGCGAAAAAATAAACTAAAACAGTCGATTATCTCAGATGGACTTCAAAGTTCAAACATAATGGCGAGGAGAGAGGAACGAGTAGGGAGAGGGAGAGGGAGAGGGAGGGAGAGGGAGGGAGAGAGAGAGAGAGAGAGAGAGAGGGAAAGAGGGAGAGAGAGAGAGAGACAGACAGACATACAGAGAAAGCGAGCACGCATTAGCACAAGCAACAACCAAAAGAAGGCATGTCAATAAATATCATCATAATCATTGCATAAACTTAACAGAGACTCAAAGCTGATATATATCATTATAATGTACCGATACAAATACTTACAGGTTTTGATGCTGTCACGGTATGAAAATTACTTGAACGTAAACAAATAATTCCAACTACACTAGACACGCACGTAACGAAACTGGTGTCACTTAGTATCACCGCGAACATATATTTGCTTGACTAAAAAATAATGAACCGACGATGGATTTTGTACGTTGTGTCGAATAATTCCAAGTTGATGTCAACATTTATTAAGCTGTCATATCAAGACTTGGTTAATGATAAATAAAATAAGGGTGTGATAACTATTAATTTCGAATATGAGCGACGAAAAGCGATATTTGCAGGGCCTACATCAACAGAGATATTGTACCTTGACCTTTGAACAGGCTCTAAAAAAGAGAATTAACATGACAATACCAAAAATAGTAATGATGCTAATAAATATTAAGGGCAAGGAGCAACAAAGGAATCTTTTTATCTCGATTGCGCAGATGATAATGAGCTAACGTGTATTTGTGATGCAATCTGCGAAAATATCTTTGATTGGTTTAATTCGGGGGTGGGGGGGGGGGGGGGCATTTAGTCTACTAGATCAACGTCTTTCAACTTGTCTTTGGTCACTGCACCCTTTTAGGAGTTAAAAAGTTGCGCGTCACCTCAATCCTAAAATAACAAACAATTGTCAAAGAGGATTTGTTTTCCATCTCTCGTACATATAGACGTAGGGGAACATTTTCGCGTGAGGGCCGAGAAGGCCTCTTGCCCGAAAACATACTATCTTGGATCTGAAATATTACACTTTTGTGTGGCAAAAATGTTATTAAATCATCAATATGACACTAGAAAAGATGACAATGTATATATTCGGTCATCTCGTTGCCAGGAATCATCCTGGTTTATCATTTTTTCGAAAAGTGAAGCGAACGAGGGGAAAGCAGACACTTTGTTGTGGTATAACTTTCATTTCGATATAAATAATACAATAAATAAAGATATATTAGGGCGCCATGCTGCCTGAATAATGACGGTATTCGGGCAGCAAGGTGCCCGAATATCGTCATATCATCATGTGGGGATATTCATGGATCTCGCTGCCTGAAGCTACCCCGTTTCTACATTTTGAAAGCGAACGAGGAAAAAAGAAACTTGACTATCTCTGAAAAGTAATTTCCTTATCAAAATACCCTAAGTGCTATGTGGCGATATTGCGATTTGTTATGCTTTGCTTTGAATGAGGCTGACATTTTTTCATGATATGTTTTCAATTTAACTTATTTTATTCTTCAATTTCTTTTTCTTATCCGCTGTACACTACTTCAGAGACGCACATCGGATCATCCCTAAGCATTTTTCGATAATCGTTTAATGTATCTCTTACAACATATTTCCTTCATGATTTATCATGATCTCCCCACGTTACCGTTTCATAAAATAGTATAATCTAAGTTAAAAGAGTATTTCCGAGCAATTTATCTCCTTGTAGTATCATACGTTCTTTTCTTTCATCTCTTCCATCGCTCTCACCTCCTTTTTGTTGCCATTCCCGTGCACCCCCCCCCCCCCCGCCCCCGTAGCTACGTCACTGTACTTACTGTATTCTAAGTGAGATTGTCAAAGGTTGAGTTGGACGAGTCAGCTGATCACTATTGACGGAGATAACGTTGTCGATTTGTTTTCGTTGTCATGAGGAGGGAGTACCGACCGGCAGGTTGTTTTTTTGTTGTTGTTGAAGGGGGGGGGGGGGAGAGGGTTGAACCTGTGTTAGATCGTATATGAAATGCGAATCAACAAGACTGTTGATTGGGGGGCGGGGGTCCGAAAGGGGAGATTTTTTTATACGTTCTACTTTTACCTCCTCCCGCTTTTCTTTTTCTATGTGGAATTTTCCTTGTGTGTGCCCCACTTCCAGCTGTAAATGGTCCAGCAGGAGCATTTCTAGAATAATATTGTGAGGGCACTTTTGAGGAAGGGGGGAGGGGGTTGTTGTTGCAGTTTCACGTTCATTTTCTGTATATGTTATTCTTATCAAGATTATTATTTTTTTTTTTTTTTGGGGGGGGGAGGGGGCGAGAGAGGAGGTTTGGGGGAACTCGGCTCTAGAACCACTACTGAAAGCAAGGATTTAATACACCATGCTCAAGTTGAGAATATTATAGACCTCACAGCAAACTTGACAGTTACAGTATGTTGAAAGTATTGTACCGTGTTTCCATCGATTGAGGGGCATCCATTCCATAGAAGTGGCGCTATTCGAAGAGAGAGAGAGAGAGAGACAGAGAGAGAGAGACAGAGAGAGAGGGACAGAGGGGGAGGGAGAGAGAGGGAGGGAAAGAATGAAATGGAGAGAGGAAGGGGCAGATAAAGAGCGATGTAGTGAACGAGAGAGAGAGAGAGAGAGAGAGAGAGAGAGAGAGAAAGAGAGAGATAGAGAGAGAGATAGGGAGATGAAGAGATTGGGGAGGGAGAAGAGAGAAAGATATATATATATATATATATATATATATATATATATATATATATATATATATATATATATATATAGACGTGAAGACGTAGCTACATATTCTGGAACACCCGTTGTCATGTCAGATTTGAGAATTCTCGCACTTATATAGAGAGAGAGAGAGAGAGAGAGAGAGAGAGGGAGAGAGAGAAAGAGAGAGAGGGAGGGAGGGAGAGAGAGAGAGAGAGAGAGAAAGAGGGAGAGAGAGAGAGAGAGAGAAAGAGGGAGAGAGAGAGAGAGAAAGAGGGAGAGAGAGAGAGAGAGAGAGAGAAAGAGAGAGAATGAGAGAGAATGAGAGAGAATGAGAGAGAAGGGAGATTGCTCGACTCAGGAAAATTTATCATACCAACATTTTCTACATTCGGATTTTCTCTATAATATATAGTTAAAAATATGGGTGCAATTTTTTTTTCTGACTAATCAGGCCCTGCCTTTTTGATAAGTTCCCTCATAATACCTCAAATGTTGTCTTTTATCATGTTTTACTTTAAGTATTCTGCGATGTTTTAAAATTACTTTTCTTGTAGTTGTCGAACATTATAATTATACACAATCATGTGCAATCATGTTTCTTCAATCGTTTTATGGTGTATGCTTTATTCACATAATGATGTTTCTTTATTCACATAATGATGTTTCTTCTTTTTCTATTTTTCCCGAAGGTTTTATGATTTGTGTTTATCTGACTATTTAGAAAGAATGTATATGCTTGTAAGTAAGCAGCCAGGGGACCGGCGGTTTTAAGTCCTCTCCGAGGAACTTGTTAATGAGGATAAACGGCAGTAGTAGGCCTACATCGACTTGGTATCGAAACCTTGACCACCCGGTTACGAAAATGCTTCTCTACCACTGAGCCTTATCGCGCCTTTTTATGTATGATGATATGTCATGAAAATCAGATGTGGAAATTTGAAATAAACTAAACTGAAATTAAGAATCTCGACTTACCTGGGATTGAGCCCTTTCCCTTAGTAAAGCTGATTACTGCAAAATGATTTATCTTTTGTCAGAATTAAATTCGACTTGTGATCATGCAAAGATGGTCTAATACCGTTGACCCTCTTGATACGAATTATCAGGCTTGATCTGTGCCAAAACGAAAGCGCGCGAGTGTATTCTGGTTGCCATATGGGGGGGGGGGGTTTCCTCCAAAATACACACATAAAAAATACCAAAGGTGGGGTTCAACCCCCCCTCCCCCCTCCCCCCCCCCCCCCCCCCCCCCCCCCCCTGCGTACGCGCCTGATGTACCTTCATATCAAATTTCATTAAAATCCGTCAAACCGTTACTGAATTTATCGATCGGAAGTTTTGTTACGGACGGACGCACGCTCGGACGGAAGGAAGGACGGACGGCAGCGTTATATCCCCTCCGACTTCGTCGGCGAGGGGATGATAAGTCCAAACACAATGACACTCTCATCCTACCGGGCAAAATGTGGGTGGAAAGGAGCAATGTAGATAAAAAATGACTTGCTCGAGGACATAACTGAACCCTACAAGGCCACAACCTTTGTATCTAATTCCAATCATTAAGTGATGTATCTATTTTTTTTTATCCCTGATATTTATACAGGGTAGTACATAATATTCACATGATAATTATGTATATTTATTATATTCTTCGATGTTTGGTAACAAAGCGAAATTCAATAAAAATCTGTGTATGAACTCATTTGAATTATAAAACAAAATACAGAATATAAAAAGATTTACATGTACATACAAATTATTTGGTATCCTACAAAAATGTTGACCTTTTTCGACAAAATATAATCTGTATGGTTTCGGAAGCTCATAAATAAACAAACACAAAGAAAATTAGAAACGATCTTGTCGAGCACTTATTTTGAACCTTCGAACATGAAGCAAGCTCTCCCCCCCCCCTATCTATCCAATTCTCTCTGTCTCTCTGTCTCTCTCTCTCTCTCTCTCTCTATCTCTCTCTCTCCCTCTGTCTCCTTCTCTTTATTATTAGTTTTGTTTTCTGGTTTGGAGTCATTGAAGAAAAAGAAAGAGGAAGGAAAAAAAGACGCAGCAATCAATATTTCAGCGGCTGAAAGGCGACGGTGAATGCAACAAAAGCCAAAGCAGACATCACAGAAAACAAAGAAAATAGAGAAAACGAGATATATATATATTCCCATTCATTATTCTGCCATTAATTTGTTCGCAGGATATCTCATGAATGAATAAAGCCATTATCATGAACTTGCCATGATGATTAATATTAGCATAACTTATAATTGTGACACTTTTCAGTAACTCACAATCATCGTGACGTCATCCAGGCGCTATTTTGTGGAAATCAACTTTTAATCATATCTTCACAACGAGTAATCAAAACTGAACCATATTTAAAACACACGAACTTCAGGTCAAGGTTCGACATAACATCTCATCAAAATCTGCGCCTTTTTGAATTTTAAAATGCTCAAATTCACTTGTTAATCAAAACAGAGTATGTTCTAGGCCATTTAAAGAATTTCGAAAATTATGCACGCGCGTTTTTGCGTGTAACGCCATTACACAACAAAGAAACGCAATTTTATGTTCTTTCATGATATTTCATAACGAAATGCGCGTCCGTTTAAGATAAATTGCCGTGCGCACGAGCACATGTAATACATAGCATATATAGGCAAAAACATGATTACACAAAATCCATCACAGCTCTTTGGGATGCACCTAGACCCCCAATTGTTCTTTTATTTTGATTATATGAGTCGGAGATATGATTTCATTTCTCAATTGGCCATTAAG